GCCAGAGATATGTCTAGAGGTCCCTCCCCAGCTTTAATAATACCCTGGGTGGCACAAGAGTGGCACAAAGCTGCACTCCTTGGGGAACTGAGGAAGGGTGGAGTGGGGAACCAGACACGCCCACGGGAAAACAACTGGATTGCAGGAGTGAGGATCTGCCCACAGCTGTGCCACACCAGGTGGCCAGCTCTGACACTGAGATGCTGGGCACGGAGCCCTGAGATGGCCCCAGAGCCTTGAGGGTCTGTCGGAATGAGCTCTCCTTGAGAGGTCCCAAACTTTCAGCTGCCCCTAGCAAGGTGGACAGGACAGTTCTGGACAGATGAGCTCTTAGCCGATGCATCCAGGAGCCATCTGACCCCACAAAGCTACTGTGAGCATGACTGTGGCAGCAAGCAGGAAAAGCACCTGGGCTCTTCAGAGCAAAGGCACAACTGACATGCAAAGAATTCTTGTGCGCTCCTTCTGAGATCTGGGCTAGCCCAGGCCATGAGTGTGACCTGTGCACACTCTAGGGGAGCCAGCCCCTGACAGGATGAATTCACTCCCCGCAGCCAGGCTGAGTCCTGTCTCTTCTTCGTCACTCAGGGCCTATCTGCCAGGCTTGGTACAGGCTGGCTTACCAGTAAATTCGGAGAGGAGAGAGAGCCTCAGCCTGAACCTCAGTGCTGAGGGGAGATGTCAATTCACTTCCACCTAATAACACTGCAGGATCAGCAGGCGAACACACACATTCATTACCAAGTCTAATTAGGCTGGCAGACAAGTGGCATTAATCATTTTTGACTGTACCTGGGATTCAAGCCCCCCACACTCCATAATCAGAAAATTTCATGCTCTGATGAATAGGGGGAGAAATGAAGCCCACATTTAATCCTTTCACTTTCATCTTTTGAGAAGACAGGAAATAGGAGAGAAAAAAACAGAGGGTGCAGCGTGAGGGGCTCAGAAGGCCTCTGGAAAGCAATTTGTGTCCTTTGTGAGTCCCCTAAGGCACACTTTCCTGTAGGACCTTTCCCGAGAAATGGCCCCTGTGAGAGCCTGGTAAGAGGGAAAGATGGCATAGGGGTTTTGTTATCTATCACAACAAAGCACCCATTATAGGGCTTAATTTTCCAAGCCTCCAAAACCCAACCTGGCTGTAAATCAACCAAAATTAAGACACACACTTCAGTATGGTTGGAAGCGTGGAACAAATGCCTTTCAAGTGCCCAAGGTAAACACAGAAGCCATCAGGACAACAGAGGGCATTTTCGGAGATGATGAGGGTAAAGTCATTTCCCTGCTTTGGGAACAGTCAGTGTCAGTATCCCAGTGGTCTATACGGGTAAAGCACACACAAGGGGCCATGAGTCTGCAAGATCAAGGCTGTCACATGGGTGCTTCCAGCCTTGCAGAATCAAGCTAAAACCAGCCATTCACACAGAGGCAAGAGCTAGGGAGGGACCCACCACGCTCCATGTGAAAAGTGTCCACACCTTTCCCTGTGGACACTATGGCCAGCACCACTACGGGAGAGGGAAGTTAAGGTGAGGAGCCCCAGAACCTCCCTTTCAACCCCAGCATTCAAATCACTTAACACATTGTGGCTCTGCGCAACCCCTCACCTCACTAGAAAGACTCGAGTCCAAGAAGAGACATGTCGCTCACCAGCAAGGAGCAGGGGAGGGCTCAACCTCTCCTCGCTGAGACCAGAGAGCTAGAGCTAGGCTTCTCTAACAGCCAGGCCATTTGCTCACCAAGGACACCTTACACATCCACCAAAAGCAAGAAGAAAGGTAACAGGCCACCTCTACGTTCCCTCTGTAGAAAACGGACAGCCCCTAAGAGCAAAGCCGAGGGGGCAGCTGGTGAGTTTCTCAGGTTATCTGGCTGGCCATTGCTCTCAGCAATGACCACCATTCCTGCCCCATAACATGACCATGCAGCCATGTAAGCTTTCCTCTTTCATCCTCTCTATTTCTGCCAACTGTCGCCAGACTTCCTTCTCTAACCAATAGGATTTCTTGAGTCCTGAAAATCAGTATTAATTCTGAACTTTGGTGTTGGCAAACCCAGCCTTAACCAGCGCTCAGTGACAGTGTTGGCAAACCCAGCCTTAACCAGCGCTCAGTGACAGGCTTGGAAGTGGGGGAGACTTATTAGGCAGGCAGGCAGTGCGTGAGCCATTAACTCTCGGAAGCTTTTCCTTTATGGGAAGCCCATTTGCCACGTGACTCCCATCCAGTGTCAGCCTCCTGTGCAGACAGACGTCATATATGTACCCACTGCCCTTCAGGGAAATTTAACAATACAAACAAGTGCCCCCACCCCATCAGCTACCACTTATTGAAGTGGTGGCAAGCGCTTTGCTGGATGCAAGGGACACACAGATAAGAAGCCAGTGTCTTTGTGAGCTCCTAAGCCAGGTAGAGAAAAGCTTTAGTTGGAGGCATTCTGTGAGGATGCCACAGGATTTCAGGTGGGAGTTCACTTCTAGGGGTCACTTAATACTTGAACTTCCTGGGATGCTTGTAGCACTCACTTTGCCACTGAGCATAGCAATTGGGCAGTCAGAAAATGGTACTTAACACTTAGAAAAGCAATCCAAGAAGCCAGCATGAGTGCAGACTACTGCTAGCACACTGGGACGGAGGGTTTAATTCATATTGAAAGAAACACCCATATACCTTCTTCTACTCAAAGTGCTGGATACATACTGAGAAATTAATTCACTCAATTCTCACATTAAGATGATGAAGCAGGTAAGAGTATGATTCCTATTCTTTTTAAATTTTATTTTAAAGAGAATAAAATCAAACAAAATGAAACAGAATAAAGTCAATAAAAACAAAACAATGAGAGTGATACAGGACTTCAAAACACACAATAGGAAATTAAAAATGGCTACATAATATATCTTGTTATCTTCAAAATATCTCCACTTTTTAAACAAGGAAATGGAAACAGAGACCCAGTGTCACGCACAGGGAAAATGACAATGAGGCCTCGAACTTGGGACCCTGGTGCTGACCTGCACTCTTGCCACTGCACTGGGAGGGCCTTGCATTTCAAAGTGAAGACCGGCACATCAACTGGACCTTCCACCCAGAGCAGGATGCTTAGTTAGCTCAGCCCTATCGACTGAACTCACCCATCAGAATATTACTCACTGTCTCCCAGCCAGTCACAGGCTCACAATTAGTTAAATATTAATAACAACAAACAGAGACTTCTCTCTGCAGCCCCTGATTCCGGTTCTGCTTCCTCTTTGGTGTTCAGGCATTCCCGATAATGCGTAGTTGGTTTTAAATCAGCTGTGTGGGGGGTTATGGGAGCCCAAGAACGGAGAAAGACTTCACCAGTCACACACACCCCGCAGGTCCTGCTGTGGACCTTTGTCTTCCTGCCTCTAGCAACCATGCCCAAGCAAGGCAACCAAACAATTCTAACATGATGTCAGGATTAAGCAGGGGAAGCAGTTCTAATGTGATGTGAGGATACCTTCATGTAATTATCAAGTATCACACAGATGCACACACGAGTACACACCAATACATCATTATGAGCAAATAAAATCATAAAATTATGTACAGAATGTCAACAATCGATATGGTTCCCAAAAGTCTAAGTACAAACAAGAATGCCAACGAAGTTGATTTCTTGGAATTCCAGCACAACAAAACCCATGAGAGGGAGGATACTGCCTCACTCTCTGATTATAGGTTTCGTGGATGCAAGATCTTGGCGAGGGCTGAAACTGCCAATATATGCAGGCTGTGTTCAATTTTCTGTTGGGTCAGAGGCCCTAACAGCAGCCTTCCACACACACAGCTCTTCACAGTGTCTGCTCCATATTCCTTCCTTCCTAAACTGTGAGTCTGGAAAGAACAGCACCCTCGTGCCCCCCCTCCCAGCCCCTCTTCCACTGGAGCCTGGCTAGAGTCTGAGCTCACCTCTGGGTAGCCAGGTACAGTGGGAGGTGCACTGAGGTCCTGGGCTAGGAGACAGAGCAAAGTGAGACTGCCCACTGGACACGGCTGGAGCTGCTGCTGTCCAGTGCTGCAGTGTATCATGGGGAAGGGCCTCTGCAGAAAGATGATGCAAACAGTCCATCTCCAGAGATGCTGGTTAAGGGCTGTGCTGCCGTCTGTGCCTTGTGTTTTGGGTATCTAAAACATGTACATAAACACAGAGGCTAGGGACATCCTCTGTCAGACTGGTGGCAGGAACGGGGCCGGCAGATACCTATTAAAGGAATACACATACTTTACTGTAAGAGGACAAAATAATACCTGGCGGGAAGACTGTAGATTTGCTCAGAATTTCTCCACACTGGGAGCCCAGTGAAAGGAGCCTGGTTCAGGAGGGGCTGACAGTGCCAGGCAAGAAGCTGGGAAATCACGGAGCAGGATGAAGCTGTGGGAATTGAGGTAAAGGAAGAGGAGGCAGGGTCCGAGGTTTGAGGGGTCACGCGGAGGGCACTGGGGTGCAAGGCCCTGATAGATCCCAACCTCTTCAACCTTGCAGCCCGTTTCCATCCAGAGCTTAACTAGATCTCCATTAGGGAGGAGGTTTCTGAGTTTGGTGCCTTCGGCAGATTAAAAAAGCTATTTCTCCATTAATTCTAACAAGCAAGGGTCAAAAAATCAATCAACTCAGTATCAGGCTCTGAGCCCAGTTCCAAGAACTTACAATCAAAGCAGACAAATGCACGGGAGACAGCTGAATGACCTTGTGCCCAGCCATCAGCGCAGCCCACTAATGCGCATGCAGATGAGTGGGGACAGGTAGACGGAGGCACACACCTGTAATTGTCAAACACTGCTCATCCATACAGGGACAGTGGACAGTCACTAAAGGACACCAAGCCGGGGACGAAGAACCTGCGTGTCTGCAGGGCTGCCTGCTTTAAGATAGCACCTACCCTGGAGCCAGAGAGCGCAATGCCCTGTCCCTTGACCCTGGACTGCGGTCCCGCGCGCCCTCCCAGCTCTCCCCGGCGCTCCCAGCACACTCACTAGCGCAGCGCAGCGCCTGCCGCAGCACCTCGCGTCCGCACACGTCGCACCAGCCAGGGCCGCCCCGCAGCGCCAATTCGGCGAAGCGGTGTCCCTCGCCTCTCTCAGCCGGGACGCGGGGATCCTGCGGCTGCTCGAAGATGCTCCGCACGTCTCGGGGACGGGGCGCTCCAGGCCTCCGCCGCAGTCTCTGCTGCAGACCTGGTCGGAGAGGGCGAGCGGGTCGCGAGGCTCGGGTCTGGGACTCGGGGTCCCTCCGGACAGCCCTGCGGGCGCCGCGCCCCTCTTGCGCCTCTGGCGCAGTGGAGAGGGACGCGGGGAAGCAGCGGCGCGAAGAGCGGCCGGGGGGCGGCGGCTCCGGGCCACTCAGGCTCTGCAGAAAACGCGGCGGCTCGGGGTCCAAGAGAAGCGGGTAAGGGCGCTGCCCGATGGCCGGGGACGCCATGGCCATGCCCGGCTGGCGGCAGCGACTCCTCCCGAGCCAGCCCCGAGAGAAGGGGCGGCCCCAGACCCGTGCGCCTTTAAAGGGACCGCAGCCCGCAGGGCGGGGCCAGGGCGGGGAGACTAAGGAGAGACAGGAAGGGTGACTCGAGAGAGCGACCCACGGACCGAGGGTAGGATTGGCAGTGGGCGGGCCCGCGCGAGTGCGGATCTGGGGGCGGCTTCAGGAAGCAGAGTGCCTATTGGGGCACGGAGGATTCTGCATAGGAAAGGCTCCAAACCACGCAACTCCGAGGCGCCTGTTTCTACAGGGGGCTCTCTGCCTTCGGCCAAGCCTCTTTCCTCCCCCAGCTCCAGATCCATCCCCTCGGGTACCCCAATACACCCAGGTGAGGGACAGGTCGGAGGGAAGGGCTGGGAACTGGCTGCCATGGGGCCTAACAGGGTCCGCCGTCCTGGTGTCCCCGCCTTTTCAGGGGTGCCGCGCTCAGTCCTTGGCTGGCCCATCCTTCCACCCGCTCCCTGGCTTGGGCTGGGAAAGCCCCGAGCGCGCTGGGCTGCAGCGCAGAGTCGCGTGACGCGATGGGACGCGCGCGCCCTGGAAGCTTCGGAGCTGACCGCTGGGAGCAGCCTCCTGCGCTCACTACGCAGTCCGCGTGAGCGGCCTTTCCCTTGGCTCGGATTTCCCCTCACTTAGGCTAGTGTTCTTTTCCGGAAGATACTCTCTTTTCCCAGAAGATCTTTATAGTGATCACGGTCCCTGGATCCTGGAAGCTCCCTGTGCCGCGTGGGTTCGTGCGCCTTTCTTCCTAGCCAAACCCTCCTCCCGGCTCAGTCGCTGCTGCAACGCCAGCTGGCTCTGTACCTGTGGAACCCTTTCCTGTCACACCGGGACTTGCCTCCTGGGGCCCTGCCTGGTTTAAGGATTTGCTGTCACCACTTCCCAAGTCTTAATTTTTGAACCCAGGGTCAGGCATTTGCTTTTTGCACTGAGTCCCAAAATTATGTAGCCGGTCCTAAGCAGGATGGGAAGCTGTAGAGCCGGGACTCCTGAGTCTGCTGCTAGCCGGATTTGGTTAACTGAAAATTGGGCTGGGAGCACAGAGGCCGATAGAGGCTGCTGGGTTCTTTCTTAACCCACCGCATCCTATCTTTCCTCTTACAGCAGGTATTTGATTGGCTGATTTAGCAGAGATTGCCTGAACCAGCTCTGAGAATACAGTATCTGAAGGTCTTGCTTCCTGGTTTCTGCCAACCACTGATTGAAAATATCTTGAGAAAAAACATAGTAACTGAACAGATAACACACTTTTTCCTTATACATATGTCCATAAACAATCTAACGTAATTATTTACCTGACACGCACATTGTGTCGTAACCTGGGGGTGGCTAAAGTACACTGGGGTTGTGTGCAGGTTAAATGCAAACACTGCCATTTTCTATAAGGTACTCCAGCATCTATGGGTTCGGGAGTGGGAAGGGTCCCGGAATAATCCCACATGCTCACCTCCACCCAACCTCAGGAATTGTGCAGAGGGGACTAGTCAGTTCTTCCAGACCCGAGTCTCCCTGTTATTCCCAGGCCGGAGATGGCTCTCCCCCTAGTGTCTGACAGGGGAATTCTCACTTTTGCTTTTTATTTTCCCCTTGGAGGTAATTTCTAGGTAATTCCTAAAATTCTAGAGTCCAGTGGTCAGGAATCCCCGGCTTCATCCTCAGAGTGGTGGTAATCAGCTGCTCTTCCTCTCAGAGTAGGGTCCAGGTCTCTGGGTCTCACCTTGTGAGGCTGTCCCTGGGGAGAGGGGAAGAATGGCCCTGGGGGCACACCAGAGTGCTCCAAGCAGAAGGAGCTGATCTGGGGGACAGAAGCCAAAAGCAGCCCCCTCTGCTCCAATGCTGCTCCTCCTCCTCCTCCTCCTCTTCCTCCTCCTCCTCCTCTTCCTCTTTCTTCTCTTCTTCCTCTTCCTCCTTCCCCCCTGAGGTTCCCAAACCTTGGCTCCTGACAGTCACCTGGAGGGCTTGTCAAAGCACACCTTACTGAGCTCCACCCCCAGTGTTTCCAAGCCAGATCTAGGGCTGGGAATTGAGATTTTGCATTTTTAGCAAGTTTTCAGGCCATTAGTCTTGCTAACCCCGGGAGCCCATTCTGCTCGGTTCCTGTAGAATTGGTAAACTTCAGTGGGAAAAAACCCAGCAGGGACTGTTCCTCAGGACTTTCTGCTGCATGTCTAAAAGGGAAAGTACAGTGTGTTTTTATGGCCTGCTGTTCCCACTGCTCCCAGTATTTTTGGAACCAGATCTCCAGGAGTTATGGCTGAAGCCTGTGCTGCCTGTCGCCTGTGCTCAGGTCCACCCTGTTATCTTGCAACCTATCTGGAAGTCGCTCCCTCTCAGGAGCACTACAGAGCCCCGGGGCACAGACCTGGCTTCAGTTCCAGGTGACCAGTTTGGTGTGCAGAGACAACAGGGTTCTGGCAGAGAGCACAGCACTGGAAGATCAGTTTTGAAAGGTCACTCATGAAATAACTGCCAGTGGTCACCACCCCTGTCCTTCCCCATCCCCTGGCCCCATGCATCATTCAGGCAGCCCAGCCTAGATTTTCTGGACAGAAAGGCGTCGTGACCGGCATGGGGACTGAGGGCCATCGTCTAGAGCTAGCTGGCACACAGCTTTTCCAGCTTCCCTGGTTCTGTTTTCTGGCTGCAGTCAGTTCAGTGGAATGGTTGTCGCTGCTGTCAGCACAGGATGGGGAAGGAGACTGTGCATTTGCGTTTGGGATGGGAATAAGGATCTGAGTGGAGATAACAGAGCTTCATGTAACCAAGCCAAAAGTTTGTCGAGTTTATCCTAAGGGTTGTTTCCCCAGCCAAGAAATTGAGGTCAGGGAAGACAGTCAACCCTCCTACACTCAAGAGTTGGCTCCCTGCATGGGGCCTGCCTCTTCAGATGCTGCTTTGGCCAGTTCCTTCCTCCTCCTCAAGACAGCATTCCCTCCTAACAGACACAGAAACACACACACACACAGATGGAACTCATCCCTCCTTCATCAAGCTGGAAATGCTGAGAAAACCTCTGGTCCCCTTGTAGGTCAGGACATTGCCTGGGGTAGCATCTGGGGTCTGGATATGATTTTCTGGGCGCACGCAGGCTATCAGGGTGAGGCTGAAGCATCTTCTGAGGGCAGCTGCTGGGAGTCCGTCCCCCCGCCCCCGGCCCACGGGTGGTGGCTTTTTTGTGATGGTGACTCACTGGAAGCACGGTGGGTGTGCGGTCTTTATTTTTTACCAAGGGGTAGGATGATGACAGTGAATCTGAGCGTGTGGCCAGTGTGAGGTCACTTCAGAGATGGTCCCAGAGTGAGCTGGTTTCCTGATTGGGTGATTATTTCCAGGCTGTCCCCCAACTTCCTTTCCCTGCCCTCCCAGTAACAACACGGCCTGATTTTTTTGAAGGGGAAGCTTTTGGTTTTGTTTAACTTTGAAGCATTTGAGATTACCTGATATCCCCAAAGCTTTTAGGGAGCCCTGGAGACAGCTATACAACTGTGCACTTGGAATTACCATGTCGGTAATTCCATAACCCAATCCCAAGTTGGGTTATGTTTCAATAATAAACAGGGCCTGAATCTCAGTGTCTTTAGATGACAGAGACCCTTCCTTGTTCACACTGCATGTCCTGTGCAGGGTGACAGGGGCACTCTGCTCATCAGAGTCACACTGGGACCAGGCTGGTGGCAAAGCCATTCTTGTCTAACCCAGCCAGACACTGTGCGAGAAGGAGATCAAGAAAGCAGGAGGACTCATTGGCATTTCAGAGCCCCCTCACCTCCACTCAGGACCCTGGCCGGGGACAGTTACATGGCCCCACCCTACTCCACAGGTGTCTCACAGTGCAGTCCCAGCTGGTCATCAGAAACGGGGAGAGCTGGAAACATGTGCCACTAAAGGCCAGTAAGGTCCTCAAGGGCATGGAAAACTCACTTAGCAAGCAGTGCCAGTGTCGGCACTCCAGGTACAGCAAGGAAATGGACTGTCCTTGAAGCTTTAGTAGAGGTGCCACATGACAAACAGTTGCCATGTGTATATCAGGCTGCAGGCGCTTCAGTGACACATAAAGCGCATGAAACGGATAGAAAGTGACAGGGGTGACCTACAGTATTTTACGTGGACAGGAAGGGCCTTTGTGAGATGCTGACATTTAGCACAGAGTGAGAGGAGTAGGTCCTTTCAGCAAAGGCCCCAGGCAGAGAGAGCACTGGCCCCACAGCGCTAGCTTCCCAAAGGCTGTGCGCGTGAGTTTGTTCAGAACAGGGCTACCCACAGCTGTATCCTGCGAGACTGTGAGCAGGGACAATGACAAGTGCAGCTGGGAATTAAAATCCCTGCGTCCCCCTGAGCCGCCCGCCAGTGCAGGCGAGCGGGCACCACTCCTCTCCCATCTGGCTTTGTGGGATAGTGTGAAGACACCACAGGATCTTTTCCCAGCTTTCTCTCTTTTACTTTCCGGGTCTGGCCCAGATGCCAGGCCCTCCACAGAGCTTTTCTGGAGTCACCCTGATGAACTTGCCACCACTTTGTCCCTGTGTCTTATTCAATATTCACATCATCCTAATGTGAGTCACTTCACTTTTCTCTGACCCCTCAGCAAAGAGGAGGAGCTCGTTCAGTGAAATGAAGTCAGCTGTGGGCTCACACCTGTGCCTGGGCCAGCACATAACTGTCCCACCCTGTAAGCCCCAAGCCGGTACAGGAAGAAAGAAGCCCTGAGCCCCCCTGGTCTGTGCAGAGGAAAGGGTGGCACTGGGGACTCCTGCACATCCACTAAGGTGGGGACACTTCATGGGTTGGCTGGCCAGGGCTAGGGACCAGCTGAGCACCCCCCTTGCTCTCAGGGAAAGAGACTCCATGTGTCTCTCACCTCCAGTGATCCTAAGGGAGTTTTCAGGGTGCTGGACCATATTTGGGGGTAAGAAGGGCAGATGGGGAGGAAAGGCGACCAGAGATAAGGGGGCTCCGGAAAAGGTGTCACCCTGTGGGGTGGGGTGGGTGCGGTTTTCCATCAGTCGAATGGCGCCTCCTCCATCTGATTTCAAGCATGGAATTTTCCCATCTCGGCCACTCTGCCAAGCTTGGGCTAAGCCTGGTTTATATATTGTGCATCCGTGTGTATGTGCGCGCGTATGTGTTTTCTTTCCAAGTTGGAAAAACTCAGAAACCAGGCAGCTTTGTCAGCAGCTTTTATTCCTCAGCCAGAGGGGAGCCTGTAAGCCGTAGCCACTTACATTCCAGCCCCAGCTGGCCTGGCTCCTGCAGGAAGCCGCGACTGGGTCAGGGCAGAGCAGGGGCAGGGTAGATGGTGACAGCGACAGCAACCCTCATGGAGTCTTCCTGGCGGTCCCAGCCCTGCCCCTCTGCTCTGGCCTCCTTGTTCTTTCTCCCTCCCCTCCTTCCTGCTACTCCCATTTCCTCCTCCTTGCCCTGTCTCTCCCTCCCTTTTGCTCTTTGCTGCGGGGTGTGGGGGAAGGATCTATGCCCATCCAAGTGGGAGAGACTGCGACTTCCGAGGAAAAGAAAGCTACTTCTGGTCATTGTGGCCCATTGCTTCCCACCTCCTGTGGGTGACTAAGGGCCCTTCAGGAGCCGGAGGGGGAAAGTCAAGAATTCACATCTTAAAAAATAAAAACCTCTGAGGCTGCTTCAGGTGAATCCCAAATGGCGGCTGCAGCCATCCTTGGAGGGCTTCTAGTGAAGTGAGACAGCAGGGTGAGACAAATGGGCGATCCAGAAGGAAACCTGTCCTCTCCTGAGAATGGCTTCCCAGCCTCTGCGGTCAAGGAGGGCTGGGCAGGGCTGCCTGATCCAGGGACCTCAGCAGGACATCTGCGAACTCTGCCTCCGTGCCCAACTTCAGCTTGTGTAAGAATCGACAGAGACCCCAGCAATGCAGACTCCTGGCCATACCCTCACCAACTGGATTCAGGAGCTGGATGGGGCCTAGAGTCTGTGTTTTGAATCTGGACACTGATACCAGAAACTATGTAATCTGAGAGGGAAATACAGCTGTAGCCTGGTGGCACCAGGGCATGGAAAGAAGTCCCAGGCCTTCCAAATTTACTTCAAGCAGAGGGAGCAGAGACACCCCATACCTTCAGGCTAGACCCCTTTTTAGCTTGGACAAGTCTGTTCTAAGAGGATGCCAGCACCCTGGACTTGAGCCCCTCGCTGCACTGAAACCAGAACCTCTGAGGGGCCTCTGAGGTTAGAAGTAGGCATGGGGAGAGGGCACTGAGAACCAACGCCTTGCTTTGGTACTTTATAGAAATAGCTATTCTTACCAGTGATATTTCACCCTCCCCACAGGTGCCAAAGGGTATTACCTTAAATACCGGTCAGACTTGAACTAAAGCCTGTCCTTGGGTCCCAAATGCTTTAGTGTGGCACTAACCTTTTGGGGCCAGCTCCTCCCTTTCTCCAATGTGATTTCCTACTTCCTCTTACTCCCCAGGAATGCAGAAATACTTAGTCCCTTCTGGGCTTCAGCTGGCCAGTGCCTACCATGCTTTCTTGGCAACTTAGCACTGGCTCACTCCCCAAGATTCCACTCTGGGGCCACCTGGCCCTGGTCACGCCCTGACCGCCCTTTACAGCCTGATACAGACATCCTGCCCTGCCATGATGGGGACTGCACACAGCACCAGGATTGTCATTCCTAGAATAGTATTCACCAGCTAAGGCTGGAAGTGGTTGGCATCCCTGCTTCCCCCAGACCTGAGCTCCTCAGGGTGGGGCAATTGTCCCTGTCACTCCTCCTCCTGGTCCTGGCCACTGCAGTACTGTTCCCACCGGATGAACTGAACAGCCTCTTTTCAGGAATCACTCCAGGGAAGAAAGCAAGGACTTGGGCATCTTTAGGCACCTAAGAATGAGTACTCTGGGTCATGGGTACACATCCTCATTCCATTCTGAGGTGGAACCAGAAGCTCTCTGAGGTTCGGATGGGTGGAGGTTCAGCTGGAGCCTTTTAGTGTGTCCACATCTCATGGGCTTGCTTCTGAGGTCAGATCCTGGTTTACTTCCCAGACATCTGTGTCTGACTCTCAGGAATACCCTGGCTCTTTCACAGTGCCCCACCAAACACATGGGGTCCAGACCAACCACAGCTACCAGGGAAAACCCACTGTGGGACTTTTGTGCTGGGCCACTGATGAACCGGAAGTGCCGGTCTCAACTTCTCCCCAGCAGAGCAGACAAGGGGTGACCCAGTACTCTGGGCATCAAAGCAGCAGCTGGTCTCTAAGATCCTAGAATTCAAATCCATGGCTTTTGTGACCTGCTTGGCTCAAGGTCCAGAGAGCAAACAGAAAGCTTTTAGACTAGATTCAAGCCAGCAGCCTCCGGGAGCTCTGCCCCAGGTTCAGAGCCTGTGGGGCTTCCCATGGAGAAGCAGAGGAGCTAGAGCGGCAGCACTGGAACCGAAGACTCTCAGACTCCCCAGCCCCTGCCTGCAGGTCATGGGGTGGAGCACCAGGAGACACTGAGGAGGCCACAGAGAGGCGGGAAGGGTCTCGGGCTATTTGGCATCAAGCACAGTCTACCTTCATGCTCCAGAGCTCATAGTGGGGCTTCTCACCTCTCTCTCCTCCTGGCTGCCTTACTGTGTCCCCTGTTCCTCCTACCAGTGTCCAGGCTGGGTGGGTGCTCAGCACCGGGTGTCTATCTGCAGGGAGTGACTTATTTGCAAGCCTTACCCAGGCGCTGCTCCAGCTTTTACACTAGAGATGAGGGAAGACTTAAAATGTCCCATAGCAATACTGAACATTTTACTCACACTTTGGTTGTAAACAGTGATGGGGAGGGGCAAAAGCAGTAGCTACTTAGTGGTTTAGGAGGGGGGTTTAAAAAAAAAAAACCTAAACTTTCTCCAGGCCCCATGCACAACTTCTCAGAGAACAGAGACAGAAGAGCCCTTCCTCCAGCAAGAAGCCATCTGCCGTGGGCTCTCTCCTGAAATTAGGATACATTAAGCAGGAAGTGGAGCCTGGAATCACCAGCCTGGCCTGTTTCCCCATTTTTGTCTCCTCACAAATTCCCCACCTAGCCCTGTCTGGTCAGCCAACGCACCCAGCTGAGGGCCTCTCTTCCCCTCCGACACAGCCCAGCAAGTGCCACAGTGAACAGACATGGCAGCGGCATTTATTCCACCCCTCCACTCCAGGCTTGGGCCTTCCAGGCGGTGCTGTCCGCCCAGCTGTCTGCAGATGACCCCCAGCTGTACCCCAGGGCCACGCAGCACCTCAGAGAGAGTGGAGAGGGAAGAGTCCCCAGAGTGCTGGCCTCTACCTCCACCCACCTTGTCAGCCTGAGCAGAAGGCTAGTGAGGCTCTGCCACCTGTGACTAACGGTGGTGACCCTCAGGAAGTCCGGAGGGGAGAGTCAAGACTCTGTCCCCTGTGAGTTGCTCAAGGAGGAAGAGGAAGGAAGACCCAGGCCTCCTCTGTGGATCCCTGGGGAGGCCCAGCCAGCCTCAGCCCTCCATGCCAGGGGGTAAGGATGAGGCACAAAGGCCAGCCTGGTGGTTGCTGCCATGGTTTGTTGTGGGTCCTGACAGAGAAAGCCAGGGGCACAGGCAGCGGGCGATAATGCTGGGGACAGCTCCTGGCTGTGCCAGGATGGAGGTAGAAGGCTGAAGAGAGGGGACCAGATGTCACCCTGGGTTTGTCCCATGTGCAGGAGAGCAGCGTGCAACGCCTCTGATGCTTCTAGAAGGCTCATGCATCCCGGGAGCTCAGGCGTCTGGAGGAGATGAGACTCTACTCAACCTGCAATGAGAAAGGTGGGCAGCTGTGCTCAGGAGCTACCCGAGACCTCAGCACCGTCTGCGTCCTGAAGAAGCCCAGCTTGGTAGGTTCCCAGCTCTGCTCTTGCAGCATCCTGTACCCCACTGCCTCTCAGCTCAGACTGCATGATAGAATCAGCAAGGAACTTTACAAAGCCCTTAACCCCAGCCCATGCCCAGAGTCTCTGGCAAGACCTGGGCATGCACCTTTGAGGAGCTCCTGGGTGAATTCTACCACTCAGCTGAGTTCAGGGGAGGGAGAAGGAGGTCAAACTGGTTCATTTGGCTCTGTACCTGCAGATCTGAATAAGGAAGTGAAAACTCCCTAAAATAAAGTTTGCAAGGGGACTACATATCATAGCAAGACAAATTTATGTCGGCACTAAAATTGGAACTTCCTGACCAGAGGGTTGTTTTGGAAAATCTTTCCAAGAAGCTTCAGAATCTCCTGTTGTGGATACTTAAGAAGATGTACCAGGTCTGGTGGCTCCTGTAATCTCAGCACTCAAACCCACTCCTACCCGCTGCTCCCCAGCTCCTTGCCTATCCCAGCTTATTAAATAAACTCTGTTAAATAAGCCCACATGAGGTAGGAATTATCATTCCTGTTTCATGGGGGAGAGGACTGAAGTTCAGGGCTGAGCAGGGTCTTCCTGAGATGTGTGTAGGTAAGGGACAGTCAGGATCCAGTTCCTGCCAGGATCTCTGCTACCTCTTCTGCCGGGCCCCTAGGCCCTCACGGGGACAGGACAGACAGGATGCTGGGAGGACGTAGCAGCGTGTGCCAGTTTGTGTTTTTCTTTTGAGATCATCTCTCTGGTATTTACACGCTCTGTGCAGTCTTCTCCCAACGTGTTACAGGAGAACTGGCCCGCTCTCTCTTGTGACTTTTATGGGGGCCCAGAATCCGAAAGCCTTTGCGGCTGCATACATTCCCCTCTGTGGCCCCAGCACTGTGAGCAGGGTGGGAGGAACAGGACCACGGGAGCAAGGGAGGCAGGGGTGACAGGCCGTGAGGACCAAGCAGTGTGGGGTGGTCTGCAGGAGGGGCCTAGGCACAGAGCACTGCCTCCTCTGGGGAGGACCATGGGGACACGAGGAGTGGGTGGGGAGGCCTCATACACAGCATCCACCTGTGCTGAGGGGCAGGACCCGCATGCACACCCAGCTTCCTGCCTCACAGTCCTGGCTCTCTGATGGCACTGAGCACTGTGTTTCAAAGACTAAGTGAAAACCTGGTGCATAACCCTAGCTGAGGCAGGTGGATAGCAAGTAAGGGCCCAGCTGGGCAACTCATCAAGACCCCATCTCAAAATAAATCATTTAACGCAGCTCAGTGGGAAGGCCCTGGGTTCAATCCCCAGTGCCATGAACGGATGGATGGATGGGTGGATGGATGGATGGATGGACAAGGATGGAATGAAACCCACAGCTCCTCTGGACAGCGACTCACTTGCAGACCAGACCTGTGCTGCAACACTTTAGCAGGAAGTGAACAGATGCCTTCCAGCTTGCACAGGACCTTAAGGACTCTGTAACCTGAGGGCACAGCACTGGAAGACCCAACCCTCCCAACACAGCAAGGCCTCCTTACCGCTCGATGACACGGTTATTGTCCTGGAGGTCAAAAGCCAGCAGCTTCATCTCCTCATAGAGCTCCTGCATGCTGTCCATGGCAGAGGCCGGAGAGCTGGGTGAGGCCGATGTGCCAAGGCACAGACCTCCACTACAGCCCCACTCAGGCAGTGTCCAGGAAAACAACTCGGCCTTGAACTCGCAGCCTTCACACACATGCAGGCACGCACACATGCACCACAGCATGCACATTCATGCCATCTGGCACTTACTGCACAACCAGGTCCTTTGGAGCAGCGCTGGGATGTGGAGCCATGGTGGGCGGTGAGGCCTCAGCCCCGGACCTGTCCTGAAGGAGCTGGTCAAGGATCTGAAGCAAAGCCACGCTTTAGTCAGGGGAGGTGCCAGATTTGCATGGTGGGGTAGGATGAGCAGGAGGGGATAATGAAACTGCCCCCGCCTGCATCCCTGAATCCCCAGAATCGTCCTATCTTCCCCACAGGCCCTTCCTTCACATCCTGGAAACACAGCTGGCACTATTCTCACTTGTCTGGACTCCAGTTGAAGGATCCAGGCTGCCCAGTTCACTTTTGTGTCTAACCTCAACCACTCAGGACGCATCCCACGCCACAAGCTTTGGAGAAGGAGCAGGGGTGACCCTGACTGGTCTCTGACAGCAGCAAGTCACTGCCTGAGGCACCAGCAGGAGGCAGGAGGCAGCGGGAATCCCTGGGAGGAGCAGCCCCTCTCCAGCCCATGACCAGCACCCATAGCCCCTGCCCTTGCTCTTTAGTCTGAGATCAGCAGGAAATGTATTCCAGACATGCCCTGTCCACACCTTGGGGCACATTTGTAAGTTAGAGACCTCTGACCTGCATGGAAGTCCTAGGATTTGGCCAAGGCAACTCTGTCTTGCAGGGGAACGATCCCCACCCCAACACACACAGGGCACCCAAAAGCCTCCCCTCCACAGCCCCTTGGTGGCCCTATAGGCTCGCACCTTGTTCAGGTTCTCCTGGGCTCCCTGGGCTTCTGTGTTGCAAGTGGACACAGACCAGCTGGCCAGGCGCAGTTGGTTCCTGGTCTTCTGCACCTCTCTGGAGAAGGCAGGTAGAGGTTAGGGTTGGAATGGGACCCAGCTGTCACCTTCCAGGGCCCCTGCCATCATCAGGCCATCACACAGATACCCCTGGGTCCAGGCATTTGCTCCCCTCACAGCCCCTTCCCTTCTGAGTGTGGCTCAGCTATCACCTGCCCCACTGTCATATAGCGGATGATGCTTGTCATCGGGCTGTGTGTGAGCAGGGATATTTGCTCTTTGCATAGAGAGGAAACTGAGCTATTAACCTGTGTTGGTTCCACCCTGACTCCACACCACGGTCACCGAGAGGGGCTTTTAACCTACTGCTGCCCCAGCCCTGCTCAGACTTCAGGGTGGGCTGGAGACAGGAGCCAGGCACCTCATACCATGAGGCTGGGGGCTCACAGGCCTGCAGGTCGCACGGCACTCGGGAAACCGCCCTCTCTTCCCAGAGGGGGCTGGGCTCACATAGTGGGGGAGGCAGGGGCTACCCGAAAAGGAGCCCCCAAGCTCCCAGAGGTACCGGGGTGAGAGGAGTCTGTCAGAGGACACTGCCTGCCCCTGCTCCACACTCACTCCAAAGCCTAGAAGCTGCTTGTCCTGGCCTCAGGGGACTTGGTGTCCCATCAGCAAGGACGGGAGACCAATGATCCAAGCCTCAGTTCCCTCACCTGTCATCCAATTACAGAGTAGATACTGTGGAGCAGATTAGCAAACCTAGGGAAGTCACCCAGCAGGTGCCTGGTCTACCAGGTCCCTAAACCTGTGTTTCTTCCCATTTCTTCCTGCGCTAACTTCTCCCTCCAGGTCCTCTGCAGCACTGGGGCCCACAGGTTTAGGAGAAAGGAGAGGCAGGCCATTACCTCATCCACTTGCCATGTGTGACCAGGGATGCCTGATACTTCTGCACACACTCCTCCTGGAACACCTGCAGGAGTCTCTTGGCTAAATGACTGAAATTTACCCTGGGGAGACCAAGAAGCGAGGCATAGGCATGAGCGACCATGGCCACCGGTGCACTAAGTTAGCATCTCTGTCCGTCTCCACCACCACCTGGCACAAGTGCCCAATGCCTGGGCCCACCACAGGGATAGGACCCGAGGAGGAAGGAGACAATGGCCACACACTGGGACTCGGAAGGCTGGAGGCCAGCTAGACAGATGCATCAATAGGTGGACAAGGAAGGGGGACAAAGGGCCCTGGAGAATGCACAGGACACACTCAAGCTAGGTCCCTGGGTGAGAGGACACACAGTTACAGGAAACATGACTGTGTGTGCACATGTGTGTAGGGGTGGGGGAACTGCGAAGCCTCCCCCTGCCCCTGGCCCCAGAAACCTGTCCCCAACACAGCTGCCCCCAACCCACTGCCCAGCCACAGCTGGGGATCAGGGCCTCCCCCTGCCCATTTGGCACAGGGCATCACTGTGCCCTGTGACCCTGTCCCACCCCGCTTCCGGAGGCCGGGGCACTCACTTATCCAGCTTGTGGATCTGTTCCTCATTGTAGCCAAGCCCTGAAGGAAATAGTCGGGAATGAGGTCACCTACTGAAGCAGTCCACACCACGGAGTGCCACAGGGTAGGGGACAGTTACGCAGATGCAACCAGCCAGCCTGGGGTCGAATTTTAGGGGAGCCCGCAGCCCAGGGAGCCAGGATGGGCAGAAGGAGGAGAAGCTGCGGAGAAACTGCCACAGGCTTCTGAGGGAGACGCCTGTGCTGGAGCGACAGAGATGCTGCAGATGGGGTGGCAAGGATGAGTGGCCCCTCACCAACACTCACAAGTAGCTAAGGTCTGCAGCTGGCCGTCATGCAGTCATGCTGCACACACAGCCAGTGGTTCTGCAGGAATGAGCTGGAGAAGCTGGGCTATCACTGGAGCCTCCCCTCTCTGCCCAGCCACTTTTGCCAAAAGAGGCACTTTTGCCAGCTGTAGTTTTGCATGCTGATACTCTGGGCCTGAGTGCTGAAGAACCCTGATGCTCAAGTGCTAGGACGTGCTGCCCCCTGCTGGGAATGGCCCTTCTAGATAGTGGTGGCTGTAAAGTGAGGTGACGCATTTAAGTCTGCCCATTCAGCTCTTCCCAGGACTCCCTCCCTGGGTCTGCAGCAGCTGACAGCACTTGTGACATCTGGAGCTCTGGAATAAGTCCCAGCCCTGCCTGCTAACAGCAAGTGATCTGGCCTCAGGGAGCCTGCGTCTTCCTCTATTCATGTACTTCGCAGGACTCCTGTGCAGATCTTCGAAGAGGCTGCTCAGAAAACTGCTAACCCTTTTCCACTGGCTTCCTCACCCGCTCGCTCTTATGCAGTACTAGTGATTGAACCTGGGGCTTTTCACTGAGCTGCATTCCCAGGCCTTTGTTACATTTTTATTTTAAGCCAGGGTTTTCCCAAGTTTGCCCCAGCTGGCACTGAATTTGAGATCCTCCTGCCTTAGCCTCCCTAGCAGCTGGGATTACAGGCATGCACCAGCACACCCAGCTGGAATAGCATCTTTTGCTGGTGTTCCACATGTGACCAGTTAAGGGTTCATTTCTGATTTTGATAAAGGATGTGAAAGGCCATTAGAAATAAAAGTCCTTCAAAGCTGTCAAAAGGGGTGATTAAAAGCAGTGGGGCCTACATTGCCCTGGCTACTTAGCCTTTCTGTGTCTCAGTTTCCTCACCTGTAAAATGGAGAGGATATGGTGTCTACAGTGTCTGTGAGCATTAAATAATGTAAAAACACCACAGCCCTTAGCATGGGTCCTGGCACCAGGGAGGGGCTACAGTTTTGAGTGACAGCATTGTGGACTCCAAGCCTCAGGTTTGAAGTCACTATCAAGGCAGCCAAGTGGGTATGGGGCAGCCTTGTTGAGCCCCAAAGTGCTGTCAGCCTCTTTGCCTCCCCTAGTCCTGTGGGTCCTTGAGGCCAGACCCAGAGGCAGGACCAGGGCCTGTGAAGAAAGAGGCTGTCCTATGTACACCTGTGTGTCCACTGCAGTGACCACCAACACCCACAGCTACAGAGCTCCTGACACAGTGAGTGCAACTGAGAACCTGAGTTTTCACTTGAATTAATTTGAATTTTGAAACTAATACAGTGTAACATATCTTTCCCATTAAACGTAGCTTTATGGTTTCATTAACACTACATTTTACTTCGTGATACATTCAGCTTCCAAATATAGGAGTGCCATCTCATGAAATACACACGAGATTTTGAAGCCTCACCACAGACAAGGAACATGAAATCTCTCTTTAATCTTGTTTATACTGATTACATGCAGAAGTGACACAGGGGATATATTGAGTAAAATATATCAAAATTAATTTCACCTGTTGCTTTCTATTTTCTAATTTGGCTATAAGCTGAGCATGGTGGTGCATGTCTGTAATCCCAGCACTTGAGAGTCTGAGGCTGGAAGATCCCCTACAAGTATGAGGACAGCCTGGGCTACGCAGGGAGTTCAAGGCCAGCCTGAAATACACAGTGAGACTCTGTCTCAAAAAACTAAAACAAGGCAAAAATGAAAAATTGGCTGCGAGAAAATTTAACAATATATATGTGAATGGTGTCCCTGCCCAGGCTCTTCTTGAGGTACAACAGATAATGTTGGCAAGATGTATGGCCCAGTAGCACCAACTGGGATTTTTTTGATCCCCTTTCCTGGAAAACCTGGCTACCTCAGTGCCCCAAAGTCAGTACACAGGAAAACACTCAATAAACTATCAAGTGCCCTGGCACAGCAAGGAGGCCCTCTCCTGGGCTACTTCTGTTTTGTTTCTTCAGGACTGGGACTGAACTCAGTGGTTCACACATGCCAGCAAGTGCCCCACCACTGAGCTACATCCTCAGCCCTTTCTTAAATTTTGAGGCAGGGTCTCTAAGTCCCCCACGCTGGCTTCAAATCTGTGATCCTCCTGCCTCTCTGCCGCCAGGGTGGCTGGGGTGACAAGCATGCACCACCATACCTGGCCAGGGCCACACTCCATTGCATCAGGCTCCAGCCCACTGCACCCCTACTCACGTCATCTGAGCTCTCACAAGGCCATGTGCAGATGCCAGAGCTGTGTGTCACCCGCCAGCCTGCAGGCTGTGTGACAGTGGGGACCTGGCCTTGGACCAGCTGTGCTGGGTACCCCAAAACATTGGCAGCAGAGCAGCCCCAGCAGCTCTGCAGGGAGGACACCACATGACAGGAGGGCCGCCTAAGGGCTCACCTGGCCTCATCCGAGACTTCTTGAACTGCTTATAGATGAGGTACATCTTGTCCAGACAACTCTGGATCTGCTGGGTGCTGTGGCAGAGGCAGGGAGAATCAAACAGCACAGGTAAAGACCAAGGGAGGGGACCAGGTAGCCGTGGGAGTGGGCATAGCTGTGCTGGCCCTGAGCGTGGACACCTTGGTCCTCCTCCCCCACCCACTCACACACCAGCACAGCCCAGCTGAGTTAGAGAATGTTGAGCAGCGCTGCCCCTTGGAGAGTGGCCCTTGCCACCCGGAAGATGGGGAGGCCTAGGCACTGCCAGGACAGAGGCACACAGGAATCGCCCCTGGTCACCCGGCCAGGCCAGAAAGCTCCACCTTCCTGGGCTACCCACAGTCTGGCATGTGGAAGGGATGAATCTACAATCTTGGTAGAGCAAGACAGACCCCACAGACCTCAGCTCGGCCTATAAGCAGGGAATGGGAAGTGACCTCTGCGGGCCACCTATGCCTCGGGTTTAACTTGGGTTTAAGGTCAGGACTGTTTCTCACTTCTGCTTTTGGGACATAAGCACTTCGGGGTGCTGGGGTGGCCTTCCTCACCCTGGGGTCCACATGCTCTATTTCTTCCTGGGTTTCCTCTGGGCGAGCCATCTCTGCTGTTTTGGAGATGGCTCCTGGCTCCAGCTACAGCACAAGGGATCCCTGGGCTCCGCCACCCCCGTACCCTTTTGCGAACAGGGGGTTGGGGAGCTGGGGCTCAGGACCAGGTGGGCTCTAAATTCAGAATTGCCTTCTAGTCTCAGGGCTTCGACTCAATGCACACAATACACTGTGAACCCCGTGGGCATGGGGGCAGCGCCCCAACCCGACACACTCACCCTTGTGAGGAGCACAGGGAACCCCACTCTAAAGGGTACATAAAGGCTGCAGAGCCTGGGGCTGGCGGTGTGTTCAGAGTGTCGAATTTAGAACGGGACAGGATTGCAGCTCTGAGGGGACCTGGCCCCCTGACACAGCCACATCCACTAGGGGGCAGAGGAAGGCCTTTTAAGGTTTGTGAACTGGGAGAATGGGGTTTTGGAAAGGTTGTAAATCCCTGCTTCCTCCTGCAGGCCAGGAGCACAAGCTGGAGGTAGATGGACGTGACCACAGCCTCACTTCATAACTCAGGATTCCATAGCAAGGAGGCCCTTTCCAGGGCCACTTCTCTCTTGTTTGTTTCTTCAGGACTGGGATTAAACTCGAGGTTCACACATGCCAGGCATGTGCCCCACCACTGAGCTACATTCTCAGCCCTTTCTGTGTTAGTTTGAGGCAAGGTCTCACTAAGTCCCCCAGGCTGGCCTTGAACTTGTGGTCCTCCTGCCTCTCAGGTCAAATGAACCCCACAGAGGGAGGAGGTGTTATTCCGTTCCTGCTCCTAGGAGGGAAATGGCTTGGCAGAGCAAGAGGTCTTTCCATGCCAAGCCATGGCACCTGCAAAGACCCCTAACTCAAGTTCCCGGATGTGCAAAGGACCCAAAGACCCTATTGTCCTGATGGCTGGTCTCAGGGCGGGTCTGGCCCATTCCTACCCTAGCACCTTGCCCAAGGCAGGTGGGCTTCTGCAAAGGCTGCTAGACCGTTCGCACTGTGTGTCTCCCAGCCTCCACCCCACAGATTAGGAAACTCCCACAGACCTTCTGTCTTCATGTACCTGATCCCGGTTCTTCGCCAGCTCTGAGCTCAGGTGGTCCAGGCTCACCTGTGTCTCTGCCATGTCTTGGGAACATCTGGAGAGGACCGCAGCCAGCTATGGGATGAAAAGGCAAACATCTGTGGGGTCCTTGCCCGAGACTCTGCCAGCAGCCCCACCTGGACCACTGACCACTGACCACCCCCAGCTCACTCACAGTCTGCAGCTTGGACCTCAGCTCTGTGGCCCTCTTCAGTTTCTGAATCTCAGGCATCTCAGGCATCCTGGCAGCGCTGCTGGACCTTGAGAAAAGGAAGGAGGAAAGCTGCATTTGAGGAGGGACCAGAGAGCTCTGTGACGGTTGCTAGGCAGGGCACCTCTGGGACAGTCTTACTGGTTCTCAGGTCTCAGGGGAAAGGAGTCGCAGGTTTGGGACAGAGGAACCCACTGGAAGAGGCCCTGTATACCAAACCTGTGACATTGTTGATTCCTGCAAAGGATAAAAGTTGCATTGGATTCAAACTCCTTGAATCTGTCAAATGTATTAGTGCAGGTGGCTGAATGCATCCCTGACCAGGAATGTTTGTAACTAGACAGAAATAATAAAGTTCCTTTTAAGTAGGAACTGTATTCCATGGTAGCCAAGAGTTCGCTTATGAAGGGAATCCATCTTCTGTGGACGACTAGACAATAACCTGAGAGGACTTGGAGTATCAGTTCCCTGTTGGTCCCACTGAGACGGCCAAGGAGATGCCCATGTGTGCAGAGGGAATGGCAGGCTGTCCCTACCTAGTGGTGTCCCCAGCACCATCCTTGATGCACTGCAGCCTGTAGCACTCCTGACTTACAGGAAGTGCCAGGAAAGAAGAACAAGCCAAAAAGCACCAAGAGAAAGGCCCAGACACTCCACTAAACCAGAGGCATGGAACCCAGGAAGTGGAGAAAGGGAGTCTACTGGCTTCAGCTGTAAAGAATGGAATAGCCAGGTACTAGGTGTGGTCCTGGACAGAAACCTAGTTTGGAAATGAGCAGTAAAAGGAACTTTGAGGGATCATTAGAAACATTGAAGAGAGATGAGCATATGATGAGATCAAACTATATTGTCATGGGGCAAACTTATTTGCCAAGAGTAGCAGGGCATAAAGTAGCAGAAAACTTGCATGTTACTGGTATATATATACATCCCTTTACAGTAGGAAGCTGCATACTAGCAAAGGATATATTAGTAAAGAAACCTCACAGGATGGAGGTGGGGGGAATCAGCTCCCTCCTCCTGGCCTTCAGAGCCTCATCTTCCAAGAAGGCTGCTCTGTGCTGCTCTGCCCAGGTTGCAGTGCCCTATCTGGGTCCCTGTCACCCTCATGATGCAGCAGCAGCCCCTCTGTGTGATGTGAGGTCACACCTATCCCTGGACCCCTTGCTATGCCAGGGTGTGTGTGGGGGGTCCTGCTCAGAGGAGACCCACCAGGGCTCTGCAGATGATCCCTCCTCTCTGCCACCATCTGAAGGGGCTCAGCCATGATGGAGGACCCACCTGTCACCCAGAGTCACACCTCTTCCTCCCCTGTGTCCTCACTGTGTCCACCTGCCCCAGTGTCAGGCTGTGATACCAAGAGCCAGGCAGCCAGGCTGGGAGCCCCTGCACCCCAGATGGGAAAGGCACTTCTGGTGTGGCTGGCAGGATCTGTGCCGTTACCACCCAGTTAATAAGGCTGTAACTCAGGCTCCTGGACTCAAGCGCTGCTGGACTCAGGGGATGCTCCTTTCTTCAGCAGTGCTCTGGCCATGGGCTCTTCCCTTGATTCTCATCCTCAGACTCTCCAAAGCCTCCCCAAACTCCCTTTCTACACCGCCATCCTCATGTAGCCCAAGACAGGAGAGTGAAAAGTGTGGGGTTCCAAGGACATGTGAAGGGTAAGACCACTGCACCTCTACCCAGTGATGCCCATGGCATGAGTGTCTCCCCTGGGTATCAGAAGAGAGGGAAAGAGAAGGCTGCGGGAGTCCCCGCTGGCCGGGGTAGGACACCTACCTCTCAGTGGCCAGGCTGCTGCCAAGGAAGAGGAGGCTGGTCCTGGTGACCTCCAGGGTCTGCCTGCACGTGGCCTGGAGCACCTGTCTGCTCAGGAGTAGTGTGAATTAGGGCCACCTTGTCCAGGGCTCTGGGGGCATGGGGCAGTGCCGAAGAGAGCCCTGAGGTCCCTCCCCTTCCCCAGGTCCTCAGGGCACTCACACGACCCAGTGCAGTCCGCGCAGCATCAGCTCCTGCCCATTCAGCAGAGCCCGCGCCAGCCGCAGTGCCTGGTGACCAGCGCCCAGCACACCCTGAAACACACAGGCAGGCAGGGTCCAGTCCTACACCTCCCACCCCTGTGCCACACACGCCCTGCCACCTGGGGCCACTCTCACCTTGGCAGTGCTGTAATCTGCCTGCAGGTCCACTTTGGGGACAAACTTGGGGATGTCCACAGCAGCTGCAAAGACCCCATATGAGTGGCCTGCCTCTGCGACTTCGATCAACTTCCTGGTTCCCAGGTCCTCACTCATCACTGCTTATCTCTCACCCCAAGCTTCCCAACTCATTCAAAGCCCCAACTTTCCAAACCTCAATGGGCAGTGGCTCTTTCCCATTGCAGTTGTTTTCTGCCATCTAGTGGAAACTTTGGAAACTACATCCTCAAGCTTAAGGCTCACTTCAACAGCCAGTAAAAGGGCTAAACCTTGCCGTTGTTTTTTTAAGATTATTCTCCTTTCCCCACCTCAGAAGTCAAGGAGAAAATTGAGGCAGCATTCTAATGATAAGGAATGATATTTTTTTCTAGAATTTAGAGAAAGAACAAAGCTGAATCCCTGGCCACTTGCTGTTTTTCTAACACAAACACCCTGCAGTGTTCCCACCAATCAGACTCTGCCAATCAGACTCAACAGCGTATTAAATCCAAAAGTCCTTGTTTCAATTGGATTTTTTTTTTCACAGCGCTGAGGACCTGGCAAGCCCACACAAGTCATGTATCATCTTAGAGTGCTGGGCAGAATTAAAATCCAGACCTGGGGATGGGGGTTTAGCTCAGTGGCATAAGTGCCTGTCTGGTAAGCACGAGGTCGTGAGTTTGATCTCGGGGACAAAAAAAACAAAACAAAACAAAAAACCAGACCTGCTTCTGTATCCTGTGGGCCCCAAAAAACACCCAAAAGGAAAACTGCCCTAGATTTTAAGCTCCTGCACCCTAGATGAGACCCTCACCCTACAAACGACCCAACCTGGGTAGCCCTACTCACGATCCCTGAAGGTCAGACCCCTGGGGGTGTCGCTGGCCATGCTGAACAGGGTCAAGGGGCTGCTGGCCGTCGTATGGCTGATGTGCTGTGCTGAGAGGCTGGGCTTGAAGACACAAAGGTGACCCTCAAAGAGGTACTCTTGGTGCTGGGGCGCCACATTGGTCTGCTCATATACTGCTTCCAGAAAGATGGCGATCCTGGGCATGGCAGGGAGAAGGGGAGGGGAGGGGCGGCAGAGTCAGGGGGCGACTGAAGGCTGGAGGACCAAGCGCCAGCCGGAACTTTGCCCAGGGAGAAGGCTCGGGTTTTCAGCGAGATGGAGAGATAAAAGGTGGGGTTCATGTCTTAGAGACAAAATGGGAAGGGGATGCAGGAGTCCCCAAACTCAGTATCCGCTTCTGTACCTGTTCTTGCTACTAAAATTCTCCTAGTCCTACAAAGCATTTCATAAAAAATCCACCACACACACACACACACACACACACACACACACACTCTCGCGCATGTGTGCACGTGCATACAGTTGCGCATGCGCGCGTGCACCCCGGGATTTAAAATTCACATTAACCTTCTAAAGGACAATGAATCCAAGGTGTAAGGAAACCTTCCTATCTCGATGGAACTAGTACTTTTCCAAACCCATTGTTAACCCAAAGCTCTCCAGTCTACTATGTCCTCAGCAGCAGGTCCTGCTGCTCGGGTGGAGGAAGTCCCACCTCCCTCGCCCCCACTCACGTGTTGTGGGCGTGGATGTAGATGTGGTGCAGCACAGACTGGGACAGGCAGAAGACGTGGACCACGACCCGCTGCAGGATGTTACTGGTCTCCGCAAAGAACTGATCGAAGCCCCAGCACTTGGCCTCTTCCACCTCCAGGATGTTGGCCAGGATGGGTACCAGCTGGCTCTGCAGCCCCCTGTCCTCCCAGACACGGAGACTGTCAGGGGCCAGGACAGGATGTATCCTGCTTATGTTACCATGAGGGCGACCCACAACAAGCCCCGAGGGCCCAGGACCCAAATGGTGTGGCAAGACAGGCAGAGGAGGCATTTCTGTAAAATCCTTGGCCACAAAGGCAGCATGGCACACCCAGTCCACAGCAGCCTGGGGCTGCACAGGCCAGGCTCTGGAGTCCGGACTCATCAAAGAAAGTGGTGCCCACTCACATGGACAGCTGGCAGGTGACCGGGAGACTGTAACTCCACTCCAGGGGCCCATTCTCCCGCCTCTGCGCTCCTGCGATGGCTCCTGCCGGCTTCTCCGTGGTGATCCGGTACCTGGGGGCCAGGGCAAGTCAGCGGGATCCCGAGTCCGACATGCCAGTGGCAAGGAACTCAGCAGCAGGGCGGGTCCATTCTAGACCAAATGGGGAACCACACAGCCAGCCGGTGCCCGGGATGAGTGTGTGTACCTCGACCTCACTGCTAATCCACTGACAAGGGTCCACATTCAGAGGCCAGGGCCAGAGGACTGGGGGTTGGAGAGGTCAGGGGAATTCAACAGTGAACGTGGGAACCTCATTTAACTTCCTCTCACCCTCCCACCAGGGCCATGGCGCCATTTCTGGAGGTGCTTTCTGGGATGCCCAGTCTGTCCGGAAGTGGCAGGTCCAGCCTGGAACTTGTCCTATCCCACCGCCCTCCCCTTGTCCCAGCCATCAGCCAAAGCCCAGGTCTGCCCACTGTGCACATCTTGTGCCTTCCTTCTCCAGGCTCACAGCAATACTCAGCTCCAGGTCCCAGGGCCGTTTTCCCACCTGCTCCCCAACCCAGCTGTGGAAGTCGTCCCAGGACTGGGTCTTTTTCTGGGTTAAGCCTTCCATCCCTTCTGAACCCTTGAGTTTTGATGTGATGCCATCTTAAATCTGCTCTGGGAAGTGCCCTCTGGCAGTCACTACTGTCCTCAGCGGGAACCAGAGCCAGGCCTTGGACCTGGGAAGCTGGCCCGCCTTAATCCCACCCAAAGGCAGCTTTGGGTGGGCCTCTGTGGCCCTCCACGAAGAGGGGTGAGCAGGGAACAAAGGAAGGGAGGAGGGAGTGTGCACAGTGGGGAGGTGGAGGCAGTGAGTTCGAGCCCAGCCTGGACAACTGTTTTTCAAAATAGAATAAAGGGCTAGAGAGGTAGCTCAGTGGGAGAGCACCCCTAGTATCCACAGTAGCAGAGAGAGACAGAGAGGGAGAGAGAGGATGGAGGAGAAAATGATGTCACCCATCAAGAAGCCAGGGAGAACTCACCTTCTGGTTTGATTGACTAACAAAGGGGATGGGGGCCCAGAGCTGGGGGGCAGAGGGGCCTGCAGAGAAAGTCCCAGACCCAGACCCCCCCCCTTGCTGCGTACATGATCTCCTTGTTGCGCCGTGGCCCCCCAAAGGGGACAAAGGGCAGACTGCCAGTGGCTGCATGGTACAGGGTCACCCCGATGCTCCAGAGGTCCACAGACACCCCGAATGCCTTCTGCTGGGGCTTGTGCAGCACTGCCCGCTCGTATATGTCAGGGTGCTGTGGGAAAGAGTTAGAGAGCGGTGTAGACACCAGGGGTGGTGGGAAGGGTCTGAGCCCTCACCCCTCAGACCCTTCCATGGCCAGCACTCAGGAGGCTGAGGCAGGAGGATCACCATAAATGAGGCCAGCCTAGGCTACATAGCAACTTCAAGGCTAGCCTGAATGACATAGTGGGACCCTGTCTCAAACAAACAAAAAAGGTGCTATCCTTTGCCCTAGGGCAGGTGGGGGCCACTGCGTCCCTCCCTCCTCCATGAGGGTCAGACAGACTGGGGCAGTCAGTGACCTCTGCTGTTCTAAATAATAGGATTGGATGTAACCTTCTGGCTGGGTGCAGGGCTGAGCTAGGACCCTGCTGGAACAAGGGATGGCTAGATCCCCTCCTGCGGGAGGCTCAGGCTCTGCAGGCAGTGGGTCCCGGCAGGCCACCCACCAGGTACTCCTCTGTCCCATAGACAGAGATGAATTTCTCCTCATCGTCCAGCTCCCGGGCGGCCCCGAAGTCGGTCAGCTTGTAGATGCTCTGACCCTCCTCCCCGACCAGCCGCATGATGTTCCCTGGCTTGATGTCCCGGTGGACGATGCCATTCTCCCGCAGGTGATTCATGCCAGACACTGGGGACAGACAGGCCTAGGGCTCATCTCAGAAAAGCTGTCCTTGGGTCCCGACGGACAGGGACTCCCACAGGCAGGCAGGGCCACAGCAGAAGCAGAACAGAGCTGGGCAAAGGAGGAGTCCTGAGGCCACTGGGCTGCTCTGGGGTCTCTATTCAACGCAAGTGCACCCTCCTCACCTATGCTTGTGTGTGCATGCCTGTGCATGCATGAAAATACACCTTACACATGTTTGTGTGTGCATGAAAATACACCTCACAATTGCTACCTTTACTATTTTTTCATCTGCAGCACAGTGACAGGGTGTGTCACCACTGCCAGGCAGACGTGGCTTCCACCATCTCCTCACATTGAAGCCCTGAGCTACAGTTCCAGCCCAGCCCCCATCTTTTTTTTAACTTTGAGACAGAGTCTCCCCAAGTCACCAAGTTGCTAAGGCTGGGCTCAAACTCGAAATCTTTCTACCTCAGCCTCCCAGAGTGCCGGGGTTACAGGTATGTGGCTGAGAACTTCTTCCCTTCTCAAGGCTGAAATATCAACTGCAAGTGGGCACCACATTTTCCCCTGTTTAGGCTGTCTCCACCTTCTGGCTACTGTGAATAATGCTGCCTTCAGCATTTGTGGAAGATCTGGTTTGAATTTCATTTTTAAATTGCAGTCTTTTAAAAATCAGACACACAGATTCTTCTGTGGATGCACAGCCTGGGGGCCCAGGGTGTCCCTTTGTGTTGGGGTTAGAGCCTGAGAGACCCGAGAGGCCACAAGGCTGCTCACCCACACAGCGCAACACCACCAGGAACTCCTCCTCCGGCAGCCCAAAGGCATTCTCGGGGCTCTCCAGCACACTCAGCAGGCTCCCGCTGGAGCAGTACTCCATTACCAGCACCTTCTGCCGGCCGGCCCCCTGCAAGAGCACAGGGAGGCTAGGGAAGGTGCACTGCCCTACCCCCACAGAAGAGGTAGCTCTTCTCCAGGTCCCTCTTCCTGGTCGCTGCTTGGGCCTCCCAAGGCCCTACACACTGGAACCCAAGGCTACCTCTACCAGGAAGCCCTCTGGGCTGTGGCATGGACGAGATGCCCAGTCTTTTCCCAGGTGAGGACCCACTTCTTTCCGTCCTTCCTCCCCACCATGGTATGGCTCTGACTAGCATGTGATCAAGACTCTATTATCACAGGGTTCCCCTGTCCGCAGACTCTGAGGGTCAAGGACGAGGCCGCCCAACCCTGACCAAGTCCAGCACCCACCGTTTCCTCCACCGCGAAGAGCTTGACGATGTTCTGGTGGTTGAGCTTCCGCAGCACCTCAAACTCCCTTACCTGCACTTCGCGGGGCCTCAGGTAGCTCACAGTGTTGAAGACCTTCACGGCCACCAGCTCCCCGGATTTCTGCCATGGTCAAGGGTCAGCATGGGAAGACTGAAGGTCCCACCACAGGGAGAGCAGCCACCCTCTGCAGGCCCTCCTGCCAGAGAGGCTCCCACCCCACCTCCTCCCTGCCTCAGGCTGTGTGTGGAGATGACCAGAGCCCAGCGCCCCGGATGTCCTGCAGGTCACAAACAGGGCTGCAAGGGCAGCCAGGCTAGGATTGATACCAGGCCTGCCTGGCTAAACTATGGAGCCTGAGGGTAGAGTGGCATCTCCAGTATGGGTACAGCCCAGCCGCAGACAGGTCCGACCTCCCACCCTGCTGTCCCAAGAGCCCTCCCACACTCACCCCCCCCCCCAGAGGTATGCTTCTGCCATCGATCCCAGAAGCCTCTGCAGTGCCCTGAACCGTAGCTGAACCTGGGCACCCTGACTTGAGTGCACACAGCAGCCACTCAGGCCCTCTGGGGCTGTGAGACTCCTGCCTGGCTAAGGGCCACCAGGTTGCTGCATACCTTGTTCCGGGCCTTGTACACACTGGCGGTGGCCCCCTGTCCCAGCAGATCGTCTGTGTACCACAGGTAATTAGCTGTGCTCTGCATCTCCTGCTTCGGGCTGGCTGACCACCTGCTACCTGAAAAAGTACACACTGGGGCCCTAGGACTCTGTCCCTGCCCTGGAGGGCCAGCCACCAGGACCCTGAGACTACCTCATGCCAGGCTCCATGTGGCCATTTCACAGGCAAGGGAGGCACAGAAGGGTTGAGTAACTTCCCCCAAAGAGGCCCAGCACAGAGAAGGAGTCACAGCAGCAGGTTCTCAGCTCCAGCCCAAGCCTGAGCCACTTGAGACCTGCCCATCCTCACCCCTCCCAGGCAGTTCCTTCTGCAGACAAACCTGCTCACTGCTTCACCTCTTCCCAGCACTGAGGACTCCGGGGCTTTGGCATCCAAGCCTGGCACTGTCCCAGGAGCAGAAAGAGCACAGGAGGAAGGGCCCTGGGTCAGGCAGTAGGGCAGCAGCGCCTGTCACAGCACCACAGATCTCCAGGATTGCGACACAGCCTGGAGCCCCCACGCCACTGCTAGCTGGCCTGGCCCACCACTTCCTGCTGCCGGGGCCATTAGGTGCTGGCCCAGAGAGGGACAGGGCTGTGGAGGGAGGAGCTGAAAGCCCTCTGCAGCTCTCTTCCCCATCTTGGCTCCCTGTCCTCCCCAACAGTGATGCTGGTTCCTCTCAGCCATTGTGGAGAGGCTTACAAAGTGGAGACTCAGAGGTTACAAATCAGTGTCTGAAAAGCAAGGCGTCTTTGGGGACGCCTAGGGGCAGGGGCATAAGAGGGGTGCCATTCCTTCAGTGTTTGAAATAAGATTGGGTCAGACTAGCGCCTTTTCCTGCTCTGACATCTAGTTTTGAGCATCACCAGGCCTGGAATTCTCTGCTACTTGGCTTTGAACCTTTTCTCCTTGCAATCCCATTTCAAGTGTCCTGTGGAGTGTGTCTGGGCTTGAGCCAGAGGCCACTTGGAAAGTGTGGGACCACTGACTGTGTGTCACCTCCCTCACTCTCCAGAGGGCTAGACCTCCGAGGGGCCCACAAAGCTGAGGATGTGTGGGTAGCAGGCACTGCAGTGCCGTGCGGTGCGCCCCCTGCCTCCCCGCCAGAGCGCCGCGTCCAGTTTTCAGAGGAGCAGGTGGATATTGGAGTTGGTGGACAGAAAGCACCGGGGCTGCAGCCCTGCCCACAGCCTGGCTTCCTGTCCTTCCAGGGATGCTTCCAGGGCCAGAGCACTTACCTGGCTCTGGGGCTCTGGGCACAAAGTCAGGTCAAGGCTCTTCCAGGTGAGTGAGCGGGTGTTACACTCTGTCTCCAGGCCAAGTCCAGGGCCTGAGCTACAGCGGAAGGAGCAGGGGAGGGCGGATGAGAGGCTCCCTCAGTGATGTCCGATTCTTAGCCCCCATCAAAGGCTGCCAGCCCCAGCCCTTAACCCTTTCCTGTTTGTCACCCCTCCTCCCAATGCACCAGCACGGTGCAAGCTGTGAGGGGGGTGGTTTCCAGCTCTTTTCCCCAGGGGCTCTGGGGTCTTTCTTGGCCACTCCCACGCCTGGAACTCTGGCCAGGGAAAAAGACCCCTGGGAGAGGGCTCACCCAGAAGGCGATCCCCAGTTTGGGTTGTCAGGAAGCAGAGCCCAGCAAAGGAGCATTGGTGGCCCATGGTGGCACAGACCTCTCTCTGTTTCTCACTGGCCTCCAAACAGTCCTTTCTGAGACTGACCCCCAGCTATAACACCTGGCCCCTCAACAGCCACAGAGAAATCCACGGTGGGAGCCCCTCCCCCACACTGCTGGCACACACTCACCCCATCACAGCAGCAGGGGCTGCAGGCTTGTGGCACGGCAGCAGCCCATACTTTCAGAGCCTGCACGCCTTCAGAGCATTCTGTAGTCATGGGCCCCCCTGATCCACGCGCAGGCCAGCTGAAATGGCCTTGTGGCACCCTAGGAGCTGGATTCGAGGGTTTCCCGGCTGCTTCCCACCCACAGCAACACGCCCAGCTCCACAGAGCCAGGGGCTGAGCTCTCTAAACTTCCTGATTTCGTTTCTCTCTCCCCACCTCTCTCCCTCTCCCTCTCTCTCTTAAAGAGACAGGCAACTCTGTAGCAGCCACTCCCCCACCCCACCCCACCCCACCCCACCCCAAGCAGGAAGGAGAAAGAGGGTCCTGTGAGTTCCCAAGTGGAGGCGACAGGACTAGCGTGTGAGCCACACAGAGCTGTAGAAACAAGGAGCAGGCTCACTGTTCTGGCATCTCACATGGCTCATGGGCAGGGAGGTTCAGGGCTCACCCAAGGTCAACCGAGCAGGTTGGGTGAGTTAACTTAGTAAAGAGTTCCTATACCCAGGAGCCCTAGAAGGCCCAGGATCCTGCTTGTGCCTTGACACTCGAGGAGAAGTTGTATCTCACGCCTTCCACGAGCCCCCAGAGGCACACCGCAAGCCCTGGAGCCCAGATCTGCTCTCCAGGGGCACCCGGACCCCTCCCAGCCCCTTCCTTGTCAGGCCCTCTCCGGGTTAGAGATAAGAAGACACCTACCAGCCCCACCCACATTCAGTAATTGATCTCCTCGAGCTTCTGAAACTGCTGGGACCAAGGCCAGGTGTGCTAACCTCTCAGCTAGCCCTGTGACCCCAAGGTCCTGGAAGGCTGGAGAGCTCCATGCTGCTCTGGGCAGCTCTGGGTCAGCAGCTGGATAAAAAAAAAATGGTTAAAACCAGGAAATTCCATGTTTTGATAGAATGTTGAGGGACTTTCCCAAGGCCACACCTGATGATTTCCTCTGCCAGCTCCACCCCTCGAAGTGACAGCCGACACTAACTGCCTCCCGCTCTGAGAGATTCACCTGCTGATAACAAGCAGCAAGAGCCCGGCTGCGCCGCCCTCCCCTTCGCACAGCACAGCCGGGAGCAGCAGTTGCAGAGCCAGGCTGTGTTCCCAGCCTTCCACCTGCTGGGCACGGGCGAGAACTGCACTTCCGTGGTTCTGTGACTGGGGAGGGAAAGAAGCTTGACTTCCACTTAAAGCTGTGTTGGTTCCTGCAAGACTGTTCGCCCGCCTCCGGGTAATCTGACTCTTCATATGGGGTCGCGCCAGCAGTCCAGGTCCCAAGGGGGCTGTGATGGGGCAGAGCGCCCCCTGCTGGCCCATAAAGGCTATCTGGTTTTGGTGAGAAGTCTTGTTTTAGGCTGCTGAGGTTTACACCATAACCTTGCCCCTTCCTTCCTAAATGAACCTGTGCTTTCACCTTTCTCACTCTAGCAAGCCCAATCTCCCTTCTACAGTCTTTCGCACCGGATAGCATGGTAAGTGCTGTATGTACGCGGTGGTTTATATCTGGATGTCCCCCACAAAGCCGCCTGTGTGCAGAGGCGAGGCTTATGGAAGGTGACTGGATAATGAGGCATCACAGCTGCTGCTGTCCCAGATGAGGGCTGGTCAGAGAGGCGAGTCATGGGGGGCACGGCCTCTCTTTGCTCTCTGCTTCCTGGGCTCACGATGTGAGCACCTTCCCTCTGCAGGAGATCCTTTTACCACAAAGTTCTGCCTTGGAGCCAGCTGACCAAGGACCATAACCACTGGCCCACACGAACCTCACCTGTAAGTTGTGGGTGCTGGTTTTTTGTCACAGTGATGAGAAAGTGCCTCAAATATCTATTTATCTCTCTGTCTATACATCAGTATCTCACTAGGCGTCCTCCATATCACTGTATCCTCTACCTGGATAAGATGCAGGAGTGTCCAGCCAGTGCCCCAGCTGGGCAGCACATTCACCATCACATGTGGGAGGTGTGGGGGTTTGGAGCCCCCGAGGGGAGAAAGAGAATTCAGGTCTCACCACATTCTCCTGAGTAGCACTGAGAAATCTTAGACAGAGGGGTGCCCCAGGGGCATTAGGACAGAAGGCATTAGGGTTCCTCCCGTGAGCCTCCACCCAGGAGGCTGATGGCATAGTAGAAAGGGCAGAGAGCTGGTGGTCATCACAGAGGTTTGCACCCTGGCTGGTGATCTCAGCCAAACTCTCAACCTTGCTTTCAGGACTGTTGTCTAACAATATGAGATGAGATGCCTGGTGCCTGGTAAGTTCTGAACAGATGCTAGTGTTTTAGGTGTGATGGCATAAGCATGTTGTCCCAGTCACTGGAGAGGCTGAGGCTGGAGCATGGCTTAAGCCTGGGAGTTCAAGGGCAAAATTTCGAGCCTGAGCAAAATATCAAGACCCTGTTTGAAAAAACAACCACAAAGTAAGGGCTGGATGCGTAGCTCAGACGCAGAGTGCATCTTTGCTTGTTTTGTACGAGGCTCTGGGTCCAACCTGCAGCCAGTCACCACCAACCCAAGCAGGATTTACTGCCTTTCTGCCTGTGTGGCCAGAGCCAGCTTTTTGCAGTTGGCTCACCTGCCCAGTGCCTTAAAGGAAGAGAGGAGGCTTACAGAGCCAGTGTGTATTTCCTGTGTTCTGTCACAGGTATACAGGGCTGAGTGACAGCCCTGCAGAGCTGGTTCCCTGTTACCCTGAGGACTCGGCGCTGTCCAGGAGCTCTAGTAGGGAAAAAGGGTCAAATGCTGCTGCAGACCTGGCGCTTCTTCCCAAGCTGTGGGGGCAGGAGCTCAGGGAGCAGCCCCTGTGCAGTCATGCTCTGTTGTTCCTGGCATAGAAAGGCAGCATGTCACTCTTGCTCTGGGCTCCTCCAACCTCCCCTCTCCCTTCACCCCATTCAGACAAAGACGTGGCCCTCACTCAGCTCCGCTGAACTGGAGGCAGCAGTCCCAAGGGAGCTCCCCTTCATCATCCATCTGCTACCTGCTGCTCCCACCTGCACAACTGCCTGAAGGCAATAGGAAACCTCTCTGCCAGCTGGGCCACCCTGTCATTTGGGCTGTGTGACTGTCTCCTTCCTCCTGTCCTCTGGACCCTGCTTGGCAGCAGAGAGCTTTGACACTGGCCTTCTAGGTTGTGTGCGATACTGAGGATTGAAACCAGGGCCTTCACATCTCCAGCCATTTATGTATTTATTTAATGTTTTGAGACAGGGTCTTGCTAGGTTGCCCAGGCTGGACCTGAACTTTGGATCCTCTTGCCTAGCCCCCCAGGGGGCTAGAATTACAGGTAAGTGCCCCATGTCCATCTCAGCTCCATCTAAGAACAAAACCTGGTCCCTTCTCGCATTCTACAGCTCTGAGAGTCACAGTTTCCTCTTCCCTTCTCCTTTACTGCCCAGCCCACTCCCCTGGGGCTCATTTCTCCTGTCCTGAAAATGCAGTCCAGTAGCAATCATGGTTTCCCTTTCTGACAACCTTGTGTCACCCTATGGGCCCCAAAATGCGTCTCCTCCTCTTTCTCAAACTGCCTTCTCTTGGTTTCTGGGACCCGTGCTCACTGCTCGCTCCTGTCCTGCAGGCTCCTTCTCCTCTGGGTCTCTGAAGACCAGGACCCTTTGCTCTTCCTGTTTTCCCAGGACTCTCACAGTTTTAATGTTGCTCTTCTAGCAAGATCTCTCCCCTATGCCTGAGTCACGTTTCTATCCCAGGCCATCGGGTATTTCTACCTAGACAGCCACTCGTGGTCTCAGCATTGCCAGCCCTGGTGGGTTCTTGACTTCCTCTCTCCCACCACCGTGGCTTTTCCTGACCCAGCTAGACACTCCTTCTCGTTTCATTTTTCAGTTCAACACTTATTTTGCTTATCTTCTGTTCTCCTTGACTAGGAAGAAAGCTCCATTACCTGTCTGACAATACCATATAACAGTGCTTAAAAGGCTTAAAGTTTGCTGTTACATGTAATATGCCAGGATTAACTCCCAGTGAAAGGAAACTTTCTGTGACTACAAACATTTAGATGAGCTCATCGTAGTGTATCTCCTAAGTTCACATCTGCCCAGTCTCCTTTTTTTGGTTTCTATCTGGATGAAATGGGCCTGTGTTTCAGATGCTCACTGCCACTCATGCCCATCAAACTCCCATCAAGATGACAGACAGCTCGGCATGGTGGCACACTCAGGAGGCTGAGGAGGGAGTTCAAGGCCAGCCTGGGTTATATAGTGAGATTTTAGTTTAATCAGCATCTGTCCCCAACAACAAAAAAGAATATGAGAGGAAGTAGCTTTTGCCTTAGGACCCTATAAATGGTCTCTTTTGTCCTCTATCACAGCCTAAGAAAAGGCCCTACCCTAGCCACTCAGGTACTCCAGGCTCCGCCTCTGCCTGCACCCTGGTAGGTCGGGAGGGCCTGCAAGCCTGCGGGCTGAGTGTAGGACACACAAATAGCAGATGGAGATGAGCACCCTGAGGATGTGAGGTCTCTGGGCTAGCCTGGGGCATGACCACAGAACACAGGGGCGCCCCTCTCAGTGGAGAGGTCTGACCCATGCCCAGGGTGACTGCTATTTAAATAAGCCCCTACATGTAAGCATGAGCCCCCTCAGGGCTCTAGAACTCATTTTGTTATTTTTGATATTTTGATTATATTTATAAAACACACATATACACTTGTTCCTGCATGGGGAAGAAAAGCAACTCATAGATGTGTGAGAAGGTAAGTGGTCCCAGACACAGTGCAAACTACAGGCATGGCAAGAACTGCTGGGCTGGGACTCACATTCTTCACCGAGTAGATGCTGAGGCCAATGGCATCCCAAGAAGCTGTGACTCCACAGCTTCTTGTGACATCCTGCTAATCCCAGAGACTCAGTTTCTCCTCCCAGGAAGTGGAGTGTCTGGGGTTCCAGCCCATGTCTGGCTGGGCCCACTGCTTTGGGCCTGCAGCAGTCTGTCTAGTGTGCATGGTGCAGTGACAGCTCACCCCAGGACCCAGAAGTGTTGTTATCTCCTGGTAACTCCACCTTTGCACTCTTGTAACCCAAATATAAAGGACAAATCACCCCTGTATCCACCTCCCCAGCCACGGCACAGGAGGGGGCCACAGGCAGAATGACTCAGGGCCCTGGCCTTGGTTGTGGAAGAGAAAGAAGCCCTGGTCATCCTTCGTTGTAGCTGGCAAAGTTTCCAACCAACTTACCAGGCTTCACTCCTCCAAGGGGGAAATCTAACTAAAGATAGAAATGAGAACAGTCCTCGCTGAGATCAGGGAAGGTGGATTCCGTGAAGGAAACGGTTTTCATGGCAACAGGCTGGCCAATGGCCTGCAGGGAGGCTTTCTGCACACTCGCTTAGGTTCCACATGGGAGCTAAATGGAAATACTGGGAAAAAAGAAATCCATTCTAAATGCAGCTATCCTGCGCTTGGCCAGGGAGGGATGCGGCCGGCTTAGGTCATCTCACCCCTCCCTCTGTTGCCAGGCAGGGCTCTGCTCACACAGACGAATCAAAATCCCTCTGAGCAGCTGCGCTCCTGAATCAGACAGAAGGGAGGCATGTGAACTGCAGCATCGAAACCTAAAAATGTATTTTATTTTGAAGTTGTGCTTTGGATTTTCCCCCAATCCAACATCTGTTGAGTGACAGTCTTAGGTTCACACAAAGCATCTCCAAGCATACATACAATATTCCAGTTATCAACACTATTTAAAGAATATACCATTTTACACAAACGTGACATACAAGTCAGACGCCACCACATTGCAATGCCCTGGAAGATCTAACTTCTCTCTGAAGGTAAGTCCACGGACACCAGCCCTCCCCGAGGTCTGCTCCTTCTCATGCTGGTGCCAGTGCTCCTGTTGTGGGGAGAAACCAGGTGCCCTGAGGAGGTTGGCTGAGACCAGGGTTTCCAGTTTTCAGGATGCTTGCTGCAAACTCCTCTGTTTCCCAAATTGGGATGCTGGGAGCCTCGCCCCACCCTCTTCCCAAAGGCTGACCCTTCGGAGTCCATGTTGGGAAGAAGGTATGTGCCACGGCGGACAGAGCGGGGCTCCCGGGAGCATCATGCTGGTTTCGGCAAGTGTGTCTGAAGACTGATCTCCCCAAGCCCCGGGTGACCAGCTCCTTTCGGCTTTTCGGTGTAAAATCACAGTGTGCAACCTCAATTCCAGTTGACTGCAGTGAGCTCTGCCGGAAGGACTCTCCTCCTGTCGGGTCCTAGTCCTCTGGACCAGGACATCTCGAAGGTATCAGGAGCACCAGGGATGAGGATGCCAGCCCGGCTCCCAGAGCTGGGGTTCACAAGTGACTACTCACACACTGTGCAGGTGATGACACAAATCAGCAGAGGAACACTGACCAAGGGGATGGCAAACGCAAGTCATATGCAGGGTTGAAAGGGAAATAAGGCAAGAGCAACAGGACAGGTCCAAAGTGTCGTCTTGAAGAAAGTTTTACTTTTCCCTTCTCACAGGAGAGAGTTCTGGACAGAGGGGCAAAGGGCAGGGGTGGGAACTAGTTTTGAGCAGCGGGATTAAAAGGGATGTAGAGTGTAAGGTGGGGTTTCATTTTCAACTAGGAAGCAGTTCCTTGTGTCTGAAAGCACTCCCTTGGCTCAGGACCAGGATAAGCCCAGTCAAGACAAGAGCAGGCCACTAGACACAGCAACAAAGACCAAAATCCTAAGAACTGTGGGATACGTCTTCCAGGATGACTCACGGGGCTGCAGGAGCCAGCTCCTGGAGTGGTTTCCTGACGTAGCAGGTCACCCTTCTCAGAAGGGACTCCCCCAGGCTTCTCCTCCTCCTCACACAGAATGAGAAACAGCTAAGCTTTCCATGGGTCTAACTACCAGCTTCACATGTTGGACCAAACAAGGTCTCTTCCAGATCAAAGAACACTCAGGTTTTCCCACCAGAATTGTAACCCACCATCTCTCCTAAACTACAGAAAACAAAAAGGCTCAATCAAAAGCATAGCTTTCAAACCAGAAAACACAGAGAAGATGACTGAACTTCAGTCTGGGACCAGTGAGCCTGAGATGTGGGTGTCTCCAGCTCTGGTGCTCCCATGGCAGCCTGGTGCCAGGACACAGGTCTGAGTTTGGAACCTGGGCTGGCACACACAAGGGGATCATTTCTGCATTTTGGAGGGAAATCAGGAAAAAGGCCGAAGGAAGGCTAAAATATTCAGCCTCTCATGCTCTTTCGATTCCAGTCTTGGGAAGCTTTAGAACCTCAGAGGCTGGGCTCCCTTAGTTGTCCTTGTTTGGATAAATGAAAACTGATTCTAAGGGGCAGCGTCTCTCTTTAAGTATGGCTAAATCCCTGTTGGTCCCTGGAGAGAGACCTTATAAAAATAACCAAACCAAGGGATGAACTTAAAATAATTTTTCATTTGGGAACAATTTTTATATTAGCAAAGTGGAATTTAACTTTTTAATAGGATAATGAATTTTATGCTTTAAGTGCCAAAAAAATGGGAAGAGGAAGGACCCAGTTCTTACCTTTTTCAAACCTGCCACAAATACAATAGGACTTTACTCTAAAGGGAACCAGCTACAAAACTGTCTTATACAGGAAAATGTCTTAAATGGAAAATGGTCCACTGGAGACAAAGATAGGAACGTGAGAAATGTCTATACATTCAGAGAAACTTGAAGAGCTCCTTAATAAGATTGGGTTGTACTTCTACGGGTTGGATAGCAAAAGCAAACACCAATGACCAACTCACAGCAATAGAAAAGCAGACAGAGGGAAAGCCCCACAGCCCCTCGCAGATTACAGGACGGGCCCATCCTGCTACAGTTCAGAATGAGAGAGATTGCAAAGGCTAGGTAGCTTCTCCAGACCAGACACGTTTGTAACGGAAACAGAGACCCCTGGAGGCTCCTGTATGAATTGTCACAATAATTTACAAGGAGACTGGTCTATGGCCAGGAAGCTACACATGCCAGAGAGTAGGAAAATGTGTGTGTGTGTGTGTGTGTGTGTGTGTGTGTGTGTGTGTGTGTGTAACATGAAGAATGGATTACATGTGATTCTATAATCAGATCTGGCCAAAGCCAGATGTCACTGAGAGCTGGACATAGAGAGCCAACCATGTGGGTAAGGCGTCCCCTGTGGCCAGAGGGGACTGAGATTTGGACCCATATCTTCATGACTTGCCTTGCCAGATTTCACAGTGACCTGATAATGAAAACTGTCTCTGGCTAACCTAAGAACAGTATTACTGCAGTCAGCTGGAGCAATGACCAGGGTGGCGGGAGCCGGTGGGGTGGGAAGGGAGGGGAGGGGAGGGGAAGGGAAGGAAAGGCAAGGGAAAGGAAAGGAAGAAGGGCAGGGCGGTAACAAGGGTTTTATTCTCAAGGTTTTGGATGATGGGGCGGCTAATTTTGCAAGAACAACTTAGAATCTAATTTTCAACCGAAGTCCTCAAGCTAGTTAAATAGGAAGATTTTAATAACAGTCAGTCCCTACAGTCCCCTTGTCTAGAACAATTAAATTATTTCAGACAGTACAAGACTTGTCAGTGGACTGTGGGGAAGCTGTTGAGTTGACACCAGGGCTAGTGGCATTTGTTTTGGGGAAGACAGTGGGTTTGGGTCGTGTGGCTGGGGGTTTGACCGGGGCAGCCATCTTGACAGACTTGACGGGCCGGAAGGCACAGGCCATGTCCCCTGCGGTACTGGCACTGCGCTGGAAGGTGGGCTCAGGGTCCTTGAGGAGCTGGGTGTGCAGGGGGCTGGAGGGCTCTGAGGTGGGGGCCACTACTGGCGAGGTTTTGAGGGGCTCCAAGGTGTCCAGAACCACGTCAGGGGTGTGCTTGACACTGCTCTGCCGCTCCAGCTCCCGCAGCTCGTTCAGGGCAGAGTTCATGGTGGCCTCAATATCCTGCAAATCAGGAGAAAGGAGATGAGGTGAAAGAAGGCACCAGTCCCCAGGGAGCCTGTATCAACAAGATAGGCCAAGGCATGAAGAAACCACTATAAGAGGTCCAGATTATTTTATTTGGCCAAAGCCCTTGAACATGTAAGTGATCAGAATGTGAGGAAGGGGTGACAGCGTGACTTTCATTTTCAAGTTTATTTTTCCTAGTGATTGATTTTTTTTTTTCTCTCAACGCCCCCACCCCCATCCCCTGTACGGGGGATTCCCGGAGCTACTTTGAAGCCCTTTACATTTTTGTGTTTTGGCTTCAAACTTGTGATTCTCCTGGTTCAGCCTCCTGAGTACGTAGAATTACAGGTATGTGCCACCATCCCAGGCTGGTTGAACTAATTGTTAACTAGAGTCCTTGGGTTTTGGAGATAGGCACTGAAATATTAATGGCTGAAATACATATGATCCAGCGGGCAGAACAAAGGTAGAACTCAAAAACATCTAGGAGCTGGGCCGCTTTGAGGACAGGGGGCTAGGCTAATTCTACTTTTGTTTGAAATTGTGCTAACAGTTTTTTAAAAGGAGTAGAGATGAAGTGTGATTTTTATCTTCTTGAGTTTGAAGGCCAAATTTTAAGCACATCAGTCTTTCATGGGATGTGGAAAGTTCAGGAGCCTGGTCCTTCACATTCATGGGTACTCCAGCCCCCACTCACCACTTCTACCCGCCACCACAAAAGGGGAACCACAGAACTGCCAGGAGGGGGAGCCAAAGCCCACACAGGTGAATCACCTTCAGCAGCTCAGCGAAACACACTCAGTTATCAGGAAACCAGCAGTCCTAGCCCAGGGCTTAAGGCAGAACCAAAGAACCTTTGTATGCAAGCCAGCTGCTGACTGTGGAGATCTCCCAGCTGCCTGTGCATGTGCACTGTCCAAACAGACTTGTCAGGTGCCCCTACACCACCAGTGGACTCCTCCTTGGGATTAAGCTCACACTGAAACACTGCATGTTTTACGCAAAGGCCCCAGTGTGGATTCTTTGTCTTACAAAGTGCCCCAAACTTTCTTTTCTTTTCATTTCTTTTCTTTCTTTTTCTTGGTACCAGGATCAAACTAATGACCTCACACTTGCCAGGCAGGCACTTATGCAGCTGAGCTAAATCCCTGGCCTCCAAGCTTTTAATAGTAATTCTACTTTCACTCATCCTGATGACATTCTTAAAATCTGTGTGTGTGAGACATGGAGGATTACAGCCAGGGCCTTACATATGTTGGTCAGGTTTCCACCACTGAGCTACATCCCTAGCCCTCTAAAACCTTTTAGACGTTTGGGAAGAATTCCATCTGCCCCCTCGGCCAAGCTCTGCACCTGGAGTCTATCTGTCCACCTGCGTCCCTTTTCATCCCCTGTAGTGCCTGACCAAGGAAGGACCAGGGAGGATTCTCATGGTGCAAGGTCAGCTGCCAATAGGTGCTTGAGCAGAGCCACAGGACAGAAGGCTGGCAAAGCAAGACATCTCAGACCTGTAGTTTAATACTGGTCTGCCGGGTACACCTCCTTAAGCAAGCACCAATCAAGCCAACAGAGACCACACCCAGCCTGGACAGCCCCCTGGGAGATGGAGACTGCCAAGGGCTACAGTGAGCCTTCAGTTCCTACCTGGTCTAATGGAAATTATAGAGCTGGGAGAGACGTCTGAGAGCACTGCTTGGAATGGCCCTGGTAGTCAGATTTTTAGAGGTGGGGCTGGATCTCTAATATTTCATGGAAAACACAGTCATCAGTGTGACGCAGACGTGATGGAAAACGCTCAAATAGGGAGCTTCTCTCCTGCTGCTGGAGCAGCGGGGTCAAGACCTGGAGCGTACTGTGGATCAGTCAATGGCCTACTAGGTATCAGTGACAACTTCAGGAAACAGAATCATGTGGGTGGACAGAGCCATCTACAAATGCACTATGACTGTATCAGGGTCTCAACAAACAGTGTCACAAAATCTACCTGGGCCTTGAGACCTCAAACTTGGGTTGAATGGACTCTCCTCAAATCCTCTACCTATTGGCTTTAAAAAGCAGCAGCTCTGCAAATTGCCAGAGCAGTGGCATCCTGGTTTACAAAGTTAATTCTCTTCTTGGCTGGTTGCAAATCGAGTTGGATGAGAACTGAATCAAATTTCCCCGTGAGGTCAACACCAAACTTAACCCTTGAATTTGATTCAGTCCTTATTCAAGTCCGTTAATAACCAGAATCATGGAGAGAGTCAAGCTCATGAACTGAGGCAGCGCAGAAGCCTCTATCTAGTCCTGGGGCCTAGCAGGGTGCACGAAGCACTGTGCTGCCTGAAGTTGTGTCACGAGCATGGACCCACACTAACTGCTCATCCAGGGCCCTCGGTTACCTGTGCAATGACCTCAGGGTCCATGGGCCGGTGGTTATTGAAGCTTTTTGACCTGCCTGCTGTGGCAGTCTTTCGGATCTGCGGACTGTCCAGCCGGTTCTTCAGGGAGGAGTGGCGGCTAATAGAGTTGAGGCTCCCGTGCCCGCTGATGGAGCACTTATCTGCCCCTTCCTTGGGGAGACTCTGGCTCATGATGGGCTGGGAGGATGGGCGGCAGCTGGCCCCCACCCCCGAGGAGGAGGAGTCATTCAGGGAACTGCTCAGCCCATGGCTATCGCTTCGAAATGTTTTCCGGATGCTCCCAGGTTCTGGACGCTTCCTTTGCCTTCAATCACAAATAGAGAGGGCAGGGTGATCAGGGAGCCCCAGCTTCAAGGAGGCCAAGATAGGGGGAGAGGGGCAGGTGTGACACCCAGGGACTTGTGGCAGGAGAGGCATGTAGAGCATCTTCTCTCCTGCTCTCGCTTCCTCCCTGTGCCTGTTCCCTTGCCACCCCCAACCAGGGCAAAGGAGAAATGGATACTTACTTGTGAGTCCTGGGCACTGAGGTCTCAACATGTAAGCTGCTGTCAGAAAAGTGTCCGAATAAGGGAAAGTGTCTAGTGACAAGAGTGTCACAGAAAGACTGTGCTTTGAGGAGAAACCAAAGGCCCCAGGAGGAAGAGTCTCACCATCACCACCGAGGGAGGGAATTGCTGGTAAGAGGAGTGATAATGTTCCCAAGTTTCAGCTTGTCTCTTGGTCTAGCTACAGTGACACAGCAATCATTGTGGGCTCTGGCTTATTCCACAGACACAACAGGAGATTTACCTAGGGTGGAGGGCATCCACAGGACTCCTGTGTCACCCAATGATGGGCGGAACCCTGTCTGAGCCAGTTTGGTTCATACTACCTAAAGCTCTCAAATAAAATGGCCTGGCAGAATCCTAGTTTTGAGTGTTGCTGGCTGCTGAATAATTCCATGTTGTCTGTAGGACCTAACCTACAGAAGAAATGAGTTGCTCGTTCCAGTAGCAGCTGGGCAGCTTCAACTGTGAAGCCTGGGCAGACTAGGCTGCAGTGGGAGTCGAGGATGGAAGGAGGGATGGTAGGATCTGGCAGGTAAGGGGCCGCCTGTGAGGCCCTATTCACTGCCGCAGCTTTCCTCATCTTTACACACTTGGGGCCTGGTCCTGGTCCTGGCCCAGAGCAGCTGCTCCATGCATCTGTCTGATCAGCAGTTCTAGTCTTGTGAGTGAGCCAACCTTTAGTGGTAAAGGACATCGAGCCTCTGAAGGTCCTCTGCAAACAGCTGCAGACAGAATGGATCCCTCCCTCCTTCCCATGTTCCTCCATGGTACCCATGGCACTGTGAACTCTGAGAGCTTGGACCATGTCTCACTTTGCTCTGAATAACTGTGTTGGTGCTTGGCACAAAGCAGATGCTTAATAAATGCATAGAATTAAATTGAAAGGCCACAGCCTGATGACTTTGATTTCCTTATTCCACTTGAGGGTGGCTGACTCACAATTCTAAACTGCTGAGAAGGCAGACTTACACAGAAGCTGCAGTAAGCCACATCCCGGCCAGCCCCGGGGATATAAAGATGAGGAAGATCAAGTTCCCCATTCCCAGGAGCTCAGCCTTGTGGAGTATTTGGCTCCGTTTGAGTACCAGGAACTGCTCCCTGAATACAGGGAGGGGGCACCTAACTCAGACTGGGGGAACTCAGGGATGTCACAAAGGCATCCCCAGAGCAATACATTTTTGTACTGAGTCTTGAAGGGAAAAGAGGATCTCACCAGGTAAGGGAGGAGCTGGCAGATGTGAAGGCCTACTGGGAGAGAGCCAAGCTCTCAGGAGCTGAAGGAATTCACTTGGGAGGGGAAGGGGAAGGCTGGAAGGAAGACTCAAACTCTGAAGGGCTGGACATACTGAGGGCTGCTGTTCCCCTACCTACTGGCTGGGGTCCAGGTAAGCTGTGGGACAGATGCCTGTCCTCCATGAGCTTCGCCATGAGAATCCTCATACCATGCGAGCAGTTCAAGGGAGGCACTGACTTTCTACCACATGTTCATCTTTTGACTGTTCAGTGGTCACTTGCCACAATTCTTTTGTACAAATGGCACTGAGTATACAATGACTTAATAATATGTACCTAAGACTGGGGTTAGAGTTCAGTAGTAGCGCACTTGCCCGGCATGTGTGAGGCCCTGGGCTCTATTCCCTGCACAAACGAAAAGTCTGTACATAACTAAATATGTAAGTTTCCCTCCACCAACCCAACTTAGGTTTTTCTTAATAACTGGCTTATGAGCTTCTGACTGTAGGCTTATAATTAACAAAGACTTGTAATCAGGAGACAAAACACAATTAGCTCATAGTGACTGTTTACTAGTTTGTCTTCCCAGCAGGGAAGTGTGCTGGAGGGAAGTATAAAATTCTCAATTTTTTTACTGGTCTGAATGAAGTTACAGCTACACTGAGTCAGTGAGCTGAATACACTACTCTATGAACTTGAGGGTGAGAGCAATGGAAACAAGTCACGTGACCCAACCACTCCCCCTGCTACTGTCTGATTGGAAAGAAGCCAAGAGATCTGGCAACCTGGTGTAGTTTAAAAACAACAAGCATCTTTTATTCTCCTTCCAGTCTCAGTGTCCAGAGGCTATGGTTAACAGGTTTTCAAAGTGCAAATCATTTCATTCCTCCAAAGCCAGAAGGGAATAAAAACTGTACATCATCTCCAATCCATATTCATCAGGAGCGCCCTGGGGCTTGTCATCCTGCTGGCACTGGGCCAGGTTTCAGGGTCTGGCGGAAAGAGGTCTGTCGACTTTGGGACTTGGTGTCTGGCCCCTTGAGATGAGATTAGTTCTCCAATAACCTGAATGGCTTTCGGGGAGGCAGCAGCACACGGGTGGCGCAGGATCCCTCTAGACAGCCGGCTTGGGTGTAGGTGGAGTTAAAACCCTGGATGTTGCTAACGGCCACAGTGAAAGCTGGGGGGCAGAGGTAAGAGCCTGCCGGACAGGAGTGAGACTCTGCAGGGACTGCTCGGGAGTGGAATACACAGGGCTTAAGCAACAGGAAAAAAATGGAAAGTGATTTCTCCCAGTGTGCAAGGGCAAAAGAAAAGAGCGCCAGGGTCACACGTGGAATAAAGAGCTCAGGGCGAAGCTTCCCCTGGGGGCACGGTGCTGTCCTCTCCTCTGCAGCAGTGGATGCAGCACAAGGGGGAGACAGACACATGACATCTAATAAGCCCACTAGGCGCGCCTGAGCCTGGTGGGAAACACACAAGACTCTGAATCTTTGACCAGTCAAGGGTCAAAGAAGACATCCAACACTACTGTTTGAGTAAGAATTGGAAAAGAGAAGGCACCTCTAAGAAACAGTACGAAACCAACTTGCATAAAGTGACCAAAGTTTTGGCCAAAGTTTTAGTCGTGAGACTGCCAAGAAGCCTGGGGCCGACGGACACTGTGAGAACACACAGGAGAACACTCTGCCACAGCATGACACAGCAAGCTGGGGACCTGGACCTCCCGTGTCACCTCGCAGCAGTGATGAGGGCATGCAGCCTGTTAGGCCCACGAGCAGCGCAGGAGTGGGGATTAGGCCAGGGGTGAGGCTGGGTGGTGGGAGTCGAGTTGTTCAGGGGAGCAGAGAATGAAAAGCAGCGCTTACTTGTTGATGTTTGCAAGATAAATATCGGCTACGTGACCCCCACCGGGACAGCTGGCCCCCGCTCTGGGTGTCACCTTTTCTTCAGGTGGCTCAGAAATGACCTCAATCTCAGACTTGGGGCTGGACCTCTCCACGACACCGTCCTCGCTGGGGGAGAAGGGGCAGGCAGGCAGGGGAGGGAGAACAACAACAACACAAAAAGCAGAGTTAAATCGGCAAGATGGCCCCCCCGACACACACGCGACCCCACATGGCTCGGAGGCAGCAGGCAACACCTGGCAGGGCTGGCTCTGCAGGCAGAGACAAGGAAACCCAGGGGCCTCTGGAGGATCGTTAAATAAAAATAAATAATTTGCTGAGCATCCTCAGCTCCTCCTGAGAGGTTGGCTAGGGGACACCTGGATCCGAGGCATCTGCCCTCTACCCCACGCTGCTTTCCAGGGTGGCCATGCAGGGCCACCTCCTAGAGGAGGCAGAAGGAAGTCCAGGTGGTGGTTTATGTGCTGAAGTCCCGAGCAACGCGGGTAAGGACAGTCAGCTCTGCGGTGGCTCTGGAGATGCCGGCATTGAGACAGGACATGGCCACATGGCCACACTCTTGTAGCACATTTAGCCTCACTTAGAGCGTCCACGCCGGTCCCAGGGCTCTCCACTGTTCTCCTGGCCCCTCTGGCTAGTGATGACAAAGAAAGCCCCTTTTCCCCTAGCATTCATCTTCTCTTGGTCCTGCAGTGAGGTCATAATGCTAAATTTGGGTGGTCCTGTCCATGCACAGATCGCCACCAGGTTTGCGATGTTATCAACACAGGGAAGATTTCCCCGGAGAGCTGTGAGCCAGGGAGAGGCTGGGAGGGTGCAGACTCATTCAGGATATCAACCTTTAAAAAATAATATTAAGGGAAGGACTAAAAACAGTGACAGTGTTGTGTCCAAAGAAGTGAACAGGGCAAAGGGACAGGGAGGCTAGGCTACAGGGGACACACTTCTGCCCGGCAGACAGTGCTTTGATGGGTGGGAACCCACTGCAAGCCCCGCTAATGAGGACTCAAGGGCCAGTTCAGCTTCCCTTTGTTCACAGACATTCTTTCCCTTCTTTTCTCTGTCTCACCCCAAATCAGCCTCACATGGGTTAAATGAACTTGGGTCACTTCTAAAGGGTACTTAAACCAAGCTTCTCCTAGGAAGTGACTCGTCATGCTCATATGGAGGTGGAAGAGAGCCACCAGCAACCCGATTAGTTGGGGCATACATGGTTAAAAAAGAAGGACAGCAAAACAAAAATGTCTCCCCAGCCAGATTCTTCTGGAGAGGAAATGTATGAGGGGAGGTAAAAGCCCACATTATCACTCATCAGGTACACACATGGGTGAGTGCTGGCTGGCAGGTTTCTAAAACAAATGGATGGCAGGGTGATTCAAAGGGGGATCGGAGTGGAGAAATGGAAACACATTCTCCACTGAGTTGGGGGGCAGTCCCTTCGGGGCGACTGTGAGCGTCCGGCCCCTTTCGTGCTCCTGGGGGTTGGTCCCCTCATCCTCCTATAGCTCTCAGATGAAGTCTCACTGCCATAGTGCGCCTGGGGGCACCCCTAGAGGTGTCAGGGCCTACATACGTGTCTTGGACCACGATGTACTGATGGGGGATGAGCCCGTCGATGCCATTGTGCCGGCCTTCCCACCAGTCGTCGGAAGCCCTCTGGTAAAGCAGCAACGATGCACCCTTCTTGAAGGACAGTTCTCGGGCTGTCCGGCCCACATAGTCAAACTTGGCAATAGCCTCAATAGGCTCACACTCTGGTGAGAGCAGAGAAGGAAGAAACACGTTGTCAGGACCCAGACTCAGGAAATGGGGTGGGCAGGTCCCAGCAGCTGACTCACAGTTGGGGATAACCCTGTGTGAATGAATGTAAGCAGAGACGACAATGCTTCCCGTGCAGCCTGTGCGTCACCCCCCCCCCCCCACATCGCCTTTGGCATCCTGTCCCTCACCTTGAGTCCCTTTCTCTCTGCTGATGAGATGGACTACAACCCTGTTGTCTCTGGCAACTTCTCTGTTTCCAAACAATTCATTACACTGATCCCACTTATCATCGAACTTGCTATGCTGTATTATTTCTTCTCTGATTATCCATTAATTGCAGAAAATTTATCAAACTACATTTTAAGTAGTTTATTTATGTTACCCATTCTCCTCAGTAGAACCTAAGTTTTTTTAGTCTCTATTAAAGGAAAATAACTGGCTTACTCAACTGTGGAAATACATGAAAATAATTTGAAAAAATTAAAAGCTGTTCACAATGCAGTGTCCTTTTACTTTTGTGTAGGCTTCTGCCTCATCCATAAAATGGGGATAACAAGGAGCCCTTTTCACGAAACGGGGAGGGGCAGCCAATGAACTATACTTCGTGAACATGCAAGAATAGTGCTGTGATGTGTGTATCCAGTTCCTACTGTCACTGTTCCCATCTGTCCTAGACTATCAGGTAGAAATTAGGCAGTAAAGAGAAGACTTCCAGAAACCTAGGTCTTGAATGTCATATCTGCTGGGAAGCGGAGAAGAAAGCTGGATAAAAACAAGATCAGAGCCAGGTGTGGGGGCACACAACTGTAATCCCGGTGCTCTGGGAGGTGGGTGCAGGAGGATCACAAGTTTGAGCCTGGCCTTACCAAGACTCCATTTCAAAGTTAAAAAATAGAAAGGACTGGCTCAGTGTGAAGACTCTGGGCTCAATTCTCAGTACTGCAAACAAACACATCCCCCAAACAAACAGAAGGGCCAGGCACATAGCCCTGAGTAGAAAGTCTGCTCCTCAACAGGCTGCGCTGGAGATTGCACCCCAGGAGGCTGACCAGAAAGGTCTCAGTCTCCACAGACTCACTATGCCACTTGAGCTCTCTGACCTCCACTTCCTCAACTGTAAAATAGTGGTACTACCTATTTCACTAGGGACCAAGAAACAAATCTAACAGTGTTGAGATGAGGCAGCTCTGACCCCACATTAAATTCCCTAGTTCGCCTACTCCTCTCATAATGTGGCAGGTGATGATACTACCCTCCCATCAGGATTTATATACGCTGTCCTACTGTTTTCTCCTTTAAAAGTTGGCCCAGGACAGCAGAATTCTTTTGAAGCAAGGGAGGGGGCAGGAAAAGCTCTGCAAATGGTGCCATTTTATTCTTCTGCTCAGAAAATTCTGAAGCCCCCTGTCAGCTGCTGAGCCTTCCCAAGCCAAGTGAACCAGAAATGGAGGTGTGGAGCTGTTTGAAATAGGAAAATATGCTAGCTGGGCAGATCCTAATAAATCATGGGTACTACAGAGAGGCCCAGGATGACAGCTGAGCACTCGGGCCCCAGGCACACATCCACCGGCTGCTCAGCACTCGAGCACCTGACTAAGAAAAGGGTCTGTTTTTCCAGTCAGTCAGGAGACAGGCATACAGGTGAGAAAAGGTTCCTGTGTCCTCCTGCCCACTCCCCCTGGCTCGCTTCTGTTGGGTTTTGGCAAGTGCTTCTCTGTTCCTCAGGCTTGCTGGTTTTCAAAGCATCTCTTGCTCCCTTTGGTCTCCTCTTACCTAGCTCGTGTCTAGGCTGTGATAAGGGTTCAACATCCTGCAGGACCCAGGCTAGGAAGATGGACAAGATGGCTGTGCAAAGGCTAGTTCTTCATCTCTTCTGGCTTAATGCAAAGCCTAGTCTACCGGGGGATGTCCCTTCTAGCAAGGGAGAGATGAAAGGCAGGAGGGCTGCCTTCCTGTCCTCAGGGGACTGCCAGGTGGAAGCACATCTGGTGCACAGGACACGCGACCCAGACTGGGCACTCCACTAGGTGGGAAGCAGGGCTTCGTACCGTCATCGCTCGTGTGGTGCTCTGTGGTCACATCTTGGGTGGAGTCTTCAGCTGAGGTAGTCTCTCCATGAGGGCTATCACTGTGACAGAAAAGAGTGACCAGGATGTCAGTGACTGCTTGCAAAAGTTTCCTCTTCCCCTTTCGACTGCCTCCTGGGAGCAAGAGCCTTAGAGCAATCCTCAGCTCACTACACCTGGAGCATGCTCAAAAAACACGCAGGATGAAACTGATGACTCTGAAGGTTCTCTACTCTAGCTCCTGCTACAAAAACTGCTAGAGACTATATAGGACTTAGACTAAAGGAAAGCCCTTTAGAAGCTATTGAATAAATGGTTTAGAAAACACAGAACAGCTCAACTCCTCCAGGGCTGATTCTCTAGATGAATTTGTTCCTGGTACCCGAATGAGTACAGTAGAGAGGCAGCCAGTGATTGCTATTGGTTCCCAGTGAATCAGGTACCACTATGTGACCCCAGAGATCTAAACAGTAATCTTTTTCCTGCTTGCCTAGGTATCTCAACCAAACACTGAAGACGGTAATCTGTCTACCTACCAGAGTTGCGTTAGAAGCTAATGGTACCATTTAGTAAAGCACTTGGAGTACACAATAAGTGGTTCTTCTTTCCTTTTTCCCTACTTTTTCTTTAAACTAAATTTTTGCTGGGCTCAGATTGAACCCAGAGTCCAGGCATGCTAGGCAGGTGCTTCACCCACTCAGCTACATCTTAGCCCCTTCCTTCTGATGTTGCTTTTATGTTTCTTTGTGCTTTACTGTAAGGCCCTGGGTTTGATGGGAGTATTGGGGAGGAAGAAAAAAAAAAAAAAAAAAAAAAAAAACAAAAAAAAACAAATTCATCTTTTAAAAAATCATCCAGGGTAGAGAGAATCAAAAATGGCCAGAGGTTTCAGAGTAGATGAAAGTACTTACTTCTTTGAAAAGTAAAGAAAAATGCTGATTGCGTCCGAGGTTACACCTCCAGTGGCACACAGTGATGAGCTGGGCTCCCAAATGGCGTCCACCAGCCCCCATTTCTGTTCTAAGCCTGCTGTCTCTGCCTCCCCAAGCTCCCAGGAGGCTTTGCACAGACTGGACAACCATGTCCAAGAAGGCTCTTTGCCAAAAAAATGTAAGCAAATATAAGCCTAAAAATCTCTGATAAGTTTCATGACATTTTGGAAACTCACTGGGCTCTCAGGGCGCAAACAGCAAAGTCATCCCTTCCCATGTGGCCATCTACTCAGGTTAGAGTACTCAGGCTGCAGGAAGCCCCAGAGGGCTGGTCAACCCCACGGCCTCATCCCAGAGTTCCTGCACCTGGGTAAGGCTGGACCTGCATATCCACCATGCCAAGGTGACCTGAGTGCTGTAGGGTTAGGAACCAATGTGTGGTTAAAAATCTTTGTATTGTGGCAAGGTGATGCTTTCTAAGGTCCCTTTTGGCCCTAATATCTTATGCTTTCCTCATACCACAACCCACACCACCAACTTCCCCCAGCCCATGACACCTGAGGACCAGAAGGAGCTGCTGATATCCCACAGGCCGCTCTAGAACACAAAGTTCCTGCTTTGGGATGGGGAAATGGTTTCCCCATCTCAGAGTGGGGAAGTGGGTTTGCCTACAGCTGAGAGGAGGACAAGTGGCCAAGTGGGATTCTGTTTCCTGGCCACTCTCCAGGGGCCCTGGGCTGTCCTCCTTCACTGAGCTCAGTTTACAAGCACTTCTCTTCCCAAAGAAGAAAAAGGAGAGGTGGGGAGCTTCTGAGTGGGTCTCAGTCACTGAATGCTGCTCATTGGCACCTCTGGCACGAGGCCCAGGGCTTTCTACCTAGACTGAGACTGTGGTGTAATAAATGTCAAATGCACACAGGGGCCTGTGCAGAAGAATGGATGAAGGTGCTTGCCTCTCGGGGGTCAGGGAGAAGGGGTTCTGTGCTCTGGTAAGTTGGGAGCCTGTGGTGTTTTGCTATTCGAGCACTAGGGCAGACATTCTGCCCGACTGATTGCACAGTTTGTTACTCCTCTCCAGAAAGACAAAACCGTGAGTCATGTCCTCAAGGCCTGCTCCCTGGAGCTTACCAGCCAGTGGGCTGAAACTGGAACTGATCAACCTCCCCAGTCACCACCAGCCATTTGTCAATGACAGAGCCTTTTTCGCCTAGTCAGCCAGCTGAGGTTCTTCCAGTTTGGACCCAAACCTGGGCTCTGCAGTATGGTGGGGGAGTGAACCCAGCATGTCATGCTATTGGGATGCTCACAGAGGTACAAGTGTCACTTCCCTCACTCTGTGGGCAGGAGCCTCCGCTTGGGAGTCAGGGAGACAGCATCGCCCAGTTGACCTCTAAGAAAGTGAACATCATCCCTTGGCTTCCTCTACCTTAATGGACAGCAAGGCTGGCTAAATTGGTTCCAGATGTTGACTTCAGATGGAGTCCGATTTGGGCTGTGGTTTCAGCTGAGGCTGAAACACTATTCAGGACATTTGGGGTTATAAGAGACTCGGTTGTCTCTGCCTGGTGGAAAATGGCGCTGTGAGGAGTACAATGGCAGGCTGGGTGGGGTAACAGGCCAGCCATGACTATAGGACATGAGGTGAGGTTGCGTCTCCATTCCTGAGGTACCCTCTGGGCTGCAGAGACTCCCTCTGTAACCCGGAAACAGGATTCCATCTGTTGGGAAATGACAGCATTATCTGTCCAAGGGAGGGGGTCTGGCAGAGTCGACCCCTAAGGCCTCCAAGCCCTGCCCCACGGAATGTGATCCTGCCTCAGGGTGGGATCACACCAAACCTGCCCCAAATGGTGCTGAGTCCTCTTCCTCTTCACCCTTCTCAAGCATTCTAATGTACCCTCTTACAGACTCAGTCAGGGAATTACACGGCACTACCTAAACTCTCCTCAGTAAGAATGGGTTCCCTGGGACCCAGGATTGCTGTCTCACAGCCCACAGCATGGGGCAGAGGCCATGGTGAAGCTCTGAACTAACAAGTAGCAGTTTCACATGCAATCTTGCAAAGTCTCCTTTCCTGGAGTATTTGTACGCTGAATGATGTCACTGTTTCAGAATGGCCCTTCACCACTCAGAACTCATGGAAAAGGGAGGCAGCACCAAGTGGCACTTATTCCATAGGTGGGCTGAGTGAGGCGGGGGTCTGCCTGTAGCACCCCAGGCCCTGGCAGCTGACAGGCCCGGAGGGAAGGCTAGAGGACTGGGTGTTTCCCTTGGCCATCTGTCCCCCCATGTCAGTGTGCACTGGTGACTCTTCCCCACCTCCAGCCTGAGCTCCTACCAGTAATCCTCCATGCTGCCTCCTCTGCTGTAGACAGGGCCCTCCAGCTCCCTGGGGTTGGGGAAGATGTTCTCGTGCTGGATGATGATGGTTTTGATCAGTTCGTTCACGTGGGCTTGGCAGGACACCTGGTCATGGCCCTCTGGCACTGACATCAGCGAGGGCCCGAAGCAGATGGCGAGATTGTAGGGGTCCATCATGTTCTCTTCACTGAACTGCGATAAACTGGAGGAGAAGGCAAAAGGGGCAAGCTGGAAAGCTCTCGCATGAATGCCCAGAAAACACAATCACAGGCGGCACTGCCAAGGGCAAAGGCAGAAGGTCCACAAATTGCCACCTGCCTTTCTGGGCATCAGAGCCTTCCAGAACGTCACCTGGGGACACAAGAGTAACCACCGGATGGTCATTCAGGAGCCAGAGAAACGTAAAGTAGAGGAACCTGCTTTAAGTCTGACCTTTCCTTCCCTCCAGCTCTCCATTCAAATTTACCTCATTATATCGCCCTCATATCCAAACTGGACCTTACTTGACAAAGCCACTCTCCCTCAAGGACGTGTTACTCTACAAAACTGACTATGGTTCCTGCAGCCCAACCCATCAAGCCACCAGAGCAGACAGGGCACCTCAGCTTGCTCTGGTAATAGGCACTGTGCAGTGTGTATCTTCTTACAGAGCAAAATAATCAAATTACTAGGGATATCCCACCCTGCCTCTAGACTTAATTAAAAAATAGCCAACTGATCAGCTTTTATATTCCACCAAGACTGTGGCTTTCTTTCTTAAATGGCTACTGCAATTGTTTTACACTTTTTTTATTACATTCAGGATTTATTCAGGAAAAGGTCAATGTGCTGCTCAGACTCTACTGCTGCTTTCTTGGGATGTCAGCTGACTTCATCATTGAGAATTTATTTATTATGAGAACTTCCCCCCCTGCTCAGCCACAGTTGCTCGCCTCACCTCCAATCCTAGCCAAAGATCCAAGACCTTCAGTGGGCCACAGTGCCTGGTAAGTCCCCACTGATACATGCCTAACCAGGTTCAGAATGCGAGCCCAGCCCTGGACAAGTCCCCACATAGCCCACAGTACTGTGAGCTCTGCAGGGGTGTGTGGCCTGCCCTGGATACCAGCAGGCCCTACCGGCACCAATTCTGGCGGCTCCAGCCCTCTGTAGCCACTCTTCTGAACTGGGCAGAGTTTTATTCCTAGATAACTAAAAGTCCATCCAGACTCATGTTACAAAGCTTGTTTCCCTCTCTCTCATCTTCTGGAGGTTCTCAGATGTACCTCACGCCCCTCTGAGAATCACTGCAGGATATGAGAATCACTGCTGGGCTCCATGGATAGGAACAACAGTCACAGGAGGAAGAGCTGAGAAAGGTTGTTGTCTAGGGTTTAGGCTCAAATACAGGAGTGACAGCGAAATCCAGAGGCTGGACTGCTTCACAGGGGTTCTTAAAGATTTAATTTTATAATCCTTCTCTCTGGATCCTAAATTAAAAGGAAGTTTCTAAGTCTTGCTGCTAACACTGGATCACAAGAGAAGAGGAGGAAGGACTGAGAGATAAGCTAGCCCAAGGCTAGTGTGGAAGCAAATCCCAGGCTGGCCAGAGACGGAGGCTTCAGCAAGGCCTGGTTTCTTGTGTGACCTGATAGTGTTTTGATTGTAGAATAGATGAAGAATGATGAGACGCTTACTAAGGAAAGAACTGTTCCACTTATAGGTGGTGACAGTGACCAGGGGCTTGAGGAAGACTTAGCTTCATGGGCTGTGATCTCATGAATTGAGATCTATTTTCTGATTTCCATTGAAAACCAGGGTAAATGTGCAAGGTTCTGGTTTCAATTCCCAGTACTACATAGGAAAAATTAAAAAACTATGATCCTTTTCTCTATTCTAATTTAGAGTGGGAATACACATCTCAGTTTAGGGTTAACCAGCAGCACTTAACTACTATACTTGAGGGGCACAGAGGTTTTCAAGAATTTGGCAATAGAGTCAAGCACAGTGTGCCTGTAGTTCTTGCTCCTCAGGAGGATGCGGCAGTAGGATTACTTGTTGCTAGGAGTTTAGGGCAGGCCTGAGAAGCAGCATGAGTCTCTGTCTCCAATAAGCAAGTGAAGAAGAAAAGAATTCAACCAAAACTAAGTGTTTTATCCCCCTCAAAATTCATACATGTGCATATACAAATGCATATAATTTTTATAACATGTCATGATATTAAGGCAAAAATAAGGTCTCAGGTACTGGATATTTACATTTAAGAAAGTATCTAAAATAGCACTGATAATAGCTTTCCTGTTTAGAAATTTTTTTTTTATAATAGTTAAGATGGTTATACTACTGATTTCTTTGAGCTCTCTGAAGAGAAATATATTTGTGTTGGTACTGTTTGGACAACTGAATGCAGAAGTCTTGTGCTCTGGGTGTATGATTTGGGGATGGCAATGCACAGTGTATATACCATTGTTGCCCCTGATTGACATGTTTTGAAATTTTATTGTAGTTTTCCTTCTTTTGTCTTTTTTTTAATCCTTGAAATAAAATGGATTTTGCAAAAATCTTTTTTGGTGTTGACTTATACCCATGCCATCTCTTCTAAGAACAAAACTGTATTTTGATAGCTTCAACCCATTACACCAGTGAATTCTCCTAACTGATTTGAACTCATCCTCTTCTGTGCATCCTGAAAAGGCTTAGCATTATGGTTAGGAAGTGAGGCTTTTTGGAAGAGCAAGGCAGTCTGGACTGGTATAGGAAAACATGCTTTCATCATGCACTTTTCAGGGCTTTTTACTTGTCTGTTTGATTAAATTAAGAAGATAAAATAGTCCAAGAATTTTAGAATGAAGCCAGCCTGGTTTCTGACTCCTGTCTTTACTGCTTACAGTTCCACAGCCTGGCTCTTGTTCCCTAGTTTCTTCAGTGTAAAACAGGGGTGAGGATCTGCCTCCTTTATGTTGCTGCTGGGAAGACAAAATGAGATACTCTTCGTGAAACACTTCACACTGTGCCTAGCACATAAGTGGTGCTCATCAATATTTTCAGGGATTAGAATATTCCAGTGGTTTTAGATATAAAAACCTCCATTCTAGTCAGGGGATGAACTCTGCCCATCTTCCCCCAACAGGTATTATCTAAAGAGCTGATCTTGACCCTAGATCTCCAAATCAAAATCTTCGGGGCACTAAACTTTGCAGATCCTTTTTTTTTTTTGGTGCTGGGATGGGTCCAGGGCCCAGTGCATGCAAGGCAAGCACTGTAGCTACACCTCTGCCTTGACTTCAGATTTGAAAGAAAAAGCTGTGTTGTTTGGATGACCTAGGCTGGGAACCCCTAGGTCCTTAACAGATGGCACAGGAGGCTCCAGAGCTCTCCTCTGTGCAGGCAGATCTCACAGCCTTCCCCTGCTTTCCCTGAGGGCTCTCTTCAAGACAAGGAGGGAAAGTTCATTCCAGCTGATGCCTTCCGGTTTTTCTGACCTGCCCTCTGAAGTCCTCAAGCCCGCTGACTGGCTGTTCCTTATGTTCTTTCTGGGCAGTAAATTATATTCTTTAACATCTGAGTATTATTATTTCTCCTCATCTTAGAAAAAAAAAGTCCCCTCGACCCCACAGCCGTCCCAGGTTACTGTCCCATTTCTGTGCTCTTTAAAATAACATTCACTCAGAGTCCTCTGCACCTGTTGTTTCTGCTTCTCTGGTTTCTTCTCCACTTCTTCTATGGAACATACTGTGTTCCCCCAAATTTATATGTTGGCACTCCCCAGTGTATGCATTTGGGGATGGGGCTGCAATCTGACAGCACTAATGTCCCCCTAGGAAGAGGAAGAGATACCAGAGCTCTCCTTGAGTACACACGGAAGAAAGGCCATGTGTGGACACAGTGAGAACTGGTTGTGACCGTCAACTGTGACATATCAACTTCTTTGCATTAGGAACCACCTAGTGGACTGGAAAGCACACTGCTGTGTGTGGTCTTGCAGGTGAGGCCTTGGGTGCTGTGTGCAGTCTCCTGCCTGTTTCTCCCACCTGCGGTGATCTAAAGAGCTCTGTCCCCCCACACCCTTCCACCATTATGGTCCTGCTTAGAGCCTGCTGACTATGGACTGATTCCCCACAAACTGAGAGACAAAGTGAACCTTTCCTCCTTTAGGCTGTGTCAGGATTGTGCCTAGCAACAGAAAAGCTGACTACTACAGAGGCTCTCTACAAACCAAGGAGACGGGTTGCATCAAGAACCAAATACTGGCACTTTGAGCTTGGCTTCCAGACTCCAAAATGCATGAAAATAAACTTCAGTTGTCCAAGGCACCAGTCTATGGGATTTGGTTATGGTAGCCTGAGTAGACTAATTCACTGTCCTTCTCTTCCTTTCCAGTCCCCTTTGGTGTGGTAAAATTCCTATACCATAAAATGAAGCATTTCAACCATTTATAAATTACCCAGGCCTGGAGTGGTGGCCCCCGTCCATTATCCCAGCACTCAAGAGGCTAAAGCAGGGCAGGTATTGGTCAGTGAGGGAGCACAGTGACTAGTGACCCTCAAGGCACTGATTCTCTAAGGAGTAATTAGCAGTTTCCAATCACATGTGAACATCTTTGGGGTCCTGAGGAATTTTAACTCACAGATAGCTGGGGTGCAGAGGCAGGGCCTGGCCAGATAGACACAACCTCATGGAGGAGGTGGGCTGTGGAACCAGGATCCACTGTAGCTCTGAAGGGCCACACTGGGGTGTCATGGTGGTGTTGGTGCCCTAGAAAGGTCTCAAGGGCCACTAACTCTGATGCTTGTAGGGCCAGGCTGACTTTGAACTTGTAGGCAAGTTCAAAGGCTTGTGAAATGGCCTCTAAAGTTGTCTTCCTTTTAAGTAGAGTTCAACTATATAGGAAGTTTTTTCATTGTTGCCAAGAAATATGTGATTAGACACTATGGCCCTTTGACTGCCTTTGTATCCTTCATTTTCACAGATTCTCAGATCCTGAGGATGGTTTCAGTCAGTCTTGGGACTGGGGAGGGACAAGGAAAGCTGGGGCCATGGTGACCTGGAGTGCCTGTCCCATCTGGGGGGCACACTCCACAGGGCATTGCTGCCACCACTGAATGCCGGTCCAGGACTGCCAGACTGGATAGCTTTTCAGAAGAAGCTGGTAAAGCCCCCAAATAGTTTTGTGCTGCTTCGTTGCTTCCCAGACGCAACACACCTGAAGGAAACACCGGAGCCCCATCTGGCCCTGCTCAAGTCCAGGGTGCTGAGGGAGAAGCCCAAGTAAGTGCAAGTACAGTGCAGACCGAGGCTCCCAAGGAGGCAAGTGCCCCACATTCCTGCTTGATGCCTGCATACCATGCGGGCAGCCTCATGCTAGGCTCGGCTAGCATGCATTGCCTGAACCAGATGCAATGCTTCGGCCAAGCCCAAGCCCTCTCTGGTCCTCAGACTCTTCCTCTAGCCACGCTCATACCCTGGGTGACCAGTTGAACACTATCACTGCAAGGTGACTCGAATTTCCACACCTCCACCTGGGCTTTGCCCAAGTGTCAGACCCTAGGCTCAACTGCTTATAATTGCCGCTGGGACACCTAGTGGGTGCTTCAAATGACCCTGTCCACAGGGGCCCCTGAACCCTGAGAAAGGTCTTTATACACCTGTCTTTCTAACTCCACAAAAAACATCATAATTTTCCTGTTCTTCATGCCAAAAAAGTGGGGTTTCTCTCTTGCCTCACACTCCGCTAGCAGGTCTTGTCACTGCTATGTGTAAAATGCACCTCTGTCAGTACGTTCCTGTTACCCACCCCCTGTCTACCCAGCCTTCGGCCAAGCACACTGTCACACGAGCAGGACCCCTCCTATGACCCCTGTGTACAGTACAAATACTGTACACAGACCAGATCACCACACCCTACCCCTTAAAAACCTCCCAGTTATTTCCCAAACCAAATCCACTCACCAATGGCTCTAGGTTTTCAAAGTCCCTGAGGCTCCTTTTTCATTCGGTTTAGGCTGCTGCTCACACACTGTCTTCTCAGAGAGGCCTCTGCTGACCGCCCCTTGAAAATGTTTTCCTTTCAACTGTCTCCCCTCATCCAGCACCTGCACTCATCTGTTTTGTGGTGCTTGTTGTTTTGAGATACAGTCTTACTATGGTAGCCCAGGCTGGCCTAAAACTTACAATCCTCCTGCCTCAGCTTCCCAAGTGCTGTGATTGCAGGCATGTGCCACAATACCCAGCCTCCATCCCTTTCTCTTCTAAGGACTTATCCCATCTGAGATGCCTGTTATTACGCGCCCCCTTCCCTGGAACACGAGCTAGACGACATTTCTCATTTAACAGCATGTTCTTACAGCACAGCACTCTGGCCAGCACACAGTAAGCACTCGGCACACATGTACTGGCATGAACGAACACGTAGGTTGGTCCAGAACTTCCAGTGGCCAAGTAGCCAAAGCCAGAGCCTGATCCCCATGTTCACTGGGGTGGCTACTTACTGATTGAGGAAGGCGAAGAGGTATCTCATGATAATCAGAGTGGTTTTGGGTAGGGCCAGGAGGACTTTCCGGATATGCTGAGCTCTCTCCTGCAGGTTGTCCATTGCTGAAAGAAGAAAGCTATGTGTCATCCTGCACTTGACTGAGACCCAAGGAGACATGGTCAGAAGCCCTAAACACCATCAGGCACAGCACAGAGCACCAGATCTGGTCAATACCCAGCATGGGAGCCCAGTGGCTGTGCTGTGAAACTGGCTGCTTTTTTGGGGTGGCTGTTGCAAGAGACCACATGTCACTGTTGTACTCCTGGGACACAGGAAGTATCCAAGTATCTTCCAACCCCCATCTACCATGGTCTAAAAACAACCACAGACAGAGGGCTGACTACTATCCTGCCATGATGATCAACACCTAGCCGAGAGGGGCCCCTCTGGCCTACCCACTATACATTTACCACCACCCCTCCTCCTGCACAAGCTCGGCTTGTCTGTCCCCTCTCATCTGCAGTAGGATGTGGCCAGAGGCAGGGGATGGCAGCCCCTGTGTAACCAACCTCAACTCTCATGACGTGGCTCAGTTAAGCTACAAGTATGGCCCGAGGCCTGTGGCTGCTGCTGTGGACAGATGTGCAGTGTGCTATGTGGACACCTCATTTTGTATAAGTGACATTTCTATAACTGTGATTCTCTGTGAGAGCCTTTATGGGAAGTACTGGGTTAGGAACAAGAGGTATGCTGGGGATCTCAGACTCTGAGCAACCACAGCTCCGCTGAAGGGACTTTGCCCTGGAAGGGTCCAGCCTTGGAAGAGACAGGAAGACATGATGACCTAAGAGATGCTCACACTTACTCACACTCGCCACTCACTCCCACTATAGAGAGTCCCACAGGTAAGGAGTCAACAAAGGACACGAGAAAGCTAACTTCTTGAATGCGCTAGGCTCATGATGGAGAATGTTTTAGAGTTTTCAATGACACTAACAGCCTACTGTGGCATGTGTGCCACAGGGTCCCCACCAGTGCTCTCAGCTGTTCTCAGTGTAACTAAGAGGGACAAGGACTCAACAAATACTGAGCCAGACTGGAAAGCCAGGGAGCGCGAGGAGCCTGGTTAACCTAGGAAGAGGATTTTGTCTCATTTCAAAGGTACATCCCCTTCCGCCTCTGGGGCCAGTCTTCAAATGACTTCTGCTTTCAGTAACACATAATATTAATCTAAGTTTCCACTGACAGTTTTCCATGGAAAACAATCACAGGATGCTTCAGTATCATGAGCTGAAGTAAATGGTTAGGAATAGCTTCTTTCCAAGTCCCAAATTTTAGAGCAAAAGGAAAAGAACCCCTAAGAAAACAGAAAACATATATTGCTCTCTGAGAAAATATCATAATCTCTTGCTTTTATGCAGAGGGCTTTCGTTCTTAGAATGGACATAAACACATCTAGCAGATAAGCCATGCCATGATTAAAACAATGAACAGGAAACAGTTGTAATACTTATGCTTTTACCCGTTATCACAAAAAGCCCAAGCTGTAATGTATAAACTGCAAATAACTGGAAAGACTAGGCCTATGGATGAATGCAAAGGCACTTTACTAAAGGAAGATAAAACCTTCACAGAAAAACAAAGTTTATGACTGAAGCCAATCAAAACAAGAGCCAGAACTCAGGGCCCTAGACTTACTGAAACATCACCCTCCCAGCCCTGCCTCTACCCCCATGGATGACAGAATGAAAACAAGAAGGCAAACTCACTGGGGAAAATGTGCAAAAGGAAAACTTTACTGAAAAACACATAAGGAAACCAAGAACTCCATGGAAGTGTTTAGATCTCTGGCTCCCAGCAGCTGTGGCCCGAAGTCAGCCTGAAGGCAGGGCGGTACTTACTGACACAGGCCATCAGGTCATGAAAGATGTCCTTGGGGAACAGGGGGTTTTCCAGCCCACGGAAGTAAAGCTTCAGGACGCCTGCTATGGAATCCATGTCATGGTCATTCTGATCCCCAGCCAGGGGGTCCTCTCCTGAGGATATGAAATGCCCCCCAAAAGGAAAGAAAGTCAGAGAGGCAGAAACAGATAGGACAAAGCAGAAGGGGATGGGTGGGAGGGAGACCTATTCGTGTCCCTGACAAGTTCATCATCTCAGTGGCGACAACTGGGACAGACAGGGAATAGATTTAGCAGTCTCCTTGGGCTCCCTACGTTCCCTGGAGCCCGGGGCACAGCAATTGCCTCTCTCGCAAGAACATCGAAAGTAGGCTGGGCCCGAGTCCCTGGGGGAAGAAAATGAGACCAACAAGGCCAGTTCCTCCCACTGGCTCTCGCTCGCTCCTCTTGGCCCCCAGCAAAGGACACCTACTTACAGAAGCTCCCTATGGAAACTTTCGTATCAGATGTAATTAGATTTAATGACAGGACCCACCTCAAATTGAAACTATATATATCCATTACAGTGACGGAAATTGCCAAAGCTTGCCCATTACCTTAATAGCCCACAAGATAATAAATGGGCTACAATGAACAGGCACATTAGGCTTGATATTAACTGCCACTGAGGGCTCTGGATGAAGCCATAAACCGCCTGGATATCACAGTTAACTTCTTGGTTTTTGGCAGATCATCTGCAGGAGAGGCAGGAAGGGCGAGGCTGAGAAGGAAGGAAGCTGGGATGTGCCCAGCCTCTCCCTGCACCATGACGGCTGCGCTGTGAGCGCAGGTACCTGGCTGAAGAGGAGGAAGCAGGCTTCCTGGGTGCTGGGGACCTCTCGGTAAGAAAAGTGAAGTCAATACTGCAGGTTGCTGTTCCCTCACCTCTCTCAAAGGCATTTTTGATGTCATTCACTTCCACCTGGGATCCAGACACCCGGAAAATTCCTTCATGCTGTAATCCTGGAACCACACAGGGAAACGAGTTCACAGAGAAGAAAAAGCAAGTTCACAACCATAGTACAAGCTTAGCTGAATGCCAGTATTTCCCAGCAGTTTATATTAAAGTATCCTGTGTCTCTTTTTTTCTCAGGCCAATGAGGAAAACATGTGCAGAGATTTGGGAAAAGTCACTGGGAAGATTATGAAGCATCACCTAAAGTAAGAACCAAGTCAGAGACTTAAAATGGAAGGATCATCCTCAGCCAGCTCTTCTCCTGATTCTGAGGGAGACTGAGGCAGGTGCCTTCCTGACTTTACCTCATTTCACTTGACTTGCATCGAATGACCTGTTGGAGCTTTCTTATGACCTAGAATAGGATCTGGGTCACAGCAGTGCAGACATTAGGTGCCACTGGAGGAGATACATGAGGCTGGAGGTGATAACAAATGCTTTAGCTGATTTATCACTGTTCTACTATTTGGGGGACAGTTCTTTCAGTAGTGAGGAAAAAGAAGACATAAAAATACAAGGGATCAGTCACAAATGGCACTGTCAGCTACTGTCCTGGCAATGGTCCCTCCCTGCTGCTTTACTTGAAGGACAGACATGCACCAATGTGACACTATAATAATGTGCACCAAAAAACTTTGTCTTCCTGAGTTTTGTTAGAGTAGAAATAATTATTGTATAATTGTAATTATTAATATTAATAGTAGTGTATAGAAGTGATTGTAAAGTAGTGATTGCTGCTTTATAGGCTCATATAAAGAAAGCACCTGCTCCTTACAGCAAGTGATAACCTCACAACAGGGACATGGTAGTAACCCAGCAGTAACCCAGTCTTCAGCCGAGGGGATTGCTAAGTGATGAGCAGCCTTCATGAGTAGTAAGAATCTAGGTCAGGACTCAAATCCAGGCCTTGTGGCTCCAGACCTACAGGGCTACTGGTGTGCAAATAGAGAATCACATGGCCAGTGTGGACTTGCACAAAGCTTACAGACAGCACCACACACACACACACACACACACACACACACACACACACACCTGCAAACCCAGGGAGAAATCCAGGAAGCACATCTTTAGTGCCAGGGCTTGGGCTGTTCTAGTATCTCTAAGCACAGCAGGGCTGCCCCACCTCTCTCAGGAGCTCTGGGCCCTAAGGACTGACATTTTGTCCAGATCTCTCTGTGATGACAGAATCCTTCCAGAACTTCAACATGTCAGCAAGGAATAATGCTGCCTGTTTCAGGGTTATCCTCTCAGTGAGGGGGCAGCTGGGTTCTATCAACTAGACTTTTGGAGGGAAACCAGATAGACCAGGACTAAAATTGCTGAATCAGACTGAAATAGCATTAAGAAGCAAGCAGAGGGAATGTGATTACCTTGTTAGTGACAGGACTTAAGCTGTCTGCTCCTCTTTAAGGGAATCTCCCGAGTATTCCTCACAGAATAGCAGGCAACAGCAAAATCCATTAATATCAGTGTAGGAGTACTAGGTTAGTTATCTGGCAGGGCACTAGAGCCAAGGAATGCTGTTTAAATAGAGTGTAAAGAGCAAGTACTCTGACCGAAACAGGCCCAGGCCCACTGACTTGTCAGAAACACAGAGCCAGGAAGTATCATCTGAGTGACAGGCCAGAGGGTATGTGAAGCACTGTCCAATGTCCTGAGAGAAGGCTAGCATGGTGCTTCTGGACAGGGAGGACCACTGGGAATGGCAGCCTTGGCTTGGAGACAAGAAGAAACCAGATGTTTGTTGGCAATCAAGCATCCGGCCTGAAGCACACTGAACTCTCTTTTGGTCTGGTTTCCAGCCTCCACGGAGTACCAAAGGACCAGTCTGAGTTCTTGCTCAACACAGAATCTGTTGAGCACCTCATGCAATGATGCTAAGAGCAGAAACGACGTTTTTGAGAACGGACAGGGAAAACCAACTAGCTTTTTATTGTGATTCAGTAAATCCCTGCATAAACAAAATGGCACAACTGTGATCTTATTTACTTGTTCTCTGAACACACTAACATTCAAGTATAAAATCCGATGCGATTTGGGTAAGTCATTTGGAAATGGCATGAAACCTTCCATTTTGCACCAGATACAGCTGTTTTTAATAGTTGCTCTCCAAGATAATTCTTGACATGGTCGCTACAGCAGCCACTGTGTTCTACTCCACCTGACAGTGGTGGGTTTTTCCTATATCATGGTTCATTTTACTAGTTCCTGACATTTCCTCTCCTTTAAGTCTTCCTGGATTACCCAGTCCTGCTGCTTACAGAGAAGCCTCAGCTTTCTCTAGTTAATGAGGATTATAATACTTACCTCCCAACGGATATATTTTTTGGTTTTTGGGGGGAGGGGTGGGGGGGTGGGTACTGGGGATCGAACTCACAACCTTGCGCTTGCCAGGCAGGTGCTTATGCTGCTGAGCTAAATCCCTGGCCCTGTTTTTTGTTTTTTTAAAGAGGAAAAAAAAAAAAAAAGATAAATAAACAATAACAGGGGATAAGAAAATAGTAAAGATAAAAACATTCTCAGCATTTGGTGGGCCATAGACCCTTTTGAGACTGACAAAAGTTATGTATATGATCCCCATTAAATGTACATAAATATATGTACATTTTATTTTCAAAGATAGGGTCTCACTATTAAGCTCAGGTTGGCAGCCACCTCCTACCTCAGTCTCTCAAGTGCGAGGATACAAGAATACATCACATACACAAGAATTTTAACTACAGTTTTTTAGAGATTTCATGAATTCTTTGAATCTATTTGCAAAAAAAAAATCACTGAAAAAGTATTTTTTGAGTAGTTAATATGTGCAACCTTAAAAAAATCAGTAATGATCTGGGTATGGTGGCATTTGCCTATAATCCAAGTACTCAAGAGGCTGTGGCAGGAAGATTGCTGTGAGTTCGAGGCCAGCCTAGGCTACGAAGTGAGTTCAAGGCTAGCCTGAACTGCACAGCCAGATCCTGTCTCAAAAACAAACAAAAAAAAATCAACAATGTATTTATTTGATTAATGCTAGAACATACATCCAGTAATTTCAGAATTGCTAGCCCATATTTCTGTGATAAAAATGATTAACAACTATACGATAATTATTTATAGCTTTTTGTTTTTAGATTTGTACTATATAGTCAAAATACTGTTTTCAAAGTTGTTTCCTTATCATTCACCTTCAGTGTGGTTATTTACTCATCGTAATACAGTCAGATATACTTCTTGTTGTTTACATCCTGTTCTGGGTTTTCTTCACACCCTTGTTTTATTTATTTGTCTTTTGAGTATGCAAACACTAGGAGTTCTGAAAGTCAAAATGACACCAAGAAGTGTACTCAGAGAGATGCCAGTCCGCTCCTTTTTCCCACTGCCCATCATTTCCATCCCCTTTTGGCATTTCTTGTAATGGCCAATAAAATATTAGTTTCTGTCTGCTCTTTACATTTTGTTTTTTTATTTAACAATACACCCCAGGAATCTCTCCATATGGTAAGATTCCTCTCACTTATGGAATCTCTCCATAAGTGGTTCATAGACCACTTCCTTGTGTTTTCGCAGTTGTATCATACTTCACTGTATGGACATACCAGAGTTTTTACAACCACTATTCTGTGCAGAGGTATTTGGTTTGTTCCAATATTTTGCAATTACAAACAATATTGAAGCAAATAATCTTGTGCATATACATATTTACGTTGTTGGAGATGTGTCTTCATGGTAAACTAGAAAGTCTGCTGAATTAGAACATAAGTACATATGTGGTTCTGATAGACCTTACCAAATTCCCTTCCAAAGGTGCTGTACAAGTCTGCATTCCCATCACCAGTATATTAGGAGTATGCTGTTTCCCCAGAGCCTCCCAACAGCACTGGGCTGAGATTTTATCTCCTTGTACATTGTATCTGTACAGGAGCAGACAGGTACATACAAGCTACACTGCCTGAAACCACACCTTCTCAGCTACCACCATGGCCTGCACCTTAGGCAGGCCACTGACATGTTTTGCCTGCAGCAGTTACTACTACTATAATAATTTCGTGTTTCATCTACGGTTTTATCTCCCTGAAGCAGCTAGAATTCTTTAAAAAAAAAGCCTCTCTCTTTAAAATTTCCCATGGTTTCCCATCTTATCCAGAATAAAATCCAAATGCCAATGGTCTCTGCCCCATCTCCTGTCTCTTCTTCACTTTCTCGGCTCCTGCCATGCTGGCCTCCTGTAGGGCATTCCTTCCATGCACCTCCAGTCTCTGCACTTCCCCAGATATACACAGGGCCCAAAGCCTCACGACTCTGCTCCAATGTTACCTTCTGAGGAGAGGTCTTTCCCCTGAACCCATCTACAACAGTGTCCCTCCCCATTCTCCACCCCTCCCCCTGCTTTGCTTCATGAAATTCAACAACACTCAAATTACTACATGTGAATTTATTGGCTAATCAACTGATTATCTGTGTGTGCTTTCATATAAGGTAAGTTTCAGGAGTAGAGAAACTTTTTATTGGTACACAACAAGCAAACAGTGTATATTTTTGTTGAATAAATGCACAGATGGACAAAATGCATGGATAAATGAATGGGCTTCAGAGCTTCTAATGTTTTGTAGGCACATATAATTCTTCCTTTCCTGAATTTAGTTCAGACTTATCTTTGCCAACTACTTGACCATTAATCATTACTATCTTGTGAAATCTTTTATTCTGCTATTCTGAATTTCCATCACATCTTTTTATTTAACTTGTCACTTACTTATTTTCTCCAAAATGTATCATAAAACCATTTAACACACAAGAATAGTGTATTACTCCTGTTTTTATTTTCTACTTGATAATGCATGGTGCTCAGTACTGACTGTTGATAAATATTTGTTGGTTGTTCCATAGTGAGGTATAATGCTCTTACTTCAAGTAAATAGAGATAACATTAAAAATTACAGCTTGGGCTCAGGATGTAAGTCAGTGATTTCCTAGCACACATGAGGCCCTAGGTTCAGTCCTCAGCACCAGGAAAAAAAAATACAGCTGATAGAGAACGAGATAAATTCTAAGAATGCCAAAATAACTGCAGTTCCAAAAATGAACCCATGCACAGTTCCAGCCTATGAAGAGACAGGAAGGTGAGGCAAGGGAGGGAGGGTGAAAGGCTGTCTCTTAATTTAGACCAGCAATGCTCTACATTGCTCCTTAGCCTTTAGGAAGGTCATTTTGTATCATAAAACAATTTCTGAAGCCCAGTTCCTAGATGTCTTGATGGCCCTGGTTCAGCTTTCTGCTGTCACCCTTTCTTTCTGGAAAAACCATTCTCTCCATTCCTACGATCTATCAAACCAAGTCAGTAGAATGAATGTGAGCTCCCTGCAGCTGAGGAGGCAGCCCTCACAGACTCTCAAATGTTGGGTGCACCTTTAGGACCAGTTACTCAGTGTTTGGGGATGCTGTATCCGGAGAGAACAAACCAGAACAAAACCTGAAGATTTTTGGGACTCAAGAACACCATTAGACATGGAATTGGTTTCCATACCAATGTGGTCCAGAAAGCCAATGGGACAACAGTCAGGCTGGGAGATACTGCACACGCAAAAGTAATGTGTAATGGCCAAAGTACCACCATAGTACATCATGGCTTCTCGCACAGCAGCTGAATTGAAACACACTCTAAGTTAGAAAAGGGCATCTGGGAAGTGGCTATGCCATCTGACATAGCCAACATTATGTGAACAAGTAAGATTTTATCCCTTTTCTAAGAATATCAGGTTGGGAAGGTAACCCCTATTCTTACTCTACAAAGAATTCCTGAAGTTCTTCCCAATCTTTACACAGATATGGACAAGGCTGGAACCCTGCTTACCGTGTCTGCTGATAAACCGGATGCAGCTTTCCACGACCAGAGGAATTGCCTGGCTTGAGTCCTGAAAAGCCAGAGAAACATGACATCAGAACCCCAAACAGGATAGCCAGGGTCAGAGAAAATGGGTCATGTTACGTGGAATTTGTCTTAGTGGAACAATGGTCCGCTTAATAAGAGAAGCTGACCTGTCTTCCAAGCCCCAGGGTCCAAAATCATAAACAATCACTTGGAATGCCATACAGATACCATTAACTCATGTCCCAAGTGAAACACGTATTTTATCCCCAATCAGCTCCTCAGTCCAGCCGTCCAATCAATCCAAAGATTCTGTTGTGTTGGGTTGGTCTCCTAAGCATTCTCAAATCCACTCATTTCTCCATCTCGACTGCCAACAACCAGACTCACTCCCCCATTATCTAAGTTCCCACCCTCTGGGCTGCATTTCTCTTCCTTTGCAGAGCAGCTGGGTGATCTGCGTAACTCTTTCTCTACTTTCTGTAGGGCCTTGCTTGTCTGTGCCTTTACCTCTTTTATCTCATCTTCCCCTCATCCCTGCCACAGCCACACTGGCCACCTTTCTGATGCTCAGATAAGTCCCCCTTTGTCTTGTGGCTTTGTATAAGCTGGTCCTGCTGCTGACACATCCTTCTCAGTTCATTGTGTGTGACTCAATACCCATTTGCATTTCTCAGTGCAGACAAGCTCCACAAGGGCAGATCTAATGTTCATGCCTTGGTGCCCAAACTTGGCCACAATGCTCACTTAGTATCAGTTTAAGGTCACAGAATGGATCAGTGAGAGCCTCAGAAAAAGAGTGTTTGGCATAAAAGGTAAAAAAGAGAAAAAAACCAAGTCTTAGTAATGGTGGACATTATTTGATACTAAGCAAAACAGGCTGCTCAGATGTCAATCTTTGTGCTTTCCCTTTGCTTTACAATCCTGTTCATTCATATCATTTAATTTCTGTCAGCTTCAATTTGTCATCTGCTAACTAGGGAGGGGACTGGCGATGAACATGGTGAGTTCTACTGGCATGTGAACAGCAGTGTCTACCATTTACCAAGGGACTACAGAGGTCTTGGGCCAGGAACTAAGTCCTTCAATAGATTAGTCTTGATAAGAACCCTATGGGATAATTATTATTATTATTATTATTATTATTTTTGGTACTGGGAATCGAACTCATGCCCTTGCACTTACCAGGCAGGTACTTGTGCCGCTGGGCTAAACCCCCAGCCCTATTATTATTATCATTCCCATTTGACAAATGAAACAAAGGCTTAGTGAGGTTAAACAGCCACGTATATTCACATGGCTGCTAAGTTACAAAGCCAAGATTTAAGCCCTAGCAATCTCCCTCTGAGAATGAACACTCTGCAACCACCCATTCTGTATTCTAGGAGTTAAGCAAACACTATAACAATTATGACTGAAAAACCACAAAGGTTTCATAACACAGCTATATGCACAATAATACAGCTGAATGGAAGAAAGAGCAGGCAGAGAGGACCCAAAATCTAGCTAGAAAGGGCTTCTGATGTTCAGAAAAAGACTGGACTCAAGTGGAAGAGACCCTCGAGCCTTCTGTTCACTGCACAGGTTTGCCTGCACCCCTCCTCTGGCTCTGAGTTTTCAACTGTGGCCGTGGGGTTTGGCTACTATTAGAGAAGCAGCTGGTTTTTATGAACAAGTCAAGCCAAGAGAAGGGCTGCTTTGGCCTCTATCTCCCAAGCTTTCCAGAAGCCAGGATGCTGCCAAAGGGAGTACTGCATATTCCAAGGTGGACCTGAAGTTGGTAAGGTCTCAGTGACCCGAATGCTCATCTTCGTGATCCCAAACCCATCCATTTCCTCTAACTGCCCAGCCAGTGTCTGTTCTCTGGTTTCACTGTTACAAGAAAAAAAACTACATTTTTGAGAAATCTTTTTATGTTTACAGACTTCTGTTACTGTATTTTTCATAAACAGCAGTAGCAGACATGATGAAGATAGCAGTAACAGGGTTTGTAAAGTTTTGCTGGTCCCAGATTTACATATAAAGAGCTAGAGGGAGGGAAGTTGGGAGGCTCGCAGGTTTATGCCTTCAACAAGTCACATGAATGCAAAATTCTGCCTGGATGCACAGGAATAGAGTATCAGGGTAAAATGAGCTATGCAAGGTTGATAGGGAACAGGGCATCAAAGATAATAACTATCTGTCCATGGTTACCAAGAGCACGCTGGAAGTAGCCCAGAGGGATAATCTGTGGCAGATAAAGGTGGGCCAGAGATGACTGTCTTACTGTAGGGGAGCATTGTCCCCACAGTTCAAATGAGCCCTAAGACAGAGTCCAGAAGGAAAAAATAAAGCACAGAGGTGCAAAGGCTTTGGATGTCCCTGCCATCCCCTAGACCCCCAAGCCACGAGTGAATTCATCTCCCCAGATGTGCTGTGCCCCACAGACTCATACCTCGCCACTGACAATACACACAACTGATGCGTAGCTTCTTTGTGTATTTTCATTCACTGTACGTTTCTCCCACCCTCCCTCCATGCCAGAATTGATACCAGTGTAATGCTCTGCTTCACAATATTTTTAGTCAGATAATCTCAGGGCCAGAAGGCCCTTTAAGGACAATCAGGCTAAATTCCCATCCAATCAGACTGGGGGGAAAGGACAGTCAAGCAGTGATCCAGTAATTTGCTGGCAAAAATAATCAGGAAGATGGCTGGATAATATCCAAATACAGGTTGTTTGGCATATGTTCTTTCGTTTCAGTATTAATTGGGTGTCTTTGGATTTTAGTCATTTTTAATGGAAGTAGATTAAATATATTTTTAATCTGTTTCTGAGTTTTATGTAACATAAAATTGTACATAATAATGGGATATCATGTGATGTTCTCATACATGTGCATATTGTATAACATTTGAAGTCAGATCTCCCCAGACATGTATCATTTCTTCATAATGAAAACATTCAAAATCATTTCTTCTACTGTCTGAAATGTACACTGTAAGCGCTATCTATAGTCACCTACTGTGCAACAGGAGCACACCAGAACTTCTTACTTCTGCTAACTGTAATTCAGAGCCCCATGATCAGCCTTTCCCCACTGGCATCATTCTTATAAGGAAAAGGGTTAGAGTGCTAGTCAGGTACTGACCTCTCATGACATTTGTTAGATTTCTGCTTTTCACCAGAAAATACTAGTCTTGATAACAGACTAGATACATGTAATAAGGAAAAAAAGGAATCAAAGGTCTAATTTGGGGCCACAGGGCCTATACAGAACAGACAGCAACAGAGAAACTGGGCGGAGGAGGCCAGGGAATCAGAATGGAGCAAAGTGCAGGAAGGCTGAGGCAGACACAGAGCAGAGAGGTGCGAGTTCAGTTTTCAAACACACACATCCTGCGTGTCCCTCAGGAGTTAGCGCCAGAGGCCCAGGCAGCCAGCAGTGCAAAACACGCGGAGGCACGGGGAGGGAGAAGCTCATCTAGGGGAATGGTATGATTTCCTATGGAGAGGAATCTAGAAAGGGCCAGGTCTTAAAGAAATATCTACCTCAGAGGAAAGGAGATGGGCCAGGGAAGAATACAAGGAGGTAAGGGCCAGCAGGGGAAAAACGCAGAGCCCGATGGGAGCAGAGGTCTGGAAGCAGCAGCTGAGGTACCTTCGTTTCAAGAGAGATCCAGGATATTTTGAAACTAGTTTTCACTAGGGTCAGAAATGACTGGGAACTGGATATACTGGCACACACTTGTCATCCCAGCTATTTGGGAGGCTGAGACAGAAGGATTCTGCCTCAAAAGAAAAAAAATTAACAAGGGCTGGGATATGGCTCAGAGGTAGAGAGCTTGCCTAGCATACATGAGGCCCTAGGTTCAATTCCCCAGTACTGCACAAAAAGAAAATGGACTCTACTAGGCAACTCAAAAACAAAGCAATTAGTCTTCCCTTTTTTTTTTTTTTTTGGCCATAAACAACTTGCCATAAACAAACACTGACTTTCAGGTTACCTATACAAGGAGACTCAACTTATAAACTACCTACTATCTGACCCTCCTGACCATCTGAGAAAAGTCTTTTGCTGATCTACCAACAGATTTGAACTGCTGGAGAGAGGCAGGGGCAACTGAATAAAAGCAAGCTGTTCACTGGATTGGGGTTTATGATGTATCCTGGCACTCTCAAGCTAATTGGGCACCAGACAAATACACATGCCTACAAATGCTTAGGTGCAGCAGGATGCAAATCACAAAGCAGACAGGTGCCACACTCTTCCCATGGAGAGGCTAATCTGGGTATTCATTACCCACCACACTGTGCATGGACTTCTGAGGCCTCACACATGCTCGATCCGTCTCTATACAAAGAGTTCAGTCTTAGATCAGGGAGGGAAACAAACTTCAAGTCCAACCCTATTATTTACCAGTATTAAAGGGAAAATGGCTTGCTCACTCTAAGATTCACCTACTAATTTTAAATGCCATAACTGTCACGGACACCACTAGGATGACCATGCCATAAATGATTCCTGGAAAGTATTCCATTCCTCTTCAGTTTCAAATGAAACTATGAGAGAAAAGAGAAGAAAAAAAATTGAGGGATAAGAGATGCAATGAAATTTTATTATCTAAAAATATATAGATAAGTCAGGCATGGTGGTGCATACCTGTAATCACAGCACTTGGGAGGCTGAGGCAGGAGGACGGCTGTAAGTTCAAGGCTAGCCTGGGATACTAACTGAGTTCAAGACCAGCCTGAACTGCATAGTGAAACCCTGTCTCAAAAAGCAAAAAGTATAAATAGCCAGGTGTAGTGGCAGGAGGAGTGCCACAAGTTTGAAGCCAGCCTGAGTTATATTGAAGTTCAAAGCCAAGTATGAACTACAAAGAGAGAGAGAGAGAGAGAGAGAGAGAGAGAGAGAGAGAGAAAGGAAGGAAAAGAAGAAGGAAAGGAAAGGAGGAATGGAAGGAAAAGAAAAAAGATGTAAACACATCTGATGCATCTTCATTAACGTGAACCCTAAGGGGCAACAGGGAATGACAGCAGAGTTAAGGCAAATGAGGCCCGTGCGTACTGAGTTCCAGGCCTGCCTGCTCAGCTGGAGCAGTTGGTGAGCTGAGGAGACTGCAGGGGCTGTAGACACTACAAGAACCAGGCACCTCCCATGTGATGAGCTCCCTGTAGCTGGGCCACTGTGAGTTACCCAAAAAGACTTCATAAAGCCTTGATCACTTTTCCCCTAAGTAGACACAAAGATATTTCTGAGTTCCCTCCACCGCCTCCCTGCTAACTACTTTCTGCAAAGCTGGTATGAGCTTAGTGGACAGAAAATCATGTCAGTATTTGCCATAAAGTATAATTAGGAAGTCAGATTTACCACTGCAAAAAATATTTCAATTACTTTCTGCAAACAAGCACAAGTGCCATTTAGATTGCCCACTGATGTGGATTATCCACACCGTCGCTCCCTAGGATCCCTCCTAATATGGGTAATGAGAGTTGGCTCAAAGCGGCGGGGAAGAGCATGTGCCCAACTGCAGTGCTGGACAGTGCTTGTCTGTTAGCTATACAGCAGACTCAGCTCTGTGTCGTTAGCACGTGTCACGGACACCACTAGGATGACCATGCTGCAGAAGTGAAGAAAGCCGTGGACTTAAAGCAAGACTGTCTAGCCTCTGGGCCAGCTGCTGGGAGTCTCTGCCACAAGAGTGTGGATGGGAGAGAGAATGAGGCCTCTTCTGTGGTGTTCTGGGCAACTCTGGCATGACCTGTTCCACTTAAATCAAAGTACATGAGAGGGTAAACAACTAGAGAGGACAAGAACAGGTCACAGAGACTACAACCATTCCATACACAGTTAAATCAATGCCGTTCCGAAGTCTTAACCATTCCATGACTAATGGGTATATCCCAAATGCAGGCATGAAGTCAAAGATGTTTGCCTTGTCCATAGCAAAGTCCTAAAATGGCTATGGGATGTATTGCTTTGTTTTTTAATTAATTAATTTTTACGTTTATTTATTTATTTCTGGTACCAGGGCTCAAACTCCTGGTCTTGCTAGATAGGTGCTTATGCCACTGAGCTAAATCCCTGGGCAGGACATATTCAGTTTCTGTGCCACATGGACTGGCTCTTACCTGTTTCCGCACAGTCGAGCTACGCCTGTGGTTGATTCCAAGTCAAAGAGGATCAATCCAGCAACAGTAAGGAAAAAGAAAAAAATGAAACAATGAGACAAATGACTATAAACCCAGAGGTAAAGCTTTTAATTATGAAAAACAACCTACAGAATGGTTAATGAGACGAGTCATGTTTTTTCAGTCCAAGAAATGGCTAAGAGGCTTGACTAGTTACTTTCCTTCTAAAGTCCAATAAAGTTTTTCTCTTCACAAAGGCACAGGGGGTCCCTGCTTTTACTGTTACCACCACTCAAAATGTGCATAGGAGGAAACTGCTTTGATTTGCAGTAAAACAGGTTTGAATTAGATAGTCATATCTCTGTTTGCAAGGAAACTCCAAGGGTGCTCCCACCCATCTGCTTTCTCCTGGAAATCCCCAGGAAGAAGAGAAGGAGCCTATTTAGAGGGTAGGGTACCCAGACTGGATAGAACCTCGGGCAGCCTCTGCAAATGTGTGTTCAGTCTGTGTCTAGCTTCAGAGTGAACCTGACTTGGAGACGCAGCACCCAAAACAGGGCGGTGCTGCACTGCTTATGTGAAGGTAGAGGCTGGGGCCTGGCTGCCAGGCCTTGCTCTGTCTCCACTGCTGGCCTACTTCTGATGAACCTCTCAGAACTTATGCACTGTTCTCATCTTCTAAAGAAAGAAACTGGTGTTCTGGGAGGAGAAAGGAGTGGCTCAAAGTCAGTGAAGTAACCTGGCATCGGGGAAGGGAACGCAGCTCTTTCCAGTTTTTCTAGAAACTTCTGCAGACACGTGAACTTGGAGTCTATTGCCAGAGGAGACGTCTCACACAATTCTATTATCCTGGTTCCCTCCAGTCCTCAAGATTGGTGTATTAATGCGACTTTTGTTATAATTCACAATGACAAAATGATGAAAGCCAAATGAAGCTATCTCTAAATAATGGGCCTATAATTATAAATGGCCTCATGATTATTGTGTGTGCTGGCAGATACAAGTGGTTGATATAATGGGCTAGCACAAGGTCTCTAAGGAGTCTGGTCCATTAAAGCTCTTTCTTCAGTTAAACCAGCACAATTTTAGGCATCTGGGAAGATGGCTAAATGAGTGCCTTGCTCTGTCAGTTCAAGAGTTTCCTCATAGCAGCACTGTGACTGGTAGAGAAAGTATTTGGCTGGATGGGAGTGGGAGGGGAAGGTAGGGAATCGGACTGGGTAGGGTCTGTTTACTTGTACATCAGGAAAGGACTCTAAACCAAGGCTACCTGACAAGCCAATGCAAGGTACAACTGCACTATCCAACAATATTTACTGATTAGGAACTTTTATCTTTTCCATGCATAAAAACATCTCAGATCGGGGCTGGGGATTTAGCTCAGTGGCGTAAGTGCCTGCCTTGCAAGCAGGCAGTCGTGAGTTCGATCTCCGGTACTGATAAAAAAGGAAAAAGGAAAAAGAAAAAAAAAAAAAATCTCAGATCAAATGCTATCTCCTTGTCTTCCTTTTATGGGTCCCAAAGCCTACACCTTGAAGTAAGGTTAGGTTACCAGGATCCTTCCAAAGTCAAATGTTTATTTTCCTTGCAATACAGCGGCTTTGGGGAGTCTCTAGGCATATTTTAGCAGACCTCATTACCATTTGGAACCAAATGGGGTTAGTAAGGACAACAGAAGGAAGCAACCTCTACCCTCTGCCACTCCTTTGCAAACTCATTCAGTGTCTTTACAACTCAACCCTTTGGCTCTTTCCCACACTGAAACTGCTATGGGTCTCTGTATCCCTTCTGGGCACTGTCTCAAAACACACCTACCTGGCCAGACTGCAATCTGTCCGCTGACCTGAAAAGATAAAAGGCAAAAAGCATACGTTGAAGCAAAAGAGACAAAGAGGGAAAGGTCTACCTCTAGGAATTACCAAGTCCTGCCCATTCCCTCACTGAGTCACTAGGCAGAAAAGAACAGAAGTGACCAAAGCCTCCTTTAGGCCAAAAGCATTCTTTACTGGTCCCCAGGCCACAACTGCTGATCTCCTCAAACCATATACTGGCCACCTCTGCTTCTTGGCAGGAAAGGACGTAGGGGAATATGGCAGATCATTCTTTGACAAACTACAAGAAATCTTCCCAGAGAGAAGCTTTAGCTTCTGATGTGCATGTTGGGTCTGTGTGTAGTGGGAAGGGGGGCTGGAGAGCTTTCTCATTCCTGAGAATACGAATGAACATACAGATTCATACATGGTTAGGGTTGGACCAGGAAGAAGAAAAAGGAGTTGCTTGGGGAGAGGATGAGAAGATATGCATATTCTAGTTCTAGATTTATACTGTTATCCTGTTAGGTGGGATTAGGGTGGCAAGGGAAAGGTGAGCTTCAAGGTCAGTACTGCTAACAAATCATGGTTCTCAATGAGTCATAGCCAGCTTTAAAAAATGAAACTTAGCACTTGAAATTCATAAGTGGTATTCTCATTATTTATTTATTTTGTCTTTTTGAGGTAAGGTTCCATTATGCAGTTCAGACTTGGCTTTGAACTCACTTTGTAGCTCAGGCTGGCCTTGAACTCGGAGCCTCCCAAGTGCTGGAATTACAGGCATGTGCCATTACACCTGGCTCTTACGTTTTGTTTTTGCTGTTTTAAATATACAGACATGTATCTATGGGCCATGATATAATATATGTTGCTTTCTTTGGGTCCACGAAGCATGATCCTGATTAGACCTGTGCCAGATAAACCAGGGTGAACTGTGGCAGGCACTCAGCTGGGGAAGGAGGAGCAGCTCCCATATTCACTCAAGCTTCAGGTCCAAGGGCTGGGAGAGGGCAGGGCTTTTCCTTGCCTTTAAAGCTTGCTAATCGTTGATTACAGTTCAGCTTATCCTGAGCAGCACCACCCCCACCCTGACAGCCTCTTCTTACAAAACGCTCTGCTTTCATCCACAAAAATATTATTCTGAGCCATTATTTTCAACATCTGTCCCATTACCATTCTAGAATATTCATACACATCAATTATTTTGCTGTGACAAGAACAAGGGTCTCTAGCATTATGATGACAAATACAGACAGAAGGCAGGGACATGATGCCTAGCACACAGGAAGATTTACAGCTGTTTTTTTTCCTTTATTGCTAGAACTTGTCAACCTTTTGATGAAGGCAATTTGCAGCACTAATGAATGGTCAACCTTCATCCCCCTGGAGTAGCACATTTGGAGCACACATGTGTCTGAGCAAACCCATTCTTACACACACATGCACACACACACCCCAGAGGCCCTGCTCCCTACTTACTTATGGGCTATGCTTAGACTGTCTGATTCTCCTCTCAAAAAAAAAAAAAAAAAAAATCACAGTTATAACTTGCTTCAAATAGTTCTGGGCTTTCTTTCCTTCAGTTCTTTGTGACGCAATCTGATAACTTCAATAGTCTATGGCCATACCACCCTGAACGCACCCGATCTCGTCTAATAAACTCAATAGTAACGATTTTCTATGAGCAACACTTGTTTCTTCGATGTCTGACCTGTTTAGCCTGAACCCCTTAGGTGATGGAGAGGAAAGAGACCAGAAGTTATTTAAAAGACATTTTAAAAAGAGGTCTTAGAAATAAGATGCTAGAGAAAAAACAACTAATCATCTGAAGGAACTGTCCAGGGCAGAATGATGGCAAGAAGGGCAAGCAGGAGGTTCCGGATGAAACAGGCTCCAATTCCTGGTGCAGTGATCCAATGAGCCTTGCATACTTTCCTGTATTCTGCAGTTCATCTGGTGAGCGCTCAAGAATTCATTTTAAAATACTAGAACTCTGTGTCCATGCAGGCCTGCCAGTCACTTACACAGTCCTTGTAGCCTCTGCCTTCATCACCCTCTCATCCTTAAATGAAGAGAGTAGTAGGCATGGAGGAGAGGCAGGGCATTTGGAGGCATCCCTCGTCTGGGAATCCCATTAATCATAGAATGCTGAGAACTGGGCGGGAGACCTGGGCAAAGTGCCAAACAACCCCAGGGAAGCTTCTTTTCAACCTCCGCCTTCTGTTTTTGATGGCCAAGGAGAGAAAGTCCAGAGTACCAGTCCAGTTCTCTACTTTGTGACTTCCCAGGGTCTGATTAAGATCATCCTCTGAGATGAGCCAGTCTATTCAGCACCATGACCTCAGGGTGGCCACAGCAGAGAGGGCTGCCACTGGAAAGGTAGACCCTCCTTCTAAGCAGGAGGAAATGGAGGCTTGTCCTAGAAGTTGTGGTAGGCAGTAGCCTGTCCTCCACTACTACATTTAAGGCCTCTCTCCCTGCTCAGAACAGCTGCATATCTCATCTCAAGATCCCTCCCTTCTTGCTCCAGCCTCAGTCCCGGCACAGAGATCTGGGACTTTTAACAAGATGTCTGGAGAGGGAATAACCTTGCAGCCCCTTTGCCCTGTCGGAGGCAGGGAGGCGAAGGAGGGGCCAGGGTGGAGTGACAGCACGCTCCATTTAAACAAACAGAGGATGCACATTAGTGCTTCATTAAGCATTGCCCTTTCCCCATCACTCAAGCAGTCATCTGGGTCATGTGCTTCCACATTAAACAGACTAGGAAAAGAAAACTGTTCACAGAACCAGATCAGATCCCCTTGGCTAGGGATGAGGCTTGGGCTCAGCAAGAAAGCTCTGCGGGACCTCCCTCATTGCCAGCCTCCTGCAGAGTGATGGCACACTCACTTTCTCCCAGAGTTTTCTGCAAAAGGTCGTGCTTGGCTTGCAACTTGGTGATGAGATTCCTGCCCTCCAGGTATTCCTTCATTTTCTGTAAGGAAAAGGAGAAGAAAGGACATTAAGACTGCTGAAGAAAGAAAAATCAAGACACTCAGCTGGACAATTCCTTTTCTGAGAGGTCATCAGGCTTTTGACACCATTTCTCTTGGGTTTGATTTCCTCTTTCTTTGGGACCCTCAGTATGTGGACAGCTGCTGGATTCTCATGGTGGATGGTTATCCTACAGTACATTTCCCTAGGTACATTAGCCAGGACAAAAAGACAAAAAGACCAAAAAAAAAAAAAAAAAAGTCTCCTAACCCCTGCAACCTCTCCTTCAGTTCTCTAAAGGACTAGAACACCTGGAAGCTATACAGACTCCCCCAGTGCAGCATCCAGTGTGATGATGCACACTGCTATTTGGCACTGTTGCTGACCTCCTGCCTGCCCTGTTCCTTCCAGGGTGTGTTCCATCACCACAGGAGCAGTGGGAATGGCCAGCTCAGCCCTGACTCAGCTACAGGCCTGGCACATGAAGGAGCTGTGTCTAAGCCATATCCTAATCAGCCTCTTTCTTTAAGCTACATGGAGTCACAAGCAAGGAACTTGTGAGCACTCAAGAGGAAGTAGCTGCCAGCCCCTTCTTGCACACACACATACAGTTCCAGACACAAGATGAGGTTTTGGAAAGGTGGTGAAGTCCCCTGCTCTAACAGCCAAAGTATGGTTGCTGGTCTGTATGTTCAGACCTGACTTCTGACCTCAGCCTTTGTCAAGAAAGAGACTCTCGCAGACAATTCAGCAAATCTTCAAAACAATCCTATGAACTGCAATTACCATTGTACTGATTTTATAGATGAACATACTGGGATTTGGTGAGATTAAGTAAGTTGCTCTAGGTCAAACAGTGAGCAAGGGGAGTCAGTATCCAAACACAGGCAGGTTAGTAGTATAATGTAGATAAACTTTTCTATCCAAGATATTATAGATAAAATATGCTCTACACTACAGTACAGGAGAGATGCAGAACTAAACCTCACAGCATTTAATTCTTTCTATACGAGTAGCAACTTAGAATATTTTACAGTACATTAGCACAGATTCTCTCATTTGATGCTGTATAGTACGTAGATGATTTCATGAAGAGGGCATCAAACTGTCAGTTGTTGCAAGCTAGAAAGCAGGAGTGTGCTAGGCCTTTGGATTCTTAACACCACTCTTCCCACAGCCATCCAGGGAACTTAGCCTTCATCTGCTTTGGTGTCTCCTGATGTGCTGGTTCCTTTGCCAGGCCACGGTTAACTGCCCATGTTAAAGCAGAAAGTCAAATGGCAATATTTACCCGAGTGTGGCCTGCCAAGACCCAGAAAGCCATGGGATCCTTCGGGTGATTAGTAGACAAAACAATTAAGATTATGACAGTTCAGTCTTTTAACATATACTGTCTTTGATGTCAGGGTTATTATCATGTATGACTAAAACTGATAGAAAAGGTAAAACTATTCGAGTTCATTTGGTCTGAACTTTTAATTAAGAGCATGAGCATCCTATCTGTTTTGAGGGGAGAGGAGAGACAGACAAAGCTCCATTCTCTGGACTGCAGTCCCTGGCCTTCTGCTTGCATGCACGGTTCAGTGTGTAACCTGCGTGTCTCTCTGACAGCACTCCTGTTAGTACTATGAGAGGCTTTATTACCAGTGTGTATTTTTCTCTAGACTGTCTCTCCCCTAGGCCAGAGACTATGCCATTCATTGTGTTTAGGATGGAAAAGACGATACTGGATTCAGCAGATAGTAGGTACTCAATAATTGCACAAAGAATGAAGAAATAAGCAGAAATAAACAAGTGCCCTGTGTGTAGAACCACCATTGACAGCTACAAACCAAGCCCCCAGTATCCTTACTCTAAGTTAAAATATAAAACAAATGAGACACAAATTTCATGCTAAATCATTTCTACTACCTTACCCAGGATCTGTTCCTTCTGCCCCTTTGTGCTTTTGCACAAGAATATCTGCTTGAAAATAGGCTCTCCTGTCATATGTCACCTTCCCCTTTCCATCTGCTCCAGCTGCCAGCTCACCTGCTGTCAGTCTTCCCTGGGTAATATCCTAATCCCCAACCAATGCCTAATTATGGGCTTGGCGTAGTATTTTGAGGCTGAGGGGTGCAAAGCCTTCAGGAAACATTCATTGTTAAGAGCACAATCCTCAAAGGTCCCTCTTCCGAAGGTTATCCCAGGAGACCCAAGGGTTTTCTAATGAGGAAAATTCACCAAAAAGCTGTAAATCTCAAAACAAGACCATATACAGCCTAAATTCTGAAAGGAGATAGATGCAAATTCCTTTTTCTCACTCGTGTTTCTATTTGTGATTCCGAAAACCACTTTTTCATTCATGTTCACAGCTCACTAGTTAACTCCGCTGTCATTCCGCAAACCATTAAAATAAATAATAATCTGATAAAGAGCTATGATGGATTACCTTTTCGGAGTCCATTAAATCCTGAAGGATCAAAACTGTGTCAAGATATGACCCGCATCTCTAATACTGGTGTGCAAACAATGGCTGGGCTTTTCCACCCAGGAAGGTGGTGGATGTGAGAAGTGTGGCATGTCACTGATCACCTCCCACCCAAAGTTGGCACCCATCTGCAGGTGAGAAGCTGGGTATAAACAACCTTGCCTCTACCAGCAGAGCTGAGTGAGGAGGTTCAGTTGCTGCTAGGCAGATTCCCAAAGAACGAGTGGAGACAGCTGAAGGGAAGGGAGCCGTAAGTAGCCTTTTGATGACTTTTGGAGAGCAGGAAGCCAGGAGGTGAGCCATTTGTCTCAAAATTCTCTTCTTAGACAAGTTCCTAAAACACACCAGTGCCTCCTGCTCCAGCCTTTATAATCAACATTACCAAAACTGAGAGTTTTCACAAAAAGCAAGAAGGGAGGCAAATAAACTATCTATTAGATATTTGTGAAATTCCAGTTCTATTTTTATGGTCTCATTAATTGGCTCCTTAATAATTCCTAACTGGGATGGTCAGCAATGAGGTTCACTTACCAACATCATAATTTTTCTTTTTTAGCCCTCTGTCACTGACAAATATTTCAGTTGCAGCAAAATGAAAATAGTCAAGCTGTAACATCCTAGTCTTACTACTTATTAATGCTTCTAACTTTGGGCAAATCACTTAACCTGGGCAAATAACTTAACTTGACTTTTCCAACAACAACAACAAAAAAAAAAAAAAATCACAAGGTTATTGACAGGTCACAAGGCTGACAAACACAACTTTCAGCTCTGAGATTAGCACAAGCAGTCACTCAAAAAGTGTTCCTTATACTTGAACCAACTGCCTGCCTGCCCTGTCACTCTGAAAACATCTGTTCCCTAAACTTTGCTTTGGCTAATACATAAGCAACCCAAATCAAAGCAGAAGGGTTTAGGTTCTTTAAAAAAATAAATAAAGAGGCATAAGAACAGTTTCCAAATTTCATTTTAAAAAACCTCTTCCCTGAAAGTACACGCTTGCCATGGGGTTATGACCGCCCAGATTTTGCTTATGCACTGGGCTTGGCCTGTGTGAATCCAGGGTTGCAGCAAGGGGGTGGGGTGGGAGGAGTGACAAGGCCTCCTCAGTCCCCTGCACACAGACACACAGATGTCATTACCATGGCTACTCCCCTACCATGCAGGCACGCTGACACTTCCCCTCCTCCCTGTCAATTTTTCAAGCAAGAAACAGCTGTTAGACAGAATACATAATACAGTAAACCTTAAGTGGAGCACATCTCCTCATTTTAATGGGCAGGGCAGGGACATTCACTCATTTGTACCTGCTTAGCACACATTTGCCAAGGCCCATAGGATATTAAGATGAAGAAAGATGTCAGACTACAAATTGCAAATCTAGTATCTTGCACACACTGCCATAGTAGCGAAGATACCATCTCCTCTCCTGTTGCCTTACCCAAATCTGTCCCTAAGAATTTAGTTATTTTATCAGCCATAATCCTCATATTTCCCCATCCATACCCCATACAAGAATCCCAAGCTCCAGTGCTCTATGCGAGGAAATACTAGAAGAAACACTAGTCTAACAAGGCATTGCTAATTCTTGGCTGAACAATGAGCACTACTACCCAATGAACAAGGAATTGAATAAATAGAGATTCCTGCCACCTTCTGAACTAATAGGTAGATCATTTCTAAAACAAATTAAGTGAGAAAAGATGAGGAACAGTATGAATGGCATACTTCCATTTGCCGCATTCTATTTTGTTCTATTTCTAATGTAATTTCTCCTACTAAAGGGAACTTACTGATACATCTGTGATTGCCTGTGCATACAGTGTTGCTGGAAGGACATGAAAGGGACCAGTTTTGTGTCTGGTAGAGGAAGGAGAAGTAGGGTCAGGGATAGGACAATACTTGACTTTTTCTTGAATGTCTTTTTGAAATCTTCCCAATCTTTCATAAAAACTATTTTTAACAAGCACAACAAAAAAGGCAGGAAAAAAAAGTAGATGTTGCTGAATAATGTGCAGCAGAAGACAAACGATAGGCACAAAGTCAGGGACATCACTTATGGCAAATAAGAGGGAAAGTTGCTGAGCTGTTCCTGAGCTTGGTCCTTGAGCTCCACTGGCAGGAATGTCTAAGCTGTGGCCCCAGACAATCCCCCTTTGCTCGGAGAGGCTCAGGCAAGCCTAGAGGTCAGACATACCTTTGAAGGAAAGTCTGCAGGTAGAGAGAAGGCTTCTAGAGTCCTTGCTTTAGCTGTTGCTGAACATGTTGGCCAAGCCATACATCCTCTTTGGATATGTTTTGTTGTTAATCTTTCAGATGAAAAGGGTTGGACAGGGCCTCACAAATCAGGCTGGCCTTGAACTTGCAAAGTAGCTCCTGCTGGTCCCCAGTGTGTGACCTTCCTACCTCAGTTCCTAAGTGCTGAAATTACAGGTGTGTGCCATACAGCTTTAAAATCCCATCACTATCTCCCTTGTAAGCAACTGATCTGTATAAGGCCTGCTTCAAATTTCTAATGATATCACCAGAGCAGATTAATCTGAAGACAGTCATGAGTGATCAGAAAATTGTCCCATCAGTCCTCTTGGTCATTAGGCAAACTATTGAGAAATAAAGCCATGATAAGGGTCCTTTTCTAAACTTTCCAAATGAAAGGCGCCTCTAAGAGAGTTTTCAATAATACAAACTGCCCGCTAAGGCATGCATGCCACAGGTTCACCACCACTGAAGGGAGAAGAGAAATAGAGGGCAACACCTGTAGAAGCAAAGGAGGGCTATGTATGGTTTGGTAGGCTTTACAAGTGGGCCCCTTTAACATGGGGTCCTCTTCTTAAATGTTCAATTCACTATCCCCAAAACATGCCCTTTTATCACAAAACGGATATCTCATCCACTTCAGGCACCATTGGTGAACTCTGTAAATCTGTTACAGGACAAGCCCAGAAAAAAAGGATTCCTGTTAGCTAAGGGAATCTGCACACAATGTTGATAAGTAGCACCATGGCTACAAAAGACAGGAAATGGGTTAGAGGACATTAGTGCATTCAGATAGAAAGTGAAAGGACAGACTGGACTCCAGAGGTCACCAGCTTGAACAGGGTCATTCCTGTTTCTGTTAAAGGTTAATGCTGAAAATTAATGTCACAGATTCATTTAAGCCAAAGGTAATTCTGACAAAGACTTTCTAAAATACAGTTTTATGTCTAAAATGTCTTACGTACTTTAAAATGGAAATCTGCAGGGTAACAAGATTGGGTCATTTATACCGAAGCAGCCCAAACAGACTTAACCAAACAGTCTCTTTTTTTTTTTTTTTAAAACTTTTTGAGACTGAGTTGCACTATGCAGTTCAGGATGGTCTTGAGCTCATTTTGTAGCCCAGGTTGGTCTTGAACTCACAACGGTCCTCCTGCTTCAGCCTCCTGAGTGCTGGGACAAATAGTCCTATTATTATTATTATTATTATTTTTCCTTATGTCCTATTATTAAAAGCCTAGAGGGTATCCATTGAGCTCCTTAGATAATGAAGCAAGGGCTTACCCTCATTATAGTCAAGTTCTCTAACACGCAGCCTTCATGCGTGGTTTTTGCATGCCTTCATGCTTTTGCGCACGCCACTGGTTCCTCAAGGAACAATATTCTCCTGAGTCCTCTGTCCAGTTTGCTCATCCTTCAAAATCAAGTACAAAATCACTTGTGTGTGCTGCTTTTCTAGTGCCAGGCATGACTGCCAAGCAGGCACATGTGTGTGCATGCCTTAAAATTTCTTATATTAATTATAAAATGAATTCATTATTACTGCTTAGAAATACAGAAATAAAAGTGAAAGCTCTTCCTTTATATGTCCAATCCCATAATTCCCTTCGTCATTTTTTACTCTCAGCATCCCCAGTTTGTAACCTAGTGTCAGGGCGACAATGAACGATTAGTGACTAACTTAGTAATGATTAATGAATAATGATGATGATGGTACTTAGCCATGAAGAAGGATAAATTTGAGTCATCTGAGGTAAAAATGAATAGATCTTGAGACCATAATGCTAATAAATCACAGGTTAAATATCACGTAGCTTCTCTAACATGTGAAATCCAAAATACAAATAATTTAAAGAGCAAAACAAAAAAGAGATGATAGAGAGGTAGAATTTGTGCAGGTGAAAGGGAATCTCAGAAAGGAGAGCGAGGGAAAGTGGGGGAAAGGAAGTAAAAGATGCAATATATAAATGTATCAAATCTCCAAAATGCATGTAATTATTAGGTATCACAAACACAGACTAACACAAAGTGTAAAAATGAAAATGGAGAAAGTAAACTTTCAGTGTGTTTTTACTGACTGATCAACTGATAGACTGACTATGGGTGCTGAGGACTGAGTCCAGGGAAAGGGCACATCTGGACCATAACATTTTTATTTTCAGACAGGGTTTTGCTAAGCTGACCAGGCTGGCCTTCAGTCTATGATTCTTCTGCCTCAAGCCCCGAGTTGTTGGAATTATAGGTGAGTACCACCAATGCCTACCTAATTTTTAGCATTTATGAAAATGATGAGCCACATAATGTGTTAAATATTTTACAAAATGAATGAGCATGCCAAAATGTCATTCCATTGTTTCTTTACGTAGATTTTAGTATTTTACTCATATATTTGCTTTAAAAATATTATAATTAAATGACTCACGTAATATATAACAGGTACAACAATTTTCCATTTTTTGGTAATAAAATTATAAATATATACTTGTATATGTATTTGTATATGCACAGAAAGGAAATATACCATAATACCATTATATCCCTAGGTAGTAGGATTATGAGTGACTTCTAAGTTTTATATAATGAACATGCTTTTTTTTTTTTTTTTTTTTTTTTTTTTTTGGAGACAGTGTCTTGCTAGGTACTCCGGGCTGGCCTTGAACTCACTATGTAGCCCAAGCTGGCCTCAAACTTGCAGCAATCCTTCTGCTTCAGCTACCCAACTGCTGAGATTACAGGAGTGCATCACCATGCCTAGAACTGAGCAAAATTTCCTTATATGACAGACTTTTTGGAAGTGTTTTAGAAGAATAATACTCTTAAATCACTCTTTCAATAGTCTTCTCCAGGATTTAAAAACAGAACCTAGAGAATTCTGAACTTAACTAATTAAAAAACAGATTTAAGAGAAAATTAGCAAATCATTAGTGCTCTTAATGCAGAAAGGGCAATGTTCAAGAATTAAAATAAATTGTTCCAGTTGGAGGAAAAATTCAATTTACTGCATGCAGACTGTGCTTCTCAACTGAAAAACAAATTAATTCGTTTCATTTAGAATCAGTATGCATATTCACTGGCTATATTTCATCTCACATCTGCGAACTTAATTTTTCCTTTCTTGGTCATTTGAAGATTAGGAAATAAATTTTAGTCCAAGCAATAAATCCTACTTGGCAAGATCAAAATACTTTAATTATTAAAAAGCAGCACCAAAAACTAGCAGGAACCTTCCAAAGAACTATTAGCACCACTTTAAAAAGAAGTGCGCCCATCTGTCTAAAAGAAGACCGGAGATACATGAATAAGAAAATATGTTTTGGAATTCTCTTCAAAAAACAATGTTGTACATGAAAACTTTAAGTTTTAGGAATAACTATGAAAAGTATTTTCCCAAAAATAAAAGTTATAAAATAATGTCATTAAATTACCTAGAAGAAACAGACTTTTTAAAACAAGGTATGTGTTAGCCACGAAGTTCTGATATAGCTCCTACGAACCAAGTGATGCTTCCTCTCATGCTCTGTGGCTGAGAAAGAGGTTTTCAAATGAAAGCCTCCTTAAAAATTCCTTTGAAAGGAAAACCTCTTAGTTGTCTACTTGGGAGCAACCGTTATTAGGGAGTCCCAGTTAGACGCGTATAACTTGGAGATGTTGCCCCTTTCGATAGAGGAAGGCTGCTCAGATTCTAGGGTATTCAGTCCTTCCAGACATTTGACAAGGACTCTGAGTTCCCTTGGGGACCAGAGTGCCTGCTGAGGTTCCTTAACGGCCTCCGAGCCCTTACCGTGAAGTAAAACTGCTCGGTCTCTTGCTGGTTGGCTCTCCTCTTGGCGATGCTGGGCTTGCTCATGAAGGTTTCTGAGACAGTTGACTTGACAGATTCCATGGAATTGCTGTACTGGAAGCAGTCAGACACATCAAAATCTTCAACAGTCACAATGTCCTGGATGGTCTGCAGGGTGGCTTCCATTGTCTTCTTTACCTGCAACCACAAGAGCAAACCTAATGTGTGACAGGAAAGCTGCAAAACAGCCAGTGATGGAGAAGCCTGGAGAAGTGGGACAGAGAACGGAATGAGAAGAAGGAGGACATCATCAGAGACTCCAGCTCTGCTTCCCCCATGGAGCTAGATGAGGGCTACAACTCACACAGATTCTGCTACCACATGCAACTCTTTAGTGAGGACCTAAGATCCATTACTCCTTTTGCTATGTACTTGACTCAGCTCTTTTACTTACTCTTTACTTTTAAAATTTAGTATTAGGTCTTTAGTATACTGGAAGCGCTAAGGAAATCTGAATAAAACAAACTCAAAATAGCCGTGCTGTACAAACAGTCAGCTAAAAGCTGGGATAGGCCAGGTAGGGTGGTGCATGCCTACACAATACCAGCTACTCAGGACGCTGCAGCAGGAGGATCAAAAGTTCAAATGTGCCCTGGGCAACTTAACAAGAACCTGTCTTAAAAAGAAACAAGAACTGGGGATGTCTAGTGATAGAGCACTTGCCTAGTTCATGCAAGGAGGATAATTCTCTATCCTGCAAAAAAAGAATCCCCAGATTCTGTTTCATGACCTTCAACAAAACAACAAATTTGTTTAGCTACTGAGAAAAAAAACTAGCCCATTCCTAGTCCTTCCTGATCTTCTAGGAATAGTAAGACTGAAACACAAGGAAAGAAGCCATCTGAGCTCACCAGAAAATGGGATCATCAATCAAGTTTTCCTTTTGAACTGGTTGTTGAAAGAAAAATGTACTGGGCCCAGAAGATAGTTCCCTTTCCTCAGAGGATGGAGATGTTTGAAGTGTCAGAGCCAATGGCTTCTATTTGTTTGAAAATGCTGGAAAAAGCCAGGCATGAGGGGTAGTTTCAGACACAATACTGTCCACCCTGCTGCCAAGTGCCATTTTGATTAAAAGTGTAGAGAGGAAAAAAAGTGTATTGCAAGAGCTCAAAATAGAATACAACCTCTGGCAACACAAGAGCGACTTCCTGGAGTTCAAGGGCAGGATGTAGCAGGGGGAAAATCCAAGCCTACATTTGGCTAGGAAGTGTCTGCAGCAGCCCGGACATTCTCAGCATGCCCCTTCCACCTGCTCCCACATGAGCAGCAGCAACAAGTTCCATGGGGAAGCTCAGAGCGTAGCTCTGAGCCTGTGGGAGGGACACTCACCTCTTCATTTTCAATTTTCAGAGTGGATAAGCGAGACTGGAGCTGTTGGCATCTCTGTACCAGCTCACTCTGGACGGGCTGCTGGGCACAGAGCTGGGAAGCCTGCCAGAAGAAAGCAAGTCCAGGTTAGGAAGAGGATACAACTTTTCTTGGTGATTCCAGAGTTCTCCTCACCACTGACACAACCACTCATGTGCAGGGTGGAACACTTGCAATGGAAACAAAATCCAAAGCGGACTGAATAGCACATAGAAGTGAGGAGGAGAATCTGTTCAGAAGACCAGGTTTCCCTCTCAGGACGCATCTGTAGGCTGGTGCTTGGCAGGGGCAAGTCTACTCAGAAAGCTGGGAAGGCTGGCAGAGAGCACCTCAGGCAACTCAGCTCCAGAAACACAATGTTCTGGCACAGCGAGGATTTCCTGCCAGAGGGCCAAGCGGCCACCTCTCCAGCCCTTCCCCCCTCCCACTTTACACAGTAAAAGCAGGAGAGAAGTGGGTCAGGAGGCTAACTTGCTGCTGTTGGCAGCCAGTATGTGTTTATAAACCCAGGCCATATGTAAGAACTCCTACTCAATGAGAGAGAACCTGAAGCCAGAAACAAGATCACTGGCTTATGCTAGAGAGCCCTAGAGGGCATGGAATCGGGCAAAGCTTGGCATTTCCAATGAACTATCATTTTACCACTGATCTCCACAAGGTCTTGTGTGGGCAAGGATCCTTTGCAACCTTGCTTCCCGCAGCACTGCTGCCAATGGTTTTCCCCTCTGTGAAAAGATGGCTGGCCCACTGGCTCCTGATGGGGTGGAGCTATGGTATGAGGTCGCCCACTATCTCCAGGACTGATGAAGAGCAGGCTGGGCGAGTGGGGAAGCAGGACTTACGTGGAGGTAGCTCCTGGTGTCTTGCTACTATAGTTCTCTTAGCTGCTGTTTAAAGAGATATCTGGATAAAACCAGACTCCTTTCTCTAAGCAGGGAGTGGGATCATTCACATGCTCATAGACTATTTTCTTGTTTGAAAGACAGAACTTCTCTCCAAATGGAGGGGGCTGGGACTTGACCTTTTCCTCCACTGGCTTTTAAGCTCCCAACTGGTTTGACCTCTTCCTGGCTGGTCTAAGCCAGCTCACAGATCTGAAGGGAGCTGATTTCACTCTGGCTCTTGGATAAGGAGACACAGTGGAGAAAGCTTGGTGGCCAAAGTGGGTCAGTGCCAAGAGTGCAACTCCCTGCTGCCTGATGTTACCAGTCAGGCATCCTGAGCCCCATAAGCCTCTGGGGCACCAAGAATGAAGCCAGGGACCGTCTCCCTGCACATCTGAGAGCACCTGGCATTAGTTCATGTGACAAGGGCCCTAGAACCTGTCAGTGTAGGGCCTCAGCCAGTTTCAGAGCTTTCAGTCAGAATGTCACCCCAAATCTGACCCTAATTCAAGGACTTCCAGGCAGCTCCCTCCTGCCTCCAGTTGATGGAAAACCCATACTAATGAAGATAAACTGGTTGCAGGATCCAAGGATGAGTCGCTCTATCATCTCCTTTTATTTTCCCCTCTTATGAAGGCTAGGTGAGAATGAGGACCCTCTGCCAGGCTCAGTTACTGATCAGCTCTATCACAAAAAAGAAGCACCCTGGCAGAAGAACAAGCTATTGATTTTTAAAGTAACCCAGACCTAGCAGGGAAGAATCATAGAGCAAAAACCTGTTCCTTTAAGCAGCAGCAGAGCTGCTGAGGCACGCTTGGCAGTGATCCTATACCAGTGTGCAAGGCAATGCATTCCAGCTGTGCTCTGGAGTATGGAAATGTGGCTCTGACAGGGCGGAGAGGGGGTCCGAGTGCCCAGCATCTGGATTTCCCCTTTATGGAGACAAGCTGTTTGGCTCCAAAGGCAACTCAGTCAACACCAGAAAATGTATCACTCCACTCAGCTCGCCCACAAGTTACACTGATTTTTGGGAAGGAATCCCAGTGGCAGCTGGAGAAGGGACTTGGAAGGCAAGTTTGATGAGAAGCCACAGCAGGTGAGGAATGGGGTTTCCTGGGGGTTGGTGACACTCCTCCCCCCGACTGGAACTGCACATGCTGTGGTCTCACCTCCCCATCTGTTCAGATACTGAAATCTCCTAAGTCACAGCAATGGCAACAAACTAAAAGGGTTTAGTTTTCCCGAGGAAGAGGAGAAAAGAAGTTATCCCCATATTTTTGTTTTTAGAATAGAAATGTCCCACTCTCCATGGTGGCCTACTGATGACAGCAAATCTTCTGGTTACACTGCTACAGCTGTCACACTGGAGCAGTGCTTTTTAAAGTGTCTGGATGCTAATCCTGGGGAAACACTCACACTTTGGTCCCCACACATCCATGGCCTCCTTTGGTGACTGTGGTCTGACAGTCCTTCAGGAGAGGCCCCCCCTCCCCCCCCTCACCGTGCTATTTGGGCCACACACTTTGGACTGATCTATGACCCTGGCATAACCCAGTCGGCCAGTGGGTACCTAGCTGCAGTGGCCATCTCAGAGCTGAACATCACCCAAACAAAACACCACCCAAAAAAACCTCGTGAAACACAGCAAGACCTTCTGAGAGAGTTAAGGCTGGCAGAAAAGCCTATCTGAGAATGGAAGGAGAATAAGCAAATGTTGGCAAAGTTCCTGCTTCAACTCCAACTATGCCTGAAGGTCCACTGGGACCTTTTCTGTCATGTAAGCCTCTACGCCCCCTCCTTCTAATTTGGTAGGCGAAATGGTAACTGCAGGAACAAGACTTACTCTGATTTGGATGCACAACTACCTGAAGTGGAATCAAAATACTCAACTTTTTTTTTCTTTCAGTTCTGTTCATGCAGGCCTTTCCTGTTTTAGTTTCTAGGGGTGAAGAACCATAACAGGGCCCTCGTGCTCATGCTCCCTTGCCTGAGCAACAAGCGTGATGCCTTCTTGGGGATGGCAACTTCACCCCTGCCCTGTAGAGGTACCCATTCTGGTTTGTTCAATACCTAAGCTAAACTATCTCCTTCACCATGGTCTTCCCAAACCAGAAGAGATTCTGCTGAACTCTGCCAGATGTTAATAGATGACATCATTCCTCTGTTTAGCTCCCCCGCTCGCAGCCTCTGGGCCTGCCCCCCCTTCAGCTCTCCTTTCTTCCAGCCTCACCACTGCAGGCACCCTCCTTTCCTTTCACCATATTGAGCTGGGAGTAGTTTTTAGACATTCTAGCTGTTCCTTTTGGCGGCCCCTCCTTGTGCCTTCTTCTAACTCTTTTCCAACCTCACTCACCAGACTGTAAGCTTTCTGAGGGTTCCAGTTCTCAGCCTCCAGAGCAGGCCTGGTGGGCAGCAAGCTGCCAGTGGCTGTCTGCTGAATGAGAGAAATGTGCCTCCCCACCCAACAGGAAGTCCTCACCCCTGGAAGAACTCAGCCTCTGTATAGCGAAGCAACACACCAGAGCACTCAAGATCATTTGAGAGATCAAGAGGATGGGCAGGGCCTCACCATGTCCCCCATGTGGGGCTGGAACTCAAACTTCATTGGGGGACAGAAGACGTTGTTGTACATTTCCATGAGGCGTTGCTTGTCACTGGTGGCATCTAAGTTTTCTACTGCGTTCTCGATGGCATCCAGACCCTCATGCTTTGACTGTTCCAGATTTAACTCGGCAGACAGGAAGGTGCGCAGGGCCCGGTTCAGGCTAGCATGGTAGCCTAGGTCACAACACTGCTGTGGGAAGAAGAAGGCACATGAGCACACCAGAGCCAGTTCCAAGGCTTAAAGGAAGGGTTGGTCCCAGGGCAGACCTGACCACATTAGTACAACTGGCTACGCTGCAGGAAGAAGGCTGGCTTCTGAGATATGGGTAAGATTTCACAATGGACTCTCAGGTCAACACTTATGGAAGAGAACACTTATTACACCCATAAGGGCCTAATGGTGTGATCTAATCAAGTTCTATATGGTGCTATTCTATAAATATAAGAAAGGTTGAGAATTTTCTTCTTTTTAGGTTTATCTGTAACAACATTTATGACAAAATGCAACGATAACATCACAGCCTGCCATTCCCTAATGGTCACAGTAGCTCACCCACTATATGCCCACTATACCACGCCATTTCAGTGGCAAGGAGTCAAAAATACAGAGTGCTACAACAGTGGTTAATTTATACAAACTCTGCTCAGGTAGAAGAAGAGAGTGGAAGTTGAATCCATGGGTCACCACTCTCACCACCTCCTAGAATAGCCCTGGGCTGCAGACCAGGAAGTCTGGGCCAAAGCTCCCCTACACAAGAAGCATGAATAAAACAAAAGTTTTAAACACGTTCCTGGGGAAATTCAAATCATACAATGGATTCTGATTTTCTACAGCATATGTGAAAGAATGAAAGAAAGAAAAAGTGTAAGAAACAATTCTATTAAAACAATAAACCCAATACTGCAGGCCAAGCAAAGCGACCTGAACCTGCTCCTTTGACAGCAAAACGAACAGATTTGGCCAGGCTGGTTCTCAAGCAGAAGCTCACAGCTTTCGATTTCTGTGCCCGCCTCAGGCTGCTCATGAGAAGGGAGTGGAAGTCAGCTCAGGTAGTAGAATATGGGGTTCTCTCACCAAGACATTGTAAGATACCAGGGTTCTAAGTGAAGGCCAAATTCTGTTAAAGTAAACTTCTGAAAATCCTTGGGTTAAATGTGAACCGTAAGCCCCATTCTCAGCAATGGCATTCTGCAACCTTATGGTGATATTCCTAACCCCTCCTAAAGAACCCAGAGATCCAAATACTTTGGCCATCCATTATCTCCTTAATTGCTTAGCACTGTTTCAGTCCAGATCCTGAGAAGAAACTGCAGAGCAGAATCCACAGCTACAGTAAGGCCATCTGCCTGTCATTTCATTGCATAAGTAAGCATCAAATTAACTCTCCCTCAGCCTTCTCTTCTCATCACAATCACACTGGAAACAGCCTCTACTGGGGAAGAGAAAGCACATGACAGGCCTCCTCCTTCTAGGCATCTGACGAGAAGCTCAGAGACACAGCACCCGTTGAGCTGGGCTCTCGGTTCAGTGCCAACTGGCTCTGGCAGGTGCCTAGCTTCCGCCAAATAATGGCAGTCACAGCTTATCTACAGCCAGAGGATGGAAAGACACTAAATTCAGTTGGGAAGCAACAGCAAATAGAAACGAGATAAACATGGCTGACTGGGAGACTGCACAGGCATCCTCCTCTAGAGATACCACTGAACTAGCCAGGCTGCCCGTGAGCCGGTAAGCCTTCCTGCCTAGCCCACGGTGGACCCTAATGGTGAGCTCTATGCCTAAAGTTTGTATAGAGAGTAATGCTGCCCATTGTGTGTGAGGGAGAGCTGAGGGGAGCAGGATGCCCTAGAGGGACCTTTAGTATTTTTGGAAAGCCCTTTCCTCTCCACTCTCAGTACCTCTTTTTTAATTCATACCCTAACTTTACACCACTATGGTTTGTTTTATTGTCCTCAAATGTGGCTATTGTTATGTCCTTGATAAAAACCCTGAAACTTGCCACTCTTCCCCCACCCTCGGGGTTAAAAATCCCACCTCCCTCAGTTTGGAAGGGCAGAGAAATGGTCTATTCTAAGTATATTTAGTATAGGCCAGACAGTGTACTCAGTGTAGTATACACATTTCACATTTTTAATCCTCATAATTACCCCAGTGAAGTCAATATTCTCTTAATTTTCTAGACTAGGAAGCTGAGGTTCAGTGAAGGTAACTAATTTGAGCTAAGTCAGACAGGCAGAATCAACTGTGATGTGCGTGCAGTCGGCCCACCCAATATGATCTCCCTCTTTTGGCCTCTTTTGCTCCAAACCAATGACATACTCTATGCAGAGCAGAATGCCAAAAAAGTACAGGTCTCCAATCAACTATGTGACCATAAATAAGCTACTTAATCCCTTTCCCTCAACTAGGGATACTGGCAACTTCACAGACAGCTATGAGGCTAACAGGCAATATGTTTACACAGATCTGACACTGCACAGACATTTAACAAAGACCAATCGTCACCTCCAAATCAGTAGATTTGGACTTCTGCCCTAGAGCTCCTAGGTCTCCTTTCAAGAAATTTGCCCCACTCCTCTCATTTGTTGGGATTAGACCTAACCTTCAACACCTTAATCAAATTCCCACCCTCTGGGAAACCTGCCTCCACTCAGAATCATGCTCATCTTCAGCCTTCCTGTGACATAGGGTCCTCCTCTTCCCCCAAATCTGTGGCTTGCAATTTCATATCGCCCCAACCAGAATATGAGTTCCTTGAGTTTGGCCACTATCTGACCCTTGTTTCTGTGCCTTACCATCAGGTCTTGGTCATAATAGCTATTCACTAAAGCTCAGCTAATTGAAGCTGCAAGAAAACAGCCTCTCAGAAAGCAATCTACATGGGCCAAACTACTGACCTAAGTCGATGGCTGGATATAGCCCTGAAGTTTTTGTTTTGTTCGCTGCATGTGGTCTGGGAAAAGCAGGGAACTTTCCAGGGGCCGCAGCACTGACCCTATTTATATGACCATGGTGTAGAAGCGAATGGGGATCTCACAGTGTTCCTAAGCTCCCCCATGTCTCCAGTTAACCCAGGAGACTGGGAATAGGTTTTCTAGGTTCTTGGCCATCTACATACCTGCAGGACAACAGCCAGAAATTGAGACTAGCAGAGCAGCAATATCTGGCAAAGTCAGACAAATGAGATTTGAATATTTCGTCCTGTTCTGCAGAGACTCCCAAGAGCAGAGGCAGCACATTAGTTATTTTGCTCACACTGGGGACAAAGCACGTGTTCCATGGCTTCTGATGAGTTCTGTGGCCACCCTGGGCTCCCCTGGCCATCTCTGGGTTATATAAATGTTTGATGAAAACCCTCTCGGGGGAAATCAAATTTTTATAAGAATTTAATGACAGCCATCCAGATGTGTGGTAACTTGTGTTGATAGCTCATTAACCCTTTTCCGACTGATTCTCAGAAACCTGCAAAGAAAAATGGGTGTTTCATGGGGGCTGGGGATTTAGCTCAGTGGCATAAGCGCCTGCCTTGCAAGCAGGCAGTCATGAGTTCGATCCCTGGTACCGGTAAAAAGGAAAAAGACAAAAAAAAAAAAAAAAAATACTCCCACCCATTGTTGATAACCTTGTACTCTGTTCTTACATCATGTACTATGTCTATCCTTGGTTTTGACTGACAGCTTTGTTTTGCCATATTTGACTTTATTCTCTTCCAAAAAAAAAAAAGTAATAAGAACTAAGGAGTAATAAAGCCCAAAATGTGTAAATTTTGTTGTAAAAAAGAGAGGGAAAAAAAGTGCTCTAAAGGATACAACTGCAAGTGTGTTTAGGGGTGTTAAATAGCTGACCATATTAATGTTTTTGGTTGGATCACTGAACACAACTGTTTACAGTCTCTCTGTTTGAATGTTCACTTTGTATGTTTTGATACTGTGACTTGAGCAACTATCTCTAAGACGATAATGTGTGATCTATTAACTGGTGATTTCTTACTGTTTTTTTTTTTTTTTTTTTTTTTTTTTTGTAGTTCTGCATTACTTGTACCCTTGCACCGCTTTGTTTTGTTTTGTTTTTTCTCTTTTTCCTTTTAAATAAAATTAAAAAAAAAAAAGAAAAATGGGTGTTTCATAATACCTACTTCAAGTTGACATGGAAGAGAAAAATAAGTGCACTTAATAAATTTCCTAAAGGGGATAAGGCCCCTCATGCCTGACTTGGGTATAGAGAGTGTTAGAAACACAACCTGTGTACATGGCACTCACAATATTCTGGCTATGCATAAGACAATGAATGCCTTGTTCTTCATTCACCCACCTGTTCCCAGACTGAGAGAGCCATAGGAATACAGGGGAGGAAAATTATACTCCAATGAGCCTAGCGTTTGTAGACACTATCAAGTGAGTTCAGACTGTTTTTCTGGTCTGAAGTTCAGGTTTTCCTGGTGTGTGTCAGAAGATCATGTGGCTTCCTAGTCAGAGTTGAAATCTTACGTGTTACTATAAAAAGAAGTTAGAGATTAGGCCTTGTGTCCATGTAATGTTATCTACAGAAATGATTTGCTTTCCACTTACCCTCAATATCTTAAATATGCATAGAGCTTCAGACTCCTAGTAAGGAGGCAAAAAGCCATACATGACAGATGACAAATGGGCTAGAACAAGCAAGCGGATGTGGCAAGATCAGGATGCCAACATCCCAGACTCCATACTTGTTCCTGCTCTAACTGTTGGCCCATTACCAAGGCACACAAGGCCTGTTACCAAGGCCCATTACCAAGGACTCCACAAAGTGGAGTCCTTTTTTATTGCACAGAACAGCAAGAAAAAAGAAGAAACTAATGATACATGCAAATAACCTGGAGGAAGTACAAAAACATACTGAGCAAAAGAAATGAACCACAAAAAAATATATATATTATATTATCCCATATTTAGGAAGTTCTACAATAGGCAACAAGACCCTCTGGAGAAAAGGCACAGTTGTGATTGCCAAGGGGAAAGAGCCCAGAAAAGGACCAGAGAAACTTTCCAGAGCAGTTGAAACATAACTTTTATGAAGGTATTTACGCCATAGCTTGATAAGCATGTAGGTTATGAGGTCATAAAAATTTGTCAAAACTTTTGCAACTGTACCATTTAAGTTTAGTTCTTTTATTTTTTCACGTTTAGTTCTCATATGTAAATTATACAGCAAAAGAATACTAAATAGCAAAGTCAGACAATTTTAGAATTTAGCATATTAAATGACACAAAATGAAAATAAAGTCTTAACTTATAGGATCATCTTCTTTCTAGTTTCCCATCCCTTCAAAAAAACATACTACATGCTCAGCTGTATATTAACCACTGGGGGCTACTAAGGTTATGTAAGTCTTAGTTCTTGCCTTCCTGGAACTGAAAGAGAAGACTAAGAGACCATCCTCTGTTCTTAGTTCTGTGATTCTCAATTCATAGTAAGAAATACTCTTTCTCTCTCTCTCACACACACACATATAGATGACCACCACCACCACCACCTCCACCACAGGTATGCAAACATGCATGTACACATCTACCAGAAAAGTTTCACAAAATATAACTTCAACATACTAATTTGACACAGCCTGATATTTTCTTTCCTATTCTAGTGTAGTTATTTATTTAAAAAAATGTTGAACCCATAAATGAAATTTCATGGCACCCTGAATGGATTAGGCAAACCTAGTCTATAAGTTAGGTTTATAATTTGAAAAACCTAGAGTCTATAAATACTTCTCAGACAGAACTATTACAATTTTTACCCTTGATGCTAAGCTTTTAGTCTCCCCAAATAAATATTTACTGAACATTTAAAGCTGAGTAGTATTAGCTGTCTCTAAAAAAGAGTAATTAACCTGTCCTCAGCCTACAGAAAAACTAAAGGAACAAACAATAAGCAAAATAAATAAGATACAACCAAAACACAACAGCAAAGAAAGCAGTGCAGGCTCGCTGCCCCGTGGCTTAGAGAGCGGCCACCCTGGCCTTGCTCATGGGCCGGAGCCTCATGCCCTGCCCAGTGCTGGAGGCTGCTGTCTTCTTTTTCAATAGCACTTCAACCATATTCTGTGAAGTGAGACTCTCAGCAGACCTTCTTCTTCTTCTTCTTCTTGAATATCATGAAAATATGGTACAAAATAGCCTCTTAAGAGTTGAGGGGAGGGAAGAGAAGGAGAATGGGGAGGAAAGAAAATAAGAATCATGATATATTATGTACATGTATAAACTCCCTATGATGAACGTGATCAATATGGATGAAAAATATGTACCGATAAAAAAAGCTTCTTATACTAATTCTAAAACATATGCTCACCCTGACGAAAGATTACATGAGAGTGACCCACACAGCAGCTGGCCCTGCTTTGCCCCTGGTGGGACACAGGACAACTGCCTGGGGAAAGCAAGGAAGAGGACAAGCTGGGGGAAGGCGCATGGCACCCTGCATGGTCTCATTTTTTTTTTTTAAACAAGTGCTACAAAAATACCAGAGATTGAGCCTAAGAAAGAACTGATTCTCTTCCACGGGTGGAGAACAGGCCTCTTTCCCAACAGAGAGGAGCTGCTATGTTGTGCTGGAGAAAGGATTTTGTTTGGGGCTTTGACCTCTACTGAGGGACAGTGTTCAGATTGGCATCAATAGCAGCAAGAACAAAGATGTCCCTGAGCGGGGACCTGGGCTCCACTTACCCAGTGAGACAATAACACTTGGGGGCACTGAGAGGTCAGGACCTACTTGAATCAAAGCTCCGCATCTAAAAGGAGACAGGAATCTGTATTTTAGTAAAGTTCCCCAAGCAAATCTGGTGTGGGCCAGATTTAAGCACAGAGGTTCTTATCCTGCGCTTTAGTCTGCTGAGGGCAGAGGAGTGGGAAACAAAGCAGTCTCAGAACAGCACAGTGACAAGCCTCAGTGACCCAGTAAGCTACAACAGTGAATCTCAGACCACATGGGGTTGTGAAGCATGGCTGGTTTGCTTATAGAAAGAATAACCAAGGCAGCAAGTAGACACAGTTTGAGCAGGGGTTTGCAAAGCCCAGCTGCTGCTGCTGCCACTGCCAAGGACCTAAGGCAAGTACTAAGCTCAGATGGGATGCTAAGATACGCCTGAGGTCCTCGAGAGTGGGGTGCCAGAGCTCCTTGAGCTGGTTCCAGACTCCTCTTCTTGATAGCAGGATTACACTTAGGTAGCTTCACTTAGAGCTGGTTTAGGAATTAGGCCAGACAGATCTCTATGTCTGAAGAGAAGCAACAGATCAATGAGGGCCAAACCCAAGACTGATCCATAAGGCTAAAGACAAAAGGCTGTCCTGGTCTCAGGCAAAACGCACCTGCCTACTAGCCTGCTTCTTCAATCAGTCATCTTTGGGCCACATCTCAAGAATGGTCCAGATGTCAGGAGCATCTGGACACTTTCTCAATTGGACTGTAATTTGCAGTGCACTGCAAATCTACAACCTCATGCAGTTAAATTTCTTAACCCTCTGGACTACTACCTTCTTCCTCCACAAACTGGAGACAAACTAAATATCCATAAGGATGGCACAATTGTGAAACAAGAGATTCCTGAGAAACTTTCACTGCTATATACATGTAAAATATGGCATCCTAACTCTGGCTCTTATCATTTTGCTGTCCAAGTCGCTGAGTAAGGGAGTATTTCCTGGCAGACAGAAGAGCAGTGAATATGAGTATGAGTTTAGTAATCAGACCTAGGTGCCCATTTGCCTGTCACTTATGAGTTCCGGGTACGTCATCTAATCTCTGTGTTGGCCAATAAAAGCAGAGACAATGCTTTCTTCCTAGGACTGTGGTGCAGAGTGAATGAGACAATGAGGGTTAAGTGTATTCCCTGGTACTAGCACATGGCAGCCCCTACAGGATCACGGCTTCTCTGTAAACTGTTCTTTAATTGCCCTAGGTGCTTGGACACTAGACGTGGGGAATGTGTGCGCCTGACTGCGAATCCAGGAGAGAGGTGTCCACAGGCCCCTTGGCTCTCAGCACTTACATCAATAAGGTCAGACAGGTCATGGATGTAGTACTTGAAGACAGATGCATTGGTTGCCTCCAAAGCCAGCAAGTACTCATTCCGGGCTTTAATGGCCTTTAGTTTATTCTCGGTGTACTTGGCTTGGCGCTGAAAAGGAAACAGAAGTCCACTTTTACTTTTTTTTTTTTTTTTTTTTAAGGGGAGATTGTTCTCTGAGAGATGAAAATAAGTTCATTCAAGAACCACAACTGTGCTGCTACTCCCCATGCGCGTCTGCTTTAAATTGGGTTCTAATTCTGATTAACAAGATTCAAGGGCACAATGTAGAGCAATTCAGAAAAGGTTAATGAGGCTCCCTATTTCAGATGTATGCCCCACTTTGATTCTACCTTCATGTACCATTCTACATCCTTCGATTGCCACCCTGGAGGAGATGCCACTACCCTGCCTGCCGCTGAACCTGACTCCTGAAGCCAACCACAAGGTTTAGAATCCTATACACACACACACACACACACACACACACACACACACACACACACACATACACACACCCCAAAGCATTAGTATATTCACTTTGTGCTCATGTGCCCAAGTTCCTTCAGTACCTAGGATTCCAGCCAGGGCAAAGCTACACTAAAGAGTCTCAGAGCTTCCTTGTTGGCTCTTCAGCCAACTGGGAGCCTACTGGGAAATCCTATCTGTCCTTCCTTCTAGACAATTCCTCCTGTCTCTATTGTTGCTGGAGCACACATACCTTTTCCTTCATCTTTTCAATCTTCTTCACCGAGCTTCGCCGGACATGCTTTTCCTCGATGCGGACATTGGCTGTGGAGTCAGGGGAGCGCGGGGTCTGGCGGTCCTCCTGCTTCACGGATTTACCAATCTGCTTCTCTTCCTGCTTCTCCGCCTCCTTTAGCTTGCTTTGAGCACTAATGCTGTCGGCATTGTACATGTGATATGTCTTCATGACCTGCAAGACATCCCCGCCCCCACCCCAAAGGTCAAGCCAGTGGGGTCAACTCTCTTTGAAGACTAACAGCCAAATCTCTCCCTCATGCAATAATATCCTCACCCCCCGAGGGAAAAATCCAGAAGTGCTTGGTTCAGCAAACATTATATATCAAAGACTGCTCTAAAGCATAGGAAAGCAATGTTAGAACTGAGCCACTGTGTCTTCTTAGTGATATGACTTCATGTATTATTTTCTTGTACGTATGTATGCATGTGTTTGTTTTCATCTTTTTGAGACAAGATGTCACTATGCAGCTCAGGCTGGCCTTGAGCTCACTCTGTAGTCTGGGCTGGCTTGAACTTACAGTGATTCTCCTGCCTCAGTCTCTTGGGAGCTGGGTTTATAGGCATGCACTAACCCCCAGCCTCTTCTACTATTATAACTTGAAATTATTGCTCTTATATTGGCCCAATGATTTCTGTTGCTTAGTCACCTCACAATATTGAGCAGAAAACAATGACACCTGTCTCAGACCCTGAGGGCACACTTCCCTGATTAGGGTCTCCCAAAGTGAACCTGTGTAGTATCCTATTCTTTTTGTACCTTTCAGATATAAAATGAAGAGAAAGGGGAAAAGCTCCAAAAGTTTTCTACGAGCTCACTTTTTTCTATATCAGATACCTGCTCATGGAGACCAGAATAGCAGTGGGGTAACAATGCCAGCCATCATTTACTGAGCATTTAATACATTCCTGGCTTTATATCAAGTGCTATACACAGATTTGCCTGTTTTATCTGTGTGGTAATTCTATGATCTAAACAACAGTCTCACAAATACTGTGAACCTACATAATTCAGGTAAGAAGATGGGAAGGAACAAACTTTTCAAGAGCAGCCAGAGTTGCCACAAGAAAGTAGTATAAAAACAGAAAGACCCAACTTTCAAATTTTCCATCAAAGCAACTGTCTAGGAATCCAATTCATTTGCTTAGCAAGGAGGCCAGGAAGCCTGGAACTCAGGCTTGTTTCCAATCCTCCCAAATAAACTACTTCCAGCCACATAGTGCCTGTCCAACTTGGCTGAGCTTTCTGTTGTCAGGCAAGAGCGTCTACCTGGGAGTTCACAAGGCTCAATAACAAACCAATCAGTCTGAAGAGTGCTGAAATTCCAATGCCTTGAGGCTTCTTTGAAAGGGAGACACAGAATGCAGGAGCTGGTGGGTGGGCACATTGTGTGTGCACGGCTGGACAAGTGGGGAGCAGTATTAATATCAGTCCCTACCACGTGGAGCCTGCTGCATGCAGGGGGCTTTCCGATTGCTACCTCATCTAACCCTCACAACTCTATGAAAGACATGTTTACCACTTCCCCTTCCAAAGATGAGGAAATGACTAAATGGGAGAGTCAGGATTCAAACCAAGGGCTGACAAACTCCAAAATCCGTATACTGGCCACTAAGTAACAGTGAAGTTCCTCTGCATGAGGCTGAAGCTAAAATACTGTAGTTGAGAAGAAAGAAATTAAGTAGAGTCACAGGAGTCCTGAAAAGAGAAACTGGCTTCATTTATTTTACTTTGAAACATTAAATACTAGATTCACATATTTAGTTCTGCTCCTTCCCTAAGCCACACTAAAATGTTGGAAAGGAGTTTCAGTATTACTATTTTTAGTGTACTTTGAGGGTAACAAAAAGAATGGAAGCAAACTATGTCAAGAGGTAGACAAGCAGTAACTGACCAATGGAATCAAAGCCAAAAAGGGAGCGCCAAGAAACAACCCCACACATCCCGGAAACACCAGGAGAAACAATGGCTGCGGGAGGAGGGGGGTGCTAACAGGAACTCAAAAGCGGAGGGATCATCCGACCCACAGATCCTTTCCCACATCACACTAGACCAGAGGCTTATTTGGGAGGTTCTCTGGACTGGAGAGTATCAAGTTTACCTGACAGGGGGCCTGAACATAAATAGAACAGGAGAGTCAATAGTTAAGTCTTACATTGAATGTTGAGAGGGCCCATATTTCTTCACAAATATTTAGCCCCTAGATGAAGTAGAAAATCAAAAGAGCCATGCCTCAGCAACCTGACCACTCAGATATAAGATAAAGAAAAGAAATACTGATGTTGAGGTCTCCCCAAAGACACAGTCCAGCCAGATCCCCCGCCAGTGAGAGCCATGGCTGACCCAGAACTGTTTAGCAGCTCACTTTTAAATATCAGCAGGCAGCTAAGGATAACCAGACATTTAGGAGTACCAACATCAAGAGTAAAACAAGCAATTTAGAGGAAACAGGGTAGGCAGACAGCAGAAAAGCTTTTAAAGCAGTCTATCAATACTAGCCCCAAAGAGCTGAAGAAATAAAGACCCTGTGTCATGAAATAAGAGTAGGGGGGTGGGGGCTTTCTTGGCAATTTAAGATTTAATCCAGGTGCTCTTCCAAAGAGCCTGATTTATTCCCCTTCTCTGTGCAGACATGTAAAAGGGTTCTCATCACTTCATTTGCTTACTTGCTCCTTTACTTTTCTGCTTCTCCCTAGTAAAAAACCAAATATCTTATATTTAGGGACATCTCTTATGTGTTGCTGTATCCACAATGCCTTGGGTCAAGGTTGAACAGGCAAAAGAGGTAAGGGACTATTGGGGCCACTGTTTCAAGGGCACACGTGCTAGACACTAGCCTGAAGAAGCTCTGCAAGCAACCAGCTGGTGCTCAAGTCCAGGGGACAAACTCACGGGCATCACCAGGATATAAAACCTCTGGAGTGACAACAGGCCCACCGTTTCAATGCCTCTTCTTTCTCCATCAAGTCTCAGGTTCCTCGACTTCTACTCAGCCAATCCTAGATGGCACCTGTGCCTTCATATATACAGTATGTTCTCCTGTGGAGGCTTCCCGGGCTTTGTAAGACACAGCTTCTGAGTACAACCAAAGAGGGTAACCCCAGAGTTCCTGGGGAAGAAGTGTGTTGACTGCAAAAGCACTGTTGGAGCACTGGTCAAAAAATGCAAACCCCTTACACTACGGCTTCCGAGCCAGCCTGCTCAATGCACAGAGGAATGTTTCCTGAGACTGCTTCAACAGCAGCTGGGGACGCATGTTGCCAAGTCAAAAAATCAAAGGCCCTCAGGCAGGGATGAGGAAGGCCCAAGGAGGCAGCTGGCCACTTAGGGAAGACACTGGGACTCCTGCCCAAAGGGATCTTTCTTTGGGAACACCTGGGCTCTGCACCTTGGCTCATCAGTATGCAAAAATACTTAAATGACTAATTCTTGGGTAATCAGTCCTCCAAAAGAAGTGTTCATGGACGTGAAAGAAGGTATGAGGTAAGAAAGATATGGAAAATACAGTGAGTTTTTGTGTGTGTGTGTGTGTGTGTGTGTTTTTTTTTTTTTTTTTTTTTTTTTTTTTTTTTTTTTACAGTAGTAGTAATAAGAGATTGAACCAAGGGTCTGTAGGCATCTATAGGCAGGTATCTATTACTAAGCTAAATACTCGATTTTATTTGTTTGTTTGTTTGTTTCTTTCTTTCTTTTAACGTTAGCGAAGTTTTATTAACAGTAGGAAAAGAAACAGGCTCTGCAGAGTGAGTTTAGGTCAAGTAAAAGTAGGAAGAGAAGTAGAACCTACAAGGTGAGGGTGAGGCATCCATACAAGAGAGAACACAGTGGCCATTTTAATTTTTTTATTTTGAGAGTCTCACAGAGTTGCCCAGGTTAGCCTTGAATCTCTGATCCTCCTGCTTAGCTTCCCAAATGGCTGGGATTACAGGTATGTGCCAGCACACTGATGGTGAGCTTCTTATAGCCTTGAGTTCCTTTTTCCAGTGCCCACAGATAAATTCTATTTCCTAAAGGGTTGCTGAAAGAAGAGGCCCCTCCCTGCTTTCCTAAAGATCAAGTAAAGGGGAAGAGCCTTATAAGAAACCCTCATTCTCTTCCTAACTTCCCTGACAGTGTACAGCAAGCAGCTTTCTAAATCAGCAGGGAGAAGTTCCCACTCCCTACATGATGAAATCGCTATCCCATGCGAGGTGACCAGGCATCTTATTAGGATTTGCCCAGTTTCAGCACTGCAATCTCATGTCCCAGGAAACTCTTGGGTCCCAGTCTACCCAGGGACTGTTACTCTTACTCAGTAACATCTTCATTCGTAGCCAAGCTAATTTTACCCTTCAAAGGAAAGAACTCTTGATTCTATTCTCTGAACTCTCTAATGTTCTGTAGAATCTGAAAACTCAGTTGATCCATAACAATAGACTGATATTTCTGGAAGTATGACTGTCCCAGTCAGCCTCACAGCAGGTTATAGAGACAGCAGCAAATGGAAAGTATGGGACATTACAATCTTAGAGATTAGGAGTACCCCAAGTTTATATGGCCAGTGGTCAACATGGTAGAATCTAGGTTGCTTAATTCAGGAGATATCAGTCACTGCACACATTGCTGTCAGGGACTGTTCTGTACATTGTAGGATTTCAACAATATTCTTGGCCTCTACTCATTAGAAGACAGCAATCTCTTCCACTCCTCCAACTGTGACTACTAAAAATGTTGTAAGACACTGCCAAGTGTCCCTTTGGGGCAAAAAAAAAAAAAAAAAGAAAGAAAGAAAGAAAGAAAGAAAGAAAGAAAGGAAGAAAGAAAGAAAAAATCCTGTGTGAGAGTCATTGCATCAGAATGTTCTGCCTTCTCTGAAACCTTCTGCATCCTCTACTATTTTTTCTCTTCCCATCACCCACTATAGAACAATAACAAATTTTTATTTAAGCTTCAGACAACTTATAAGAGCATAAACCAATTCACTTCTTGGCAGGGCATACAACACTTAGCCAATTCTCAGACTTTATACTCTGCCCTGGCAGTGGCCTCCTAGTGGTCAATAAAGAAGCCGGATGGCCAAAGACTGCACCTGGAGGTCCCACTGGGCCGTGCTCAGACCATAGCAGAGAGGCCCGGTGCTCTTCCTCACTCCAGCACAGCTTGTGCCCTTTCACTGACTTTTTAAATAATAGCTCATGAAGAGATCTAGGACTCTGGGTCAAAGCAAGCAGATCCTGAGACACCATTCTTTCTTTGTGGTCTCAAGTACCACTGTTGAACCAGAATGCTTTGCTGTAAGTTGGTTTGCAGTTGGCTGGGTATCCAAACTGATTCTTCCCAGAAACAGCTACAAATAGCAGAGGCCCAAGCTGCTTACAGGAAAATAAAAGGACTCCTATAATAACATATGTCATTTATATCTTAGCAAATTCTCTGCCAGAAGAAAGGAGTAATAGCTGTTCTTAGTGCTTAAAAGATGCTCTAAAAATAAAGAATTAAGCATTGAAAAGACAGTTCAGAAAAATCATCCAGTTTGCAAATGGTTTATATCAATTTGCTTCTATTTTTAAAAAGCCTTAACTTGAGCGAATTGAAAACTGAGAGCCAAAGCTAAGGGACCATCTATCTACTTGGCTTCAGAGTAGAAGAGCCAAGGGGTAGAAATTCAGAGCAAACCAAGAATCACTGGAGAAAAGGGAGAGGAGTGCCCTGCCTTGTTGTTAACAGTTACCATAACAAAATGACCACGCCCAGGCTTCTGGATTAAGAATGTGGAACTCTAATCCCAAAGGCTCAGATGTACACAACACTATGTGCTCTTCCTATAAGGCGAAGGAGGAAGGGAGAGAAGGAGGGAGGGAGGGAGGGAGGGAGGGAGGGAAGGAAGGAAGGAAGGAAGGAAGGAAGGAAGGAAGCAACGAAGGAAGAAAAAAAGAAGCACGAGAAAGAAGAGGAGGAGAAAGGGAAGGAGAAGGGGAGAAGGAAAGAAGGAGAAAGATGAAGCAAGAAAACAGAAAAACAATTACCTCCAAATAGAATGGGGCAACCCTGGAAAATGACATATAGGACTTACACAGCAGAGCATGGGAAGGGATCCCTAAAAGACATTAGCTGTGCAATTGAAATGTTCTTCTTACAGCAACAGAAATTTTCGTGGTGTACATGTGTTTGTTTTCATCACATTAATAAAACCTGGCTAGAGGAAAACAGTAACAGGTTTCAGTGCACAAAGCACTACACAATGGCCACAGGTGTCACATGCCCAAAGCGCCTGTCATTTCAGCAGATCGTGATCTCTTCTCCAGTGTCATGACCTGCGTTTCACTGGGGTTTTCACTCCATAAACCTGGTCCACAGTTTTCTCTGCCTGAGCTGGTCCCTCATAATAGGACACTTGGAAATATGTTTTCCTCTTAAGCCATGATCAATCCAAGATCTGATGCAAGACTTGGACCATAAATTCTTTCTAACAGGCACATATTTATGGCGCAACTGCTCCTTGCCATTGTTTGGGGGTCCCTGGTTTCTTACTTACGGTGTCAGATGTTCTGGTAACCTAGCTCTGGGCTGGTCTCTTGGGATAATCCCCTAAATGAGGCCAGGGTGAGCTTGCACACTATTTTAAGAAAGTATTTCTTGGTTCATTCCATTTTGAAAAAAGAGATGGGTGGGGTCACCCCCACTGGGGAACCATACTGTCCACAACCACAGCTCAGTTCTATTACTGACGTGACTACGGCCACAAGCTGACAAATGCTGCTTCCTTCTACTTGTTAAACAGCCAAGCAACCCATCTTGTTTACCGAGTACAGCTCATTCAGGACCTTCATCAAATCATCTTGGAGCTGCTGGCCGACTTCTTTACTCTGCAAAGAAAGAAGAAAGAAGGTTAATTGGGAAACAGAAAGAGGGAGGAGGGGGCAACAAAGGCAAAAGCAGCATTGGCTCTACAAATAATCTACAGATTCAATTAAAGCCCATTATTTAACCCAGCAAATCAGATAACCACTCGGATCAGACCCAATTATGGTCAGATTACTCAAAGAGTTTTAATAAAATGAAATGTGTCCTTTCGATAGCCTAGGAAAGGCAATTGTGTTGAGGGAAAATGGGTTATAGGCTTTGATTTTTCAATTGGTCCCCAAAGAGCAGGTCTGAAACCCACATCCTACATAGTAACTGTTGTTAGGTAAAATACGTGTTCTCAGATACTTACAGGCAAACATTCCAGAGGACTACAAAAGAAAGGAAGATGTGTAAAAGGATGAGCTAGGAAAAACTATATACACATTCAAAGACTTCAAAGTCCCTAACTAAACCGAACTCCAAGCAGGAGGAAGTTCGCTTGCTTTATTTCTATCCCATATTCCCAAAGCAGTGATTCTTTAGTAATGGATGCCTGCAAGATTAGCGAATGTTACTTGATTCTGATATATTAAGGGGTCTCCAGTTGGTAAATTCTGGGCAATGCTAGCTCTCAGATTCTTTGCTACTGTCACTCAAAGTCAGTATGTAACCACAGAGAACAGGAGAAACACAGAAAAATGAGGAAAAAAGAAACAGTCATGCCTGCTATAAGGAATGTTATACCAAATTTAAGAGAACAGGGGATAGAACTGATTGGCACCACTGGGATATTGAGAGAAGCCCTCATTTTTTATCTTCTGCCAGCTCCTTCTAGTTTTTTACTACTGAAAATTCAAAACAAATACCACCCTTCTAACAGAAGATGCAATACTTCCCTGGCAGTGCTCAGCTCCAAGGCAAAAAAAAAAAAAAAAGCTGTCTTTCAGTCAGAAACAATCATTTCAGGCCTTACTTTTTTCAAGATGCATACATCTTTACTTTAAAAATACTTATTTTTTATTTCAAAAGTAACATATATTAAAATAAGGAAACTATGGAAACTTCAAAAAAGAAAAAATAATTCTTAAATATCTACCAATAAGAAAACATCACCTTGTTATGTGTTTTTCTAATTTTCCCTTTTTCACTTTTATTTCTGCAAAGTTAGGACTACATTACACTGTTTGGAAACTTAATTTCTTTTTTTTTTCTTTTTTCTTTTTATCAGTACTGGGGATCGAACTCACGACCGCCTGCTTGCAAGGCAGGTGCTTATGCTGCTGAGCTAAATCCTCAGCCCCGGACACTTAATTTCTTTATCTCTTTTGTAAACGTTTCCCCACATATTATTCCTCTATAGCATTTTAGTACAACATATTGTTGTAGCTCCTATTCTGGAGATTGATTTTGCTTGCAAAGTTTTGTGTTTTTTTAAAATACTGTATTAAATTACTTTATACATAATCTATGCACAAACCTTCCATTGCTTTCTATTAGAAATAACATTGCTGGGTCAATGAGAATTCATTTATACAATTAAATTGCCTTTAAGAAAAACTGTGCCAATTAAAATATTGCCAGAGGCATGTTCGCATGTTAATTTCACTTTTTTGTCTTGACAATTTGATGTGATATCCTATTGTAATTTGCAGTCCTTTGGTTCTAGTAAAATTGAGCGTTTAAAAAACGTGTTTATTAGATCTTTTTTTTGTAGTTTGCCATTTCTTAAGAAGTTCTCTGATCTTTTTTTTTTTCTATTAAGGTATTAATTGTAGAACATAGCAGAAGTGTGACTTCATCATGAACAGCCATGAAGTTTTACACCTGGTGGTGGGGAGAGGGGTAGGAGGAATCCTGAATTAGCAATCACAGGCTAATTCAGATCTTGTACACTTTCTAGTACACTCGCTATCATCTTTCTGAGTCTCTGTTTTCCCTTCTACAGTATGAAAGGGTTGAACTCACACGTCCTTAATGTCTTCCTGATATCTGCCACTCTGATTCTATAAGCTGTTTAAATGGCCTGGCCCCTCAGATCCATATTGGATTCTAATACAACCCCCTGCAGTATATGGCCAACTGGCTGGCTTCACACCACACGGTCAGTGGTAATGAGCAAGTCCTCAGGGTCCTAATTCTCTATGAAACAGAGGACTTCAGGGGCACCCCGAAAATTCTCTCAACTGATGATGCTGGATGAGAAGCCATGAAAAAGAATGCCTGCCTTTCACCTACAACCTTGCACCCTAGCCCACAGGAGTAAAGCTGAGCTTACCAAAGCAGCAGAGGTTCAAGGAGGTGAAGTTGGGAGAAATGACTCACCATTAGCCCATCGTCAGCAAGAGGGTCAGGAAGTGACCGCGAGTATCACTTCTACCATCCTGCCCTCCTGCCTCCAGGCCAGTTTCCCATCCTCTCCCTTCTGTTTAAATGGCAGAGGTTAAAGGAGAAAGCTCTTGATCCCTCACCTTGTTGCTCACCCAGGACTTCAATGCAGAAGAATGGAGAATGAGCAGGCAGGGGAAGGCCTAACCAATAAAACAGCAATTAGGCCAGGCAGATGTTTCCTTTCATGTACTGATTAGCTTGGAGGACTACTCAACTGCGAGCCCTGTTTATTTGAACAGGCTGCTGAAGCAATCTGACATACCACTCCCTCTGGCAGAAGGCTGGGCCGGGAACACACGTGTAGCTAGCTACGGGTAGCTAGCTCAGTTAATGTGCACAATGAGCTCCCAGCAATCAGGAGCAGCTCGGACCACTGCAAGAGGCAGGAAGTGGCCGAGGTCTCTCCTTCTGCAGATGATAAAAGGCCACCCCTTCTCTATTTGGGAAATTTTAACTGTGTGCCTTCAGGGAAAAACGCAGCCCAGGAAGGGCTTCTGTGCTAGCCACTGAGGAGGGAGTGAGGGAACGCCAAGGCTGTACAGGGCCCCACCTAAAGACAAGGGATGCATTTATTCCTGCAAACAACAAAACCTGATGAGGCTGAGAACAGGACAATGAAGGCTGTAGTGCCATTTTATTCCCTATAGAGAAGAAAGGGGTTTCTAGGCAGAGAAGAAAAAAGAATTTACAGTGCAGCCTTTGTGAATCAATATACAGCCTGCATCTCTTTCCTTTAAAATTTCTTGGAAGAGAATGAGTCATCTAAACATTGCAGGAAACCCAACAGAAGTTGGGGGAAAAATTTACTTTGAGCAGTTTTTCTCTTAACTGTTTTGCATAGTAATCTTTGCCTGGAAGAAAAAAAAAAAAACGCCTAAATTTAGAATGAGATGATGAGATGTGGCACAGTTAACAATGCTGGTTCTACAGAATAGGAAGTGTGGTGATGTGCTCAGGCCTGATCTTTTATTTTGAAACTCACCACAACCATTTTGCAGAAGCGTGCTTCATGGGCTCTCCACCTTGCCTGCTTCAAAGGCCACAGTGGGAATGGTTAGGAGACAAGGAGATCGCAACAGTGCCTAATGGCTGCACTAACAAAATGGGTAGTGAATCCTCCCTTTCCAACAGAAAACATAACTAGACCACAAAACCAAAATGCACAGATGTATCTCCCCAAGAGTGCCATGTTTCAAAGTCCCCCTGCTCACAGAAGGTACAGCAGGAGAACACTAGATTACATGATTTGGGCCACCTGGACATTAGGTTGGTCACACATCTTTAAAAAATCAATACATCTCCTGGGCTTCAGTGGGTTTGTCCATAGCTTTCCCAAAGAATGCCAATTATGAAAGGGCTTTATCAGAGACATTACGTATTACCAGTTCTCTTTTCACATCGTCCAGTGCATTTTCTAAGAAGGGGATCGGGTGAGGCTGTTTCATTTTTTTAACTGGTTGTTTCTATATGATAAAGGTGTATTATGTGACAGGCACAAAATTACTACTATTTCTATAGAAGAAGAAGAAGGAGAAGGAGAAGGAAGGAAAGAAGTAAAAGAAAGAAAGAAAGAAAGAAAGAAAGAAAGAAAGAAAGAAAGAAAGAAAGAAAGAAAGCAAGCAAAGCAAGCAAGCCTCTGCCATGTGGTGAGATCTAATTCCAAGTGAGGTCCCCAGGCTGAGGCTGTCAGCAGGTAGTGGGGTCATTTAGCTCTGGCCCAATTAGCCTGTGCCAGCAGTTTAAAAAAAAAAAAATCCAATTTTCAAGGGCACGGATCTCCCCACCAGTGCTAACATTCCCCTTACCCCACCTCAAAGGTAACTTCAGAGGCCAACTGCTGAAAAAAACTTGAAGAACTGAATTTGTGTTTACAGATTTCAGAGGACAGAGATATGATCTGTCTATTAAGCTCTGGCAGCAGGAAAAGCACTACACACAGGGTAAGGGCTTCAGGGCACTGGTTCACTTCAAAGAGGCCAAGTTTCCTGAGTTGGTGCCTTGCCTAATATGCTATTGATGGGGAGAACAGTTAGGGGTACAGGGAGGAGCTGGTGAGTAGCAGGGCCAATGAGAGGCCCCAAATTTGGTCTCTCTCCCACCCAACTCAGCCCACCACGGTGGTGATCTGGGCAGGTTGGAGCTCTGGAGTGACTGAGATTTCCCCTCTATCACACTCCTTGCACACCTACGAAGAGGTTTTTTTCTATCACTATTCACTTACTAGATAGGACAGCAATGATGGCTCTGGGAAGGCTGAGCTCTAGTTCGGACCTTGTACTTTGGGGAGACCAAGGTCACATTGCATTATAAATACAGGGACTGGGGCTGTACCTCATGGTAAAGCACTGCCATTCTCCTTCTCCTCTGTCTGATCCCAAGCACCACAATGATATGTGCAAAATCTTTATAGGGTGGCAGACTGGAAGCAAGCATTAGAGAGAGACTGGAGATACTTTTACCTTCTAAAGACAGGTAGACAAGGATGTCTACTCATGTACAGTTTACTGTATACGTATGTCTACCATGCAGTCCATTCTCATATTTCCTATTCTTTTCAACTCAATAATAAATAACATGTTTTAAAAGGCTAAGTATATACCAAAGACTGTAACTGTGGGCTTAATAAAGAAAA